GGGGGGGGGGGGGGGGTAAGAGGACACTTCTTTCTTTCTTTTTTTGGTCTCGAAATTTGAAAATTTGACATTTTGCTCCGTTGGGGGGTGGGTAAGGTCACCTTTTTTAGGTCAGCCATGGGAATAATTTTTAAAAGGGTTTTTAAAAGGTTTTTTTTTGTTTATAAACATAAAAATACCCCCTGCGTACGCGCCTGGTAGTAGTAGTAGTAGTAGTAGTAGTAGTAGTAGTAGTAGTAGTAGTAAAATGGTTTTATTAGAACAACTGCAAAATGGTAGCCCGAGAGCTAAATTACATTGCAAGTTTTACAAGCTCAGTTTTAAAAAGCATTGAATACAGACAAGTACAAAATAATACACAGTTAAATAAATCACAACTTATTACATACTTGCAACATAATTATTGATGATACAAATAGAATAGATTCGTTATCATTCGTCTCCTACCTGCCTTCAAAGTACTAGAGCAAATGAGAAGTTAGATGTTCGTGACAGCTCCTTGTACATTCAATTAATTTATGTTGATCTCTCGCTCTCTCTCTCTCTCTCTCTCTCTCTCTCTCTCTCTCTCTCTCTCTATATATATATATATATATATATATATATTTATATATATATATATCTTATTCTATTGTTTCTCTCCGTCATTAATATTTTTCCCGACAGCTTCCAATGCAATCTTTGACTTCACGTTTTGGTCGTCGAGAACACAAGGCATCCCTTACTAAGGCAGAGCAAGTTAAAACTCCACTAAAGGTAATTCACTAACTGCCGCCTCCTGCCTTATCTAAAATCGAATCTAAAATCATTTCTGCAATTATCAAGGAGGAGAGGAATCCTACACCTGTCCGCCTGGAATATATTCAAGGGGGTTGTCCCGCACCCCGAATATTATTGATACCTGCAGTGCCCCCATGTTATTGTCTAAATAATAATAAATAGTGATTTAACGCTGCCCACTTTCATCTAGCGGACGAGAAGAGTAGAATGTATTATCTGAATCTTATTTGGATGTGCCTGCCTCATCAAATCTACCGTGAAAAAAAATACAAAGTTACAACCAATAATCATTTTAAATATCGCGGTCTGTTGCATAATGATACACAATCTGATAGGGGTTTTGAAAGAATGCAAATAAATTATTTTGCGAATTCGCAAAACATTCTCGGTCGTGGGGGGGGGGGGGTTGTACAGCCCCTCTCCGCTCGATCGCATTATTTCATCAAATGTAAATCACACCACACTCCCACCCACCCCCTTCCTCTTGACAAGAAATCGCCGCTCCTAAATGTAGTCATAATATGGATCACTTCGTTCTGGAGTCGAATCCACTCATAAATCAATCGAGGAACACTCTCAAAAGAGTAGTGGTTGACTACTCTTTTGAAAGTGGATTTCACAGGTTTTCAATGCGTTGCTTTCCGCTCCAAAACGAAATCATAAATAAAAATGACTCCAACCAAAATAAAATTCAACTCCTTTACCAATCGAAAGTAACCTCTAACACGTAATGTTTTTTTGTTATTTAAATTTTTGTTTACAGGACATGACGGCGAAAGAACGCATAAAGGAGCTGGACGTGGATGAGAAGCTTCGTGAACGAGCTCAGATCACGGCAGGATTCGCTTACATACAGCAGAGACTGGAGGAGTCGGAGATACTGCTGAAGTTAAAGAGGGGCGGACAGAGCTACGAGAAGAGTGTCAAGCAATTAAAGGTATGAGCGGATCTTTAACTACAGCAACCAAAAAAATATTTTATATATATATATATATATATATATATATATATATATATATATATATATATATATATTATATTAAAAAATATATATATATTTTTGTTGTCGATGTGATGCTTTATCACACCTTTATCCGCCACTTCATTGGTTTTTCTTTCTTTCATTAAGAATCTGAAAGAAAATACAGTCTTGAAAGTTGTATATAAAACAATTAATCAATTTATTCTTCTTCAAGGCTTTAAGTTCCCGTTAATTCACCGTTCGCGTTAGGAAGAGAAAAATCAACATTCATTTTTAGACATAATAATAAGAAGAAGAATCATAATTCTTAAAGCGATATTTATTACAAGGGGAATGATTTTTGTAAGAATATCACACCATTCGCACCAAGGTATCTATGAATTATTCAAAAATTTAAGGTTGATACTAACATTTTAAGCATTTATTCAAAATCAGGTTGGTCGAAGGAAATTAGTCACAGGTCTGTTAGGTAAGCGTAATCATAAAGCATGGGTCGGGTTTAACTGAATTATTGGAATATAATATATAAACCAATGTGTTGTCATTCTATCTTTCAACATGTATTTTTGTTTAAAGTTGGATATTTCTTCTTTCAAATTAAATCTTCTGCTATCATTCTACTTTATCCAGGAGATGAAGAAGCTGCAAAATGAGAAGAATAATAGGAAATCCTCTCTGACCCTTGTACCCCCGATCCTTGATTCATGGTCACCCCTGGGTAGTCCTTCCGGAACTCCAGGACCCGGTGGAAAACCAACCATTGAAGACATACAGGACGCAGAAAGGTGAGCAGTGGCGTGACGTAGGGTAGGTCCAGGGTGGGGGCACGGCACCTTGGTGGAGGATTGTGATGGGGGGGAGGGGGGGGGGGGTGGTGGTACAGCACCTTGGTGGAGGAACAGGGGGAGCAGTCTTAATGTGGGCCGACATGACAATGGACTCTTCAGATTCAGATCTTCCCTTCTTATTTTTGTTCTCAAAATACAAGATCAAAATTTACATATTAGAGAAAGGAATCTAACTTCCATGAAAGCAATTGATGACTGGAAGTATTATTGTAAAGATATGTTAGAAAATGTTATTATTTAAATGATAATGCTGATTTCGACGATTATGATTCGATTTTCTACCTTTTGCATTCTCTTTGTCTTGATTCCACAGGCGGGCTTACGAGAGAAAGAGGAACATGTGTCTTGGCAAGGTCAGGTGTATCCTCAAGATCATCAATGCACTTCACAACATCAAGAGCAAAGACGTGAGGTCACGTGTTCCCTTGTCACATGACCAGGTCAAACACATGTACCGTGACGTCATCTGGGAGAAGCCTGCAGTAATAAGGTATTTGTATGATTCCAACAGTGATGTTAAAAAGATGAATACATTAAACATTCAAGTAAACAATTCTTAACGATGTTATATTCCTATAAATTCATGAAACCAAATATTTTAGTCCATTCAGTTTCCATGCATTTTCATACTTGGGGACTTTCGTTTAAAATAATGACTGATTTCCGGAAATATTTTGTAAAAATAGGGTAACAATGCAATGTGATATAAAGGATATTTTGGACAATCGAGTTCAAAAGAACAAGAAAATCCATAAATTGTAATTCTCTGATATGTGGAATTTTTAACGCAAACAATTTCGATATGTTATCTGAAGGGATTAATTTTCTCATTATCCATGTTTCTCTTTTAAGTATCCCTATATATGTTTGGACGTAAAACTTGTATCTAAATAAAAATGTGTACACCAATAACACCATCATGATCATACATAAATTAAATCAACAAAATTTGAATGAATCGTAGCCACCATACGGTCTATCGAAATTGCAAAATTTCTGTCAACATTCATAGATCAAATTTCGACCCATTTTAGATAACAACATTTTGGCATCATCCAAACAAAATTGAATAATCAATTTCCCCATACTATTCTTCCTATTCATTGTGTTGTATCATCATGCTCTTGAATTATAATCATGATCTGTATGTCATATATATTACGTTCCTAACTTGTAAAACGTGGAGGTGACTGATAAGAATGAGTTCAGTATTTCCATTGAATTGAATCGAATTGAATTAGATTATCTATATTGACTTGAAATACTTTAAAAATCAATATCGTATATGCAGTGAGAACAAGCCAACCCGGCCGGTGCACACAGCGATGGAAGCAACCCGTGCCCAGTCCTCAAGCCGTGCCCATTCCTCTGCCGATACAGTCAGCTCCGGTGAGCACCAAGCCATGGCCATGCTTGGCCTGGGGCATATGAGGAGCTCTAAGCCCACCTTACCCGCAGGAAACAAGTCAACCCTAAGCATGCAGGGGAAGGGGGATGCCATCCAATCACCGAGCCCCGCCCCTTGGTCTTCCAAAAGGTAAGTCACATTGATTCGTGGTTGATTTTTTTTTATTCAAAGGCGTATCCAGGTCCAAAGTGTTCCCCCCCCCCCCCCCATTTTAGAATCGTTGAAACCATAACGTTCTAAAACCAACTGTTCATTCATTCATTCATTTTATTCATTTCCATTTTCAATAAAAACAATACAAAGGTATATACAATAATAAGCATTTGCAATATATAAGAAAATGAAAATAGGGAACTAAAATATAAGGACAAATGACCTTGTGGAGGCATAGTTCCCCAAACAGTATATAAGAGATTTACATGTACAAACAAAACTAAAAAAAGAAACATATATGACAAAACACGACAGGGACATCGTTCATGACAGGTAATACAAATGGAAATAATCATTACAAAATCATAGGTTCGAAAACAGTTATATGTAATGCTGTATAATATGAATATGGGTACAAGAAGTAATGATATTTCGATAAAAGATGCTGCTTTAATTTTCTTTTAAATAATGTTAAAGACTTGCATGAGGATATTTCGGAAGGAATAGTTCCAAATAACAGGAAAATTGTTTCTAACAGATTTCAAATATATATTTGTCTTAACTGGCCAAAAATGAAAAGAGTCTCGCCCACGAGTATTATAAATATGAACATCATTATTTAAAGTGAACATTTTTTTTCTTTTATTTTGTTTGCACGTGAATATTTTTGTTATTCCCTTACGAGGAACTTATTGATTATAAAATAATTCCGCATACATATCACACAATTTACAACATCGAACAAACTAAGGAAATATTACGATAATACATATTTTCAAATCGTTTCGTTAAAATAACTTTTTTTTTTAGAATTCTTTTAATCTTGCAAACTCTTCCTTAAAGTGTTTGAGTTGTTTTCTCTTTTGAGTAGTTCAAAAAAATCAATTGCACATGAAGAACATAATAAAGAACCATGTTTTATTGAATTTGAAAATGGTGTTCTTCCAGATTCGGTTACCATGGTAATGTAAGGAGAAGCTTTCGTTTTGAACGTGAGAATCGAGTCGAAACATGGGATGATCTCTTAACAGCCCAAGCTCCAGGATCAGGAAAACGACACAGCTTGGTACCAACACTCCTATCCGGTAGGTTGTTCCTTTATTTATTATTAAATTTTTCATTCATTCATTTATTTATCTATTCATTTATTCATTCATTTATTTATTTATTTATTCCTTCGTATATTCATTTATTTATCTATTCAATTACTAATATATTAACACGTTTACTTATTTGTTTATTTGTGCCTGTCGTGTATAAAAGTATTAGGTTAAATTAATATATTCACTTTGCTCGACCGAACAAGAACAATCTAAAATAACACCCAGATAATTATCTCCCACACACGATTAGTAATGCTACGTAATATAATTTCTTGAATCTTAATTACCGTAATTATTTTTGAAAAGATGGATGGTGGCAGACGAGAATCAACTACGAAGAAAAGCACCAATACACTCACATTTCCAACATGTCTGAATAGTCTCTGACAAGCAACGAGGAAAAATATTTTTAAATTAATTTTTTCGAGTCAGTATTTAGGCTAATGGCCCCAGCCTTCGTTTTCAGAATAATACTTATGGGAGTGAGGTCCAACGCATATATAGATTTAAGAATAAGCATTTTTTTTTTTTTTTTTTTTTTTTAAATGATGCAGCGTCCCATCCGACCAATGATGTGATGAAACGGCATCATAACCCGATCATTAAATCCTGACTTGTATACAAGTTTCCCCCGATTATTTTGGAGGGCTAAAACAAAAAGTACCAAAGCGCTTACAAAGTCATAGAATTTGAGGAGACACATGAATACATAGACTCATATTATCAGGTTTTTCAACTTTATTACTGAGGGAGGAAGTATGTTTAAATGTAAAGTGTTAAATAATAGGAGAAATATATCATGTTTTCTCATATAATTACATAGGAATCGATTCAGTAAGGTTAAATGAACAATCTACTCCGGGGCAGCACGTTCGCAAACAATTTCGAAAAATGTCTAAGGCAATATCACCCTATCATACCTTTCCCTCATCCTTTCCCTCACCGATTTTTAAATTTGCGAAAATTACGATGACAATAGAGAAATGAGATATATAACAGGGTATTGGTACTGCCGTTGAGTTTATTTCTCGAAAGCCTTTGCGATCGTTATTTGGCCTTTGTTTTATATTATGATACAGCGGCCCATCCCGCCCATGCTGTGCTGAAATGGCATCATCACATCGAGCATAAACAGAAGCAGCCGTATTGGATGACTGTCGGTGTAGCCAGTGACGAAAAGGGTAAGATATCTTAAAGGCCCACTGCACTACTTACAGCTACTTGCGCCCTCTATATAATATACAATGCCTAACCGGTAACCGTTGGTCCCCCATGATCCTCTTTTTCTTATGTTAATTGAGAGCTGATTTGAGGAGATAACCACCTGTCCAGTGACCTTGCAGGGTGGTCTAATCCCTCCTGTACACTAGTACAGATTGCCTTTAAGTTCCTCGAGTGCCTGTCCAACTTTCTCTCCTCCATGCAAAACGCCTTTATGGACGTGTAACCCTTGTGATAGGTACATCCATGATGCCTACGAAGCCAGCACATATCAGGCAATAAAAGGAGCGCAGCGGTTGAGCCTAGCTTTCTAAGCCAAATATTATAGTTTGTGTCATTTCACTTGAATGTGTGTAGTGTGTAGTTCTTTCCAATCCCTTTTGCCGTCATTGAAACCCGGCATTGAAAACCTTTTAAATATTTTAATCCTATCACAAGTATACTGCTCAACCTATTAATCCAACTTTCTCTCCTCCAAGTGAACCACTCTTGAGCCAACTCACCAGAATAAATCGAAGCATAGACGTTAAACGTCGTGCCCTTTGCAAACGAGACGTCGTTTCAACTGGATTAATAGGGACTTTTAGATTTGCACGTTGACATAGTGGACTGCTACGTGTGGCGTCCTTTTAAAGTACTGGCAGTGCCAGAAGTCACAGTGCCTTAAAAGGCCGTCACACGTAGCAGTCCACTATGTCGACGTGCAAATCTAAAAGTCCATATTATCTGCGCCCACTGCCTGCGCAAATCGAGCCTGAGAAGACCATCAGGGCATACGCTACTCAACCCAATGTTTGCTATGTCCGTTTTGCATTAACTCTTTTTGTATGTTAGATGGCGCGTCGAAGACAGTCGCTGACACAGTTCTGCGTCAAGCAAATGACAAACGCCTCGTGTGCTAGCTACCGACTTTAGCTTGTGTCATTTGCTCTGTACATTCTTTGCCAATTCTGTTTGGCCATCTTTGAAAACATTTTAAAACAAATGTTATCACAATAATTATTTGTTCAACATCCTCTCCTCCCAGTGAAACGGCCCCAGGCTACCACGTCGGGCAGCAAACGAAGCCTAGAGGTAGGGCCTGACGCAGAGGCAACATTGGAAGGCATCAAGCAAAATTTCCAGAAGACGCAGAAGACGTTGGCTCGAGAAGCATTGCAGGATCTTGAACGACTCGATAGGTAACCAGAGCTGTGTTCATTGAAACGATGTAGTATGAACGTTAATGAGACCATTGGATACTGTCAAAATGGGATTTTCAGGTTATGTTTTATTCAATGATGTCCTCCAACCCAAGCCCTCACCCCCCCCCCCCCTCACCCCCCCTCACCCCCCCCCTCACCCCCCCCCCCCCCCCCCCCCGTCCGAAATAAACCTGCGTCAATAAATTTTGAAGATTCGGTGGACAACAATGAAATATACTAACAAGTGTGATCATTTCCTTTCAAAATGTATCTGCTTTCATGTAGGAAGGAAGAATAAAAACAGCACAAAAGTGCATAAAAATGATACCTGTACTTGAGGTCCCTTTCTCTTCTTTGTTTCATTTGTCTTCTTCTCTCTTATACCTCTTTCCATATGATTCACAGGGACAGACAGCGGGTCATAAAGCACAAGTTCCAGATGATAACGCAGAGCCCTCTCTTTGAGAAAACCCTACTCCTTCTTCAGTCAGCTCGAGCTCATCAGGCCGGCCTCGTCATGAATATAGATACTGATGACGAGATCAAACTCTCTCCATGGTGAGCGCCAACAAATAGTTGCTTTATTTTCGATGACATTAACAAATTGTTATGCCCCATAATAATAATTAATATGGTGTGTCGTATCTATACATTTTGCATAACTTTCCATGTTTTAACCATAGAAAACTGTAGGCCTATACTGGATGGTTTATTTCTCAATTTTGAGTGGTCATAATTCTGCGTGACCTGGCGAATGTTTTCTTTTGAGAATAAAGGATTTTCATAAGTATCCCAATGGACTATATATTCTCATTTTTTACACTTTTATTCCCAGGTACATGGATCTGAAGGCGAGTGTTGAGGAGGTTTTGGGCAAGTACGACCCGGATGTAATCAGTATATTCAACACACTCTCGCATTTCTCGCTCGAAGATGGCAAATCAATTCCTCAAGCAAAGGTAAATTTTCTTACGCTTTTTCTCCATGCTGTAGTTTTATAATATTATTATTGCTGCTCGCATATACTTGTTTGTTTGTTTGTTTTATCCGACTGCTAAGTATCTTTGTATATAAGTAATCTACCAGTGGACCGACTGTTCTAAATCCTCTCCGAGAGACTTGGTAACGAGGACTAATGTCTTACCAAAGGCCGCTAGCGCATCCCCTTGGAATCGAAACCGGGACCTCCCGGTTACGAGACCACTGCTCTTTCACTGAGCCATCGCAATTACAACATTCCAATAATGCATAGGTATTATAACCCTTAATCTCGCTAAACTAATTCATTATTTTAAAAGAATTGTGAAGATGCCTTTACTATTTTGCTGTTGATTTTGAAGATATGAAAATGTTGAGATAGGAGTACCGTCAAAATCAAAGGGATGACACGGACAATTCTGTTTTAAGAAATTTCGGGCATTATGGAAATTGCCACCTTCATGTAAGCCATTTATTCTAAAAACTTATAAAGAAACGAGATATTGGTAAACGTCAAGTTTGAAAATCCCTCTTCTCTGTATCTTTACTGACTTCAAATAATTGTAGCAGTGGCGTAGACAGGTTCGAACACCTGGGGGGGATGACTCAGGGGCGGATCTAGCTTTTTGCTAAGGGGGGGGGTTGACCAATAATGACGATGCGGAGCATCGTCTACGAGCCGCGAAGCGGCGAGCCGATTTTTTTTTGGGTGTTTTTTTTAACCCCGTAAGTGATGTTTTCCTGGCATCTATTAACACGATGGAGACCATAAAAAGCAGTGCATGATAACGTCTTTTTAAATCAAGTAACAGTTAAATACACAGTTATATCCAGAGTTATCATGTGTTTGGTTAAGTTACCATGCAGATGAGTTGAATATCTTCTCACAATATTTGCACTTGAAAGGGTTTCTCTCAAGCGTGCATTCTTTTTTCTTTCTTTCTTTTTTTCTTTCTTTTTTCCCCTTTTTTGGGGGGGGTTTGTTTTTTGGGCCCCCCCCCCCCCGTAGATCCGCGCCTGTTCAATCTTGTGGTTATCTTGTGGTTTCCAAACCACAAGATAACCACAAAATACTTGTAAGATTTTCTTTTTTTTTACCGTGTGAATGCGGCTAATAACAATAAACACAATTACAATAATGATGAGGATTATTATTATCATCATCATAATTATTATTATTATTAATATCATAATTGTTATCATTATTATTATTACTATTATTATCATCATTATGACTTATTAAGTAAGCAAATATCATTCCCCAAAACCTGGGGGGGGGGGATGATTGTACATGCCATCCCCCCCCCCCCCCACCTTGTGAGGTGGGGGGATGCATCCCCCTCATCCCCCCCGTTGTCTACGCCCCTGAATTGTAGTGAAGGTTGTATTTTGCCTAACAGCTTTGAATGAGATGATAGCTTGCGTCATAATTGAGCCCTGGGCTTTGTCTTATCAACAGTTGCGATTAATTGCAACTTATTTGCGATTGATATAAATCGCAACTAATACGAGATAGGAGACTGCAAACTTGCGATTGATTGGAGGACTTTCGGTTGATTTGGATCAATCGCAACTCTTTATATTAAAGACGGGGCCCAGGTCTTCAGAAACTAGTTCCATGTGATGTGATGTAGTCGGCATACTCAGTAGATTTATACAGGTATAAGAGAGAGAGAGAGAGAGAGAGAGAGAGAGAGAGAGACATAGAGACAGAGAGAGAGAGACAGAGAGAGAGAGAGAGAGAGAGAGAGAGAGAGAGAGAAAGAACGAAAAAAGGGCAATAGAAAGTCATTATTTGTTTGCTTATTCGTTCCTTTACATACTGAACTAATTATATGTCTGTTTGGGAAGATCGTAAATTTACATTTCCTGCAAATCCTTGAAATGACTATTTTTCAATGTTTCGGTGCATTTTAAAAGACCGTCCCCTCCAATACGAATAATATAATACATGGGCAGTTAGTTGCCTCTCCACCATCTGCTATCTGTTCGCATGTCATCTTTTTTTTACACTAGGAGAAGTTATGTTTACTGGTGATGTCGATGCCGGCAAGCGATCTCTTAACCATCCCCATGCAGCTCGCCATCGCCTTCGTCCTAGAAGAGATCTTCTGGGCCGCTCCCCGTGCCTTGGCCCAGTGGCTTCATCACAAGAAAGTACCCCTCATCATCGACATCGATCTGCAAGCAACGACCTAGTCATCCACGGTTTCAAGTTTCGTCTTCCATTTTGCACTACAATAGTTAACGGATGACATAATAGATATAGATTCAGTGTGCGCGGTATAACAATTAGTTTATCTATTATTTGGATTTAATTCTATAGAAAGTTATCAAGAACTTGCGTTAGTCAGTAATAATTCGAATTCCAAAAGTCCGTGCGATATTCGCACTATTCAACAACAAAACTCAAATAATTTTCAATTGAAATTTTCTCCTGCATCATGTATTCAGTTTAGTGTGCGCGGTATAATAATTAGTCTATCGATAGTTTGGTTTTATTTCAATAGAAAGTTATCAAGAACTTGTGCCCAATTTCCAAAGGTCAGAGCGATATTCGCACTATTTAACAACAAAAACTCAAAGAATATCAAATAAAATTTTCTTCGGCATTATGTATTCCTTTTAGGAACTATAAATCTTTAAGAAACGAGGCTATAATAGTCTAGGTTTGGAGAAGTTAACCATTGGTCGTTATACAATACTTCGGGCCAACCAAGGTATCACATTTAAACGGAAACCGGCTCAATGTTTCGGCAGAAATTCATATATTCAGGGTGCGAAATTGCACAACAGAAAGTGAGGTGGATTAGGACCGCGTTCCATCCTGCTTAAATACTTTTAAACTCCTGAGCGATCAATTTATATTTTATAAAACTAGAGACTTTATTTGGAGTGTTTACAAACAAAAATGAAACGATGTCTGTATTAAAGCTTAGAACGCATAATTCTTGTCATGTGATAACAATAGATGTTATCAACAAAATAAGAGTCAGGTTTTGAAATCTTATTACAAATACAATTGTTAAGACTTGATTTGACTTTGCGGCTATTGGTGTAGGACTGCGTTTGAGGTTTATTTTATTGCGATTATGCTCCAAGGAACTGATCTGTTTGTCTTTCTAGAGAATATTGTTAGTATGAAATGAAAAAACATTTGAACGAGCGTTTTGTGTCTTTTGTTGTTATTGCTTGCCTGTAACCACAACCAATCAATCTGTCAATCAATCAATAAACCGATCCATCAATCAACAAACCTGCCAATGAATGAAGGAATGAATCAACACATCAACCAAGCAATCAATCCGTCAACCAATCATTCAATAAATCATCCAATTAATTAATTAATCAATCAATTTGTCAATAAATAAATTCGTCAATCACTGATTGAAATCAAACAGTTTGATGTTGCACATTTACCTGTAACGATATCCATTCCTCACAGCTAAATTAAATAGTTACAATCTCATTTGAATACTGAGAAAGTATCATCACCAATGTTCAATGATAAAATTTGTAGCACAGCAGAATTTTATTCACGAGACAAAAATAGAACTTTTGAACTATACAGATTTGTTTCTTTTTCCAGTTAAATTCCCTCAACCTCTCTGAGTAATTCGTTCAAAGAAGTCAGCAATAAAGACAAAACATTTTCATAACTCACAACCGAGTCGCAGCAGTGAAATGTACATCATCTATACTCCTTAAGGCAATTGTCTCACAAATTTCATCCAATATTACATCTAAAATACTCTTTAAAAAAAAATTAATATCACCATTCTTGCTCACGAAAAACAAAGTAAAAAGGAATGTGCAGTGCAATGTTATGTGCCACAAGATATTTAATTCCAATTCATTCAGAACATGTGAAATAAAATCTGTTTCAATCAAAATCTTTAGTACACATATATACATCAATTATATCCAGACTTTAAAAAAAAATTGGTTAATTTTCCTGATTAATACCAATAACTTTAATAATTGGCATTCAATAAATTTCATTCCACACAAGATATCAAGTATAAAGTAATTTTTGACATACCACCGATGTATTTTAGAAAATACAAAATCTCTCAATATTGAGTCTATGGGCAATTATGAACAAAGATCAAGTACTATCCTGACTAGTCCCTTCTTAATTCTAGTATCCTAGTCATACAAGGCTATTTATGTTCTTCCATATAAGATAAGATATACAGAGTTTTGTTTCAAATAATGCCATTTATTTTAGAAAATATAAATCTCCCAACATTGAATAACTCTTATTCAAACAAAAACTGAAAAAGCCACTCAATATATATATATATATATATATATAGAGAGAGAGAGAGAAATTATAAATACGATTAATACTTTGATATATAAACCTGTATATGTATCTTTCAATTCGTGCATTATGAATAAATTTACAAATGACACAGTAAAAGAAGAGAAAAAGTGGGAAAACTGACATTCATTCACCCCATCATGTCTGATAGTTTGAGTCTCCCATGATTTTGATATTCATCAAAGATTCAAACCTACGGCTATGTTTCAGAGTATGAGGTAGAGATGTGCTACCAATTTCACAAACAAAAAGGAAAATTGTATATTCTTCAGACCATTCCTATTTGAATACATGTACAGGTATTTTTTACTAATGATGAATAGAATAATTCACACAAAGGCAAAGTAAACTTGAATCCTCATTTTTCATGTGGATTTTTTTTAGCACATTAAATTTGATGAGGTCAATTGCATCAGAAGTTTCTTTGGTAAACTTTAATAAGTCCTTTAAGTTAAGGAGCTGAAAGAAAGTTGAAAATTTAGTATATATATATGAATTCAATTGGTTCATTGTATCGATACCACCAAAATCTTATTTAAGTGGAAACACACACTCCCCCCCCCCCTCCTAACAATGTGGCAGTCTACAGTTTTTATCCAAAGCAGATTCATAAGTAAAAAGAACAAGGAAGAAAAATAACTAATTATGTAATGAATCCAAGGAAATAAAACAAACACATGCATAAAATGGGAATGGAAATAACCATAAGTGGTGAATTCAGTTTGATATAGAGTAAGTTATTTATATATACAAAATGGATAAGGAAGTTTCAAGTGTTTGGCAAGTTACCTTAGGTTTGATTGATGTCACATATCAGAGTCCCTCCATCCCAACAACTATTTCAAGAAGATGGATGAATATAAGATTATCAGCCTGTATTCTTGTGGTCATAAAATCTGAAGCCACATATTTACTTAATGCATTTCAGAGGATTGTTTTACTAGCATGTAAAACTATTAAAATTTCATATTCCTATTACTTTTGCACTCGTTTGATAAAGGATTTCTAGCATTCTAGCATTTCATTTGAAAACGAAATTCCTTGTCTCTTCCCTGTTTTTTTTTCCTAATAAAGATTTATTTCCAGGATCCTTCTTTCCATTTTGATAGGTTAATAGCATATTAAAAAATAATGCCTCTGGCTACTTCGTTGCGGAGGCAAAACAAACCTACTCCAGGACTGTTACACATTAAGCAACGACAAAAGACGAAAAGTAATTCTGAAGCGTGAGATTATCTTCTTTTTTTCCCCCTTTTGTTCAGTAGAATTATATGAATTGTCCATGAGCAAGGAAACCTATCGCATGTAAGTTGAAAGTGTAAGTTGAAAATGTAAATATATGACAGTTTCCAGGCCAAAAAGGTCATGATATGAAATGAAAACGAAAATAATATTGCCATGAAAAAAAAATTAAGTCGATTACAATATACACAAGGCTGCTAATTCGGTTCCAAAACATGTTATATCCATTGAAGTTTGAAAACAAGTTACATCACATTAAGAATTTCCAACTGACAAATCACGGTGAAGTGTGATATTCATGAATGGAATTTGGTTCATTGTGTTTCTACAGGATACCCTGAAAATAGCAGTCTTGTCTACCAAGAATAGACCTGGAAGGTAAACGATTACCAGTCTATTTCTACAAAAGGCTTTAAGGTTTTAATGGACTTCAGCGGGTTAGCCGTATGTCTGGAGAGTGGGTTCAGTGTGTAGGAATGCATTGTATCACATGATCGAAACGCTATTCAGCGGATACGTTTCTATAGAACTGAGCACACCTCTGGAAACTGTGGATAATTATAATCTGATTATGGAGTGCTTCTACAGAAGCGTTTACCTGGGAAAGTCTTTAAAAGTCTGGAACTCAACAGTATTTGGAATCCGGTAGAAATACAATGATTGTGCTTTTAGAACATACAAATACCACAGAAAAGCACATATTAACCAACCACATGATTACAATTAATACTGGTCTTTTGCGTTTACTACATATGTACAAACTGAGCAGTTTACAAGTTTAATTAGCTTTCTCAAAAATGTACATTAAAGCTTTATAGGCATGATTCCTGAGAAGTTACAAAACTTGGAGAACCTTCACATATTTGATACAAATATGCCAATTGCTATTTTATCCGGACTCTGTGCTCCAGCTCAAAATGAATTTTGATTGACTCAATTTTACCAAAGTCCTTTAATCAATCTTAAACTTGTATTTTGCAGCAATTACGTAAGGAATCGTGATGAATTATCAAACTAAACTCTTCAAAACAGTGCTTAGGGCGCCATCCTATCAAGCAGTTGCAACTAGATAACAACTGCAACTCTGAAAGTAAAGAGAATTATAGTGTGCAAGCTTGCAACTGATGGGAGGACTAACGATCCCCCCGGGGCCCTGTAACTATTAAAACAATTATAATTAAAAAAAAAATTAAAAAATCAACAAAAAAACACACAAAAAATCAGCTTTTTAATACAATTAATCATTAAAATTCATTGTTTATCCAATCTTGCTGCTAACAATTGTATCTTACCTTCATGGCTTCTATCCGTAACATAAAATCGATTGTAACTATATTTCACAAAAGTACAATAGATAGAAAGAGATCGGATTAATTTTGGGGGAGAAAAATGTTACAGGGCCTAGATCAATTGCAAATCTTGATTAATAAGACATAACCATCTCTTACTGTATGCATATACAGGGGTGCATGATCCCCTTTATATGTGCTTGTTAGCACATGTAGTAGTCTTCGTTGATTAGGGTTTGTTCAGATATGACACAGTAAACCGCCGCAAAAAGAGCTGCCATATGTTTTGTTTTACATGTAAATGAATGACAACTGAGCGCAACAAAGTACTTGCATGTATTCGCTGAGCTCTGTTTTATAAGATACAGAAATATGAAGCATATCACACTTTAAAGCCCCACTGCACTACTTATAGCTAATTGCGCCCTCATACAGCCAACAATGCCAAAGCGGTACCTTTGATCCCCCCATGATGCCCTTTCTCTTATGTTAATTGAGAGCTGGTTTGATGAGATAACCACCTGCCAGTGACCTTGCAGGGAGTTAGGTCCATGGTCTAATCCCTCTATGCCAAACTAGTGCATAGGGGCTTTAAGTCATCATTTTGAAAAAAAACTGTGGTTTTGCGACGTCATATCTGAGCGAGCCTTTAACGAGGTTCTGGATCGGACCGGTTCTATCAGTCAAGCTCTGAGTCCAGATCGGGCTGGTTCTCGGCGATATCCATGATGGTTTGAAGGGCGTCCATGAATCTCCACACGTCCATATAGTTACAGTACAGGGGAGCAGGAGCAATGCGAATCACGTTGGGCTTCCTCTCATCGCACTGATGAAATAAATGGACAAAGACAACAAACAGTAAGAATAACAAGAAGACTATCTGTGAAATTTAAACATTAGCAGTGTCCTAGTATTCAAATTATGCAAGGAAACCTGTTTACTTTCTAGACTTCACTGTCAGACACTTTTGAGTGACTGACTGACTTCTTTATTTTATTTCGTAATAACATACATAAAATGAGCTGTTAAGGTACATGAGCATTTGTCTACATCAGTAACCAACTTCTTGTAATGGCCAAAACGTGCAACTGATTGATTTTTGCAGATGTGCATTCATACACAGGTTTATCAGAACATCAAATTGGACCTTAGCTGCACAATTATTCATGTGACAGAATGCGCTAGAAACCGAGCAATGCAGTTCTATCACCTCGACAACGATATCCTTTTTTTGTTTTAAATTATCTTACACAACTTTACACAACAAATTTACAGTGTATGCACTTGGAGAGCAAAATAATTAGTCTGTTTTATTTACTAATGTAAAACGCTTTGAGCGTGTTTTTGTAAAGGCGCTTTATAAATATCAATATGTATGTATGTATGTATCCTCGCAAACCACTTACCACAATGCCTCTCTTGGTCATCTCACTGTGGATCCTCTTGATCGGAATGGAGAAGTAGAGGGACAGTTGGGCACCCCTATCCTCGGGGTTGGAGGGGGTCAGGATGGTAATGAACTCCTTACTCTTCCGATGGGCGCTGTTCTTGCCAAAGTGATGACCCAAGAGGTAATCCAGGTACCCCGTCAGGACCATCGACTTGGCGCGCAGCTCGGCCATGCTGGTCATACGGAACACCTAAGCGACAAGGAAATGTAGGATATATTCTTCAGTTTGGGTAGCAAAAAAGGAACTTGAAATGAAACATGTCACGCATGTTCTTATATTGCTCCACCAGTACGGCAAGAGGCACATGTGCCAGCTATTCTGATGTTCTGGGACCCATTTCACGTACAAAACTTGTCATTAGTTATAAGCTACTGAAATCCTTACTTCTGATTGGTTATCAGCAGATTTGTCACTGATTTTTGTCATTTGTCATTGAAAAAAGGCTTTGTGAAACGGGTCCCAGTTCATCGATTCCACGGAATTTGAATCTAAATATCTAAACACAAATCTGAAATCAAAGCTTAAGGTCCTTTCTGGCCTAAACGTCACAGCAGCTAATAGAATGTGCTTAACTACCTGTCTATTTCACCACTAAAGAAACCTGATCAAATGTTTGTTGCTGTGTTGTTGTTGTGTTTTTTTGGGGGGAGCACAACAAAGACTGTATTTAGGCCTTTATTTATTTTAATGAATGATGGCATAGAAGTATCATTTCTCAATAGTTCAATTATACTCTTTTTTTTTTTTTACATAGATGGATGACAAGAAAAACTGGAGTGTGTAAAACCATCATGGAATACTCAACAATGATGCAAACATTGAGAGAAAAGAGAGATAGAGAACAAACAAAAAGGGATTTCACTGAATGCAATCATTCTAAAAATGAAAAAAAAAAAAAAATACAGACAATTATTGTTGTATTTATTTTGCCAATAAAATGGAGTGCATCAGTGATTAACATAGAACTACATTATCTTTCAGTACATTTTGAGAAAAAGTGCATAAAAACGGGATTTGAATTGCAACAGGCAACAGAAATATGAAACCATTTGACAATTTTCAGATGTGACCCTTTTGATATTTAATACAACTCAATAGTGTAAAATATTTTTTCATTTGCAACCATTAAAAAGGTGATTTAGGCATAAACGATACTTACATCTAGACTTGCTCTCAAAGGACACGTAGCAAAGATGGAGGGATTGCTGATGCGATAGCCAGCAATGCCTGGGGATAACTCCAGCTCTATTCAAAAGGAAACAAAAAAACATTACAAAATAAGATTTTTGAAATAAATTCCAGTCCAATATAATAATAATAATAAATAATAATAAAGCCGTCCACTCCAAATTTTATTAAACCGAAACGGAAATTCTTTTTGCCCAATTGATCGTGAGCCCGGCAGCCACTGAGCAGCGCCAGATCGACGTCACCAAACAACACCAAACAACAAGGAGCCGCCATTTTTTAAGGCTAAGTTGAGATTATTCCAGTAACCCATCCTTTACAACATTCACATATAGGTAGATGCACCCCCCCTGTCTTTGATATTTTCTCCCTCTTCTTTCTCGTTATTGGTACCACCTCACATTTTACCTTATATTTACTTAAGTTTTAATTGTATAATTTTTTTTAGTTATTGGGGGTAGTCCTCGACAAATCATTTTTGATTTTTGACTACCCCTTCCACATTTGCTGATTTGTTTCTTTTTTAAAACATACATTGCTCCAACTGGAGTCGTTTCATTGTACATGTTCTATTATTGTATTGTATGTATGTATTTTATTCTATGTAGCTCCCTATGTTTTGCATTTGTGGAGAAATAAATTGAACTTTGAACTTTGAACTTATTTTAATCCTAGATTACCCCCCGAATCAAATGGAATCACCTATGAATTTGAGATGCAACTCGTATTACAGGCAAAGGATGGAATTGTAGTATGTTACATAAATTACATGTTGGTTAATTTGTCAATATCAATTCCAACATGAAACAAACTGAACCTTTTTCAGTTGACCAAAATACATATACATGTAAAATAAGTCACTTTAAAGATACAATCTGCACATAAGCAGATAAAGGTCACTTGTATAAAACTGTAAAACCGTGACAAATACTGGATTCGTGCTCAGGATAGGTATGTAATCATTCATTTATTAACCACCGGCACATTCTCTGATACACAGGTGAAAGAGGTCTTATCAAAAGAGCAAACAAAAGGCATGCATGATCGAAGCACCTCCATCACTTTGACAGTGATTATTCTAAAGTTCACAAAGTGGGACGTTAGTAGAAGTGCGCGTTCTCTGAAGTGGCTTATTTATAGTATGCCTCTGGCATTCCTTGTGACAAAGGCATAGCCAATCATCCCTTTTTTTTTTGTAACCGGTATATCACATTTAATTAAAAGGTCTTTCAACTATTTCATAACAAACTTTTATTGCAGATACAATGTACTACATAACTTGCTCCATATGCACTATGAACATGACAGACAAAGAAAGCGGACAAAATATACAGTTCCTCAGGTAGACAAAGGAACATCCCTTCACTGCTATTATGTTAAAAGGTGAATATGCATGTGACACCTGTTCCACACATTTTTGTCTGTCATGTTCATAGTGATGCCTTTGGGAGTTTGGGCTATCTCACAATAAACAAACTTTTTTAGTAATGTAATCTAATTTAATGCACAAATCTTTGTTAAGTGCCTCATTACAAATTATTTAATTTGCCAGTTACAAATAATTATACTAGTTAGAATGTGAATTGCATACATTTCGCGTTGTTAAAGGTAAAGACAAGTATTGGAAACGCCCCAATTTCAAAAAATGAAATGGAAGCTCTCATTACCGATCATGTGAAAGAATATGTTTTGACTAATACATGATGATAAAAAATTTGCCGGGAAACCGCCTACTAATTCATATATTTGGTAAATTTGTTTCTCTCATGGTCTGTGAGAGATACAGGGTAGTCCCATATACATCTTTCTGTGTATAGTGCTTGTAACTTTACGAAGAATGGGCCAAATTTCTTATCATTTTGATGATTCCAGAACCTTGCAGATGCTAGATGCTAGATGATCAACCTTTTCTGATCGATTCCACAACGTTTCTTTCACAATGCAATCGCATGACCATAACTGGTCTTTACCTTTAAGTAGGACAAGCCGTAATGTTTGTCTTACCTAGCAACAATTAATGTATTAATGAATTCTGACTATTGAAATACAATTATCCATAGCAGGTGAATGAAACAATTCATATCAAGGCACTTCACTAACAAAACAAGTGTGCTTTAAATTTGGTTACATTATAAACAAGGGAAACGCTCTCGGCGGTCTCGCCTGCATAACGCAATTCAATATGATAAACCAGAACGTCAATGACGTAGCGCTCATCCGTATCTCACAACAACAAATATCGTAAATTTTATGTGGTACACTTTTGAACTGGTCAAAAAATAGAAATTTGATGCCCTGGAAGGGACATAATTTCATTTCATTTGCATAAAGTACCATAAATAATCAATGGAGCAAAATCTCACAATTCTGTGTTTATTGTTCCAAATTAAGCTCTACCAGATAAGGCAAAATCGGTCAAGAAATGAGGGAAAAGAAGCAAGTTTTGTTATTTTTCGAATAAATTTGCATAAATTACCATAATTAATTAATCGAGAACAATTTCAAAATTCTGTGTAGAAGTTTAGTGTACCAAAGTTAGCTCTACGATATAAAGCAAACCAAATCAAAATCGGTCGAGAAATGAAGGAGAAGAAGCCTTTTTTGTGATTTCGAATAAATTTGCATAAATTAGCATAGATAATGAATTTCACGACTCTGTGTAGAAATTTTAAATCCCTCCTAGCCCTATCATATGAAACAATCAGAATCAAAATCGGTTGAAAAATAATGAAGAAGAAGCATTTTGAAAATCTTATTTGATGCCACAACAAAGTCTAAGTTTGTTGACCTTAAATGGCCTTTGACCTTAACTTAGTGACCTGAAATTCTACTCACATGATTGGGGAGACTTGATAACCCTATAGTCCAAGTTTCATTGACTAAGAACTTATACTTTCAAAATTATATCAAAAATTCAAAAACTTAACCTTAGGTTAAGTTTTCGATGATGATGCTACAACATAGTCCAAGTCTGTTGACCTGAAATGACCTTTGACCTTGACTTTGTGATCTGAAATTCTACTCACATGATTGGGGATACTTGATTACCCTATAGTCAAAGTTTCATTGACTAAGAACTTATACTTTAAAAATTATACCAAAAATTCAAAAACTTAACCTTAGGTTAAGTTTTTGATGTTGACGCCGTCGCCGCCGCCGTCACCGGAAAAGCGGCGCCTATGTCTCGCTTTTTGCTACGCAGGCGAGACAAAAAGGGCCCATTGTACATCAATTTTGACATGCCTGAACAGCGGTACATGTATTTTTTGGGAGGGGGGTGGGCTCACAATGGATCCGCAAGGGGGGATATTTTCAACATGACTTTGAAAACAAGATCATCCCGGCTTAAAATATAGGGTCAATAAGTAAATACAAAAGGTCACATGTGCATACATTGCATATGTAAGAAGTGCAATAGGTGCTGTGCTGAATCAGAAGTAAAGAGCAAGAAGGATTTTGCACCTACACGTAATGATATTCAACTTTAAAGACCCTATCCGATGAAAATACAACTTCATATCAATGGACAGCTGAATGAACGTGAAAAATACAAATATAAAGGAATATCAATTTTCTCCTTTCAGTATTGCACAAAAGCAAGTTAAATCTTTATTTTCTGCACCCCTGCTAATGATGGGTAGACAGGGGTCACATTTGCCGCAGTTAGGGTGATGACATTACATGTGCACCCAATCGTCTTGCCTACATGTATATAGCTGAGGCAATCAGCCATGCTCAGTTAAAGGTAAAGACCAGTATTGGAAACGCCCCAATTTCAAAAAATGAAATGGAAGCTCTCATTACCAATCATGTGAAAGAATATTTTTTGACTAATACATGATGATAAAAAAATTGCCGGGAAACCGCCTACTAATTCATATATTTGGTAAATTTGTTTCTCTCATGGTCTGTGAGAGATATAGGGTAGTCCCATATACATCTTTCTGTGTATAGTGCTTGTAGCTTTACGAAGAATGGGCCAAATTTCTTATCATTTTGATGATTCCAGAACCTTGCAGATGCTAGATGCTAGATGATCAACCTTTTCTGATCAATTCCACGTTTCTTTCACAATGCAATCGCATGACCATAACTGGTCTTTACCTTTAATGCAAAGTCATTATGATTATGCGTACTCAGCATAAGATGATGTCATCAAGTCAATAGCTAGTTTTTAGGTCCACAACTTCCCATTTTCATAGGTTTAGATTTCAAATGTTCAGAAAGTTGTTACTCATTTCCCCCTAAAGACACCCCTTCAGCAATCAACACCCCTCCTCGATGACAATTACCCCCCGAAAAAAATCAAAGCCAACATATTATCAGGGTGGATGAATTAATGAACAAAGGGTTAGTTTTCCAGGGGGTAATTTTCCGGGGAGTGATTGTCCAGGTTGAAAATGGATATTATTGTAATCTATGGCTTATAAGTTTTCTGTTGGTATAGTCCTTCCTTTTTCACTTCCAACATGGTCTTTAAATTTGAACAAAACCTTTGACTACATTAATGACCGAACTTTTAACCACAGTGACATAAGAAAAGCAAGCAACATTTATTATACTATATAAAAATAAAACCATTTTTTATTTCTAACAAATTGCACAAAATGTACACAGTTACATCAAAGACAATGCATACAATGGAGATACACAGAAAAATTATATTGCACGCTAATGATTTTCAGACAATCACAGTACACAAAAACACTAAACGTAATAATTCTTGTATGTCTAGTGATAACAATTCAGCCAATAAGATAGGTGCTTACAAATACCGTAATTAACGTTGTATAAACCGCCCTCGTGTATTAACCGCACCCCTCTTTTTCGTCCTTAAAAAAAAAAAAAAAAATTGGCCGAGATTTTTTTTGTGTGTGTGTAAGATCATTGATGTAAATTAAAAAACAGTAGGGGACCTAGGAAAGAACCTTGTGGTACACCATGCAATAGAAGAAAAATTGGAGGAATTATTATTATGAACTACATATTGAGATCTATCAGAAAGATTACTTTCAAACCAAGATGACAGACAAATTTGAATGTTGTTCTAGTTTCCGAGTGGTGAGTCAACACACCGATTACCGAGCTGGGAGACATTGCCAGGCATAGTGCCAGGTGGAGGGGCATAAATAAAAAATAAATAAATAAAAAAATCGGTGTACCGTGTATACGCCGCACCCCCCGACTTTGAATTTTTTTCGGCGGCAAAAAGGTGCGGTTAATACACCGTTAATTACGGTACTCCATTTTATGTAAGTGGTGCTTGCACGCTAACCAATCAAGACTGTGTACACAACTATACTCATATAGCATTGTGTTGTAAAAAATGGGAACTCCCTATATTTATACAAACATGCACACGCACAGTTTGACTCTTTGACTTTTTAAACGTTTTTACAACATAAAAACGTTTATATTTACTGGATGGTAAGACATGGCAGTATCCTGGCCCTGTCCCTATGTAAGGCGGGCATGACGGATTGCACACTTTAAATGGAGAGCTATTCGCTTTAATAAGGTAAAAATAAAAAATAAATAAAAAAGGAAATCAGAAAGGACAAAGACAAGTATCAAATTGAAATTTCAAGAATTGTAACAGTGTGATCATCCCCAGTAACTTGATTTAGTATGTTACTTGCTTACTTATGTAACAGCTTCATTTCCTCTAGAGCACCGTTTTCCATATGGACAAAAATACTTCAAATACTTTGTGTCTGTGTGTACCGTACTTCACATGCATCAATGTCAATGAATGCAATTCCAAACACATGCATGTATATATATATGCACAATGTGTATGCATCATGAGTTGAAAATGCAAGTAACTCCATGATATTAAACATCTACACAAACTCCAGAAATTCTAAATTACCACTAGCTGTTGTGATGGAGGGAAAATGCATACATGTAGATGAAACGATAGATTAATAATAAAGCCTCTGTTTTGTCTATAATTTATTCACACACGTACATGTACTATATCTCATTCATATCCCATGCTTTCGAAGTAAATGTTCAAAAGCTCAATTCTATACTCACCATTGTTCATTTGAAACCTGCTCTTAAATTTGTGGCCCCACCATCCAACCAATCTGAAAGAAAGATATCCAGCAGAAAATTGAATATAAGTGTGTCTCCGATTACATTCAAATAAGAACTACAACAACAAATAATATTGATAATAATAAAACTACTTATAATGATAGTAGTAATAATAATTATAATGATGATTATAATAATGATTATCAATATTATTTAAAGATAATAATAACAAAAACAACAATAAAAATATATCCACAACAATAATAATAATGATAATAGTACAAAATTAAAATAGCCTATTATACTCAAGAAGTCTGTATATAATGTGTACCTATCTCTGCAAGTGCCTTTTACCACTACACATAATATATTACTGTCACTCTTTAAGAATGTATTTGGGGGAAATAAATGAGACTTTCATGATTTTAACAGTTTACCCGCTTTGATTAACTAATGGGACAAGCAGTGGACTGCCAAGGTAGACGTTTGTGTCTCAAACGGTATATCATATGAATCCTATATTCCACACAATGTACGAGTCTAGGGTTTCAATGCATAGCCGATAATGGGTCAAAGTGTACCAATCACCTAAAACTATAATAATGATTGGTACACAGAATAGGGCTTCCTAGCTTTCTGGCCAAACATGTACCTTCCATCCACATAATGAGCTGAAACCATACAAGAACATGTCCATTTTTCATAACTAAACTATTATGTGACTGACACAGCTGTCCCCTTTTCCTAGATGTCAAAAACAACATCATTTATTTGTTATTTTCTTCAAAAACAGGCATCCAAGATAAGGATGGTTGGAATAATATTTTAAAACCCCAAACAGCTGAAAACAATGCAATAGTTTGTCTTTAAAAAAAATCAGTTTAAATATGCGCCCCTACATTTTATTTTATTTTTTTTTAAACCTCAGTTTCATTATGTTCCCTTATGCTACCTTACCACTATGCACAGAAAGAGATGCGACAAAATTGGCACCAATGGTCAAATTTGACTAACAGCCATTTATAATACCAAACAAAGAAGAAGAAGAAGACACATACTTGGGTTCCATGGACTGAGCCAGTTTAGAATGAAGAAAAGCACCGCCATGACTTCCAGCGCCAGAATTCAGATACTGAAACAGAGAGATATTCAACAAGTACAATCCTTTAAAACTACAACATAGGTATAATCAGCTCATCAATTCTCTTCACATAATAACTATATTAAAGGGAAAATCCAACCTTCATAGCAACCTACTCTAGAGGAAAGCAGAAAAATCAAAAAAGTAGAATGGTGTAAGTTTGAATGCAATTGTACAAAAAGTTGTATTCACTATACGTGTGGGCTCTTCAAATTGGCTAAATCAGTAATGTCTCAACTTTCCAGTTTTTTCCTACACACAAAATTACTAAATTCCATTTTTTTTCCAGTAATGTATGACTATGATAATATGATATCCATAACATATTTGAAGTAGTACCCCTGGGATAGGGCACTTGGGAGAAAAGGAGAAATTAGTTATTTTATTCTGGTCAGTTCTGTAGTTCTTTTGTTCCTTTTCTTTTGCCATAAAAAGGTGTAAGTAATTGTTTGGTAACTTCGCAAAAAATGCTGACAAAGTAGCAAAGCTTTACAATCATCTAGGCATTGTTTCAATGGGAAACCGCCATAAGAACACGTTCGGCGACAACACGTGTTGAATTAAAAACATGTGTTTCAAAGGGCTGCTGGCAAACTAGTACTTACGACTGTTCTGGCAATGTAGCAGAGCTATACAATCATCTGGGCATCGCTTCACGAAACTGTCATAAGAACAAGTTCACCGACATTACACACGTTTCAAAGGGGCTGTCAGCGAACTTGTACCTATGACGGTTTTGTGAAACGTTGCCCAGGATGGAGTCTGCTGAAGAGCAAAGAGTGACTTACCTTGTACGTACAAAAGACTGCAAAGTCTACCTCCCAGTCATGAAGATGGAGCTCGACATTACCTACTGCATGAGCTAGATCAAAGCCGACATAACAACCCTGTGTAAACAGAGAAAAATGAAATAAAAATACACATCAGCGTGGGCATTAGTGAGGATTGTTCACACAAGTTGTACCTTTGGGATAATCTAGACATCCAAAAGCAATTGCAAAACGGGTTTGGACTCTTTTTAAGGTACCGAGGATGGATCATGATACAGCCCAAACACAAGATGTGTTTTATTTCTTTTATTAAATGGTAATGAAGATCTTTGTCACTTGATGAATTATCCTGATGTCATATTTCATTGCTGTAGAATCAATTTACACAGTTTGACCTAGACGATTAACCCGCTGGTCATAAAAAATGCTAATGATCGGTCATCAGAAAGTGATAATGACCAGTTACGCCATAGGCAAAAGGAAAACCCACAGAAAATCAACTGAGAAACAACTTACAAAGTTTGATCTACACGACTGACTGACTGGTCGTAAAAGAATGCTAATGACCAGTCGTTAAAAAGTGCTAATGACCAGTTTTTACATGTTGTTAGGCAAAAGGAAATCCCACAGAGACATGTATTAAAGAGAACCTTAATGCAAGAGATGTACAAAGAGAGGTCCATAAAATAATATGAGGAACAGAGAAGGTAAGAAAAAGAGAAAAAATAAAAAATAAAGAGGAAGATACAAGTAAAAAATAAGCAACAACAACAACAGCAAAAGTAGGGGGGGGGACAGAGATGGGTGAGGAAGAGCAAATACAATCCTTTTTGTAATATTTAAAATGTGTGAGGGTAATAAGACCTTTCGTCTGAATCTCTTTGGTTCATTGAAAATGCAAAATGTGGATTCCAACAGACAATCTTATAAAATATTCCACCCATTTTTAAATCCTATCCCATAATTGCAAAAAGTCAATATGAAATAGTTCTATGGGAACGAGTGAAAAGATTTTTCTCATCCCTACAAGATTCTCATCTGTTTTGAGATCCAAGCAGATATTATTACCTCCAGGCAGACAGTACCCGGTATGCATAATATTTAAGGATTAAAAAAAAAAAGAGAGATTACTTGCACCTGTTTTTCTCATACCCTGGATTGATTAAGGGTGCGTTCCAGCAATTTTTTAAAGCTAGAATCACAAACATGAATCACAAATCAAAACACTGTTAAAAAAAAAGGTTTATGCGGGAGAGCGTTCAAGCAATTTTTCATCTACGCTGATTCTCGCTCATTTCAAGCCCAAGCGATTTTTAGCGACCGTGATTTTGCAGAATCACGATACAAAACGCATCTTTTTCAGCGTTTTATGTTTGCGTTTTTAAACACTTTTATTTTTACAACCGACAAAAAAAAAATCACTTGAACGCACCTGTGTTTTAAGCTAAACGTCTTTGAAAACCGCGTTTCTAGGGTGAAAAAGTGTCGCTTGAATGCACCCTTAGATTTGCAAATATTTCCAGTTTGAAAGAGATGCCATATCTTTTTTTGAAGATGACATCAATAAAAAACAAGGCCTTACTTGTGTCGAACGTGATTTCAATTTATTGGCGAGGGAATTCTAGGTACGTGGGTCCTTTGTATTGGCTTTGTATTCACACGTAGAAGATAAAGAAGCAGCATACCAGGGGAGCGTTCCACAAAGATTAAAATCAACTTAAGTTGGACTTGAACGATGGCAGGCCGTTCATGCCACTGTTTGCTCTCACCATTTACTGGCATTTGTCTCTTAAGGGACGTACAAATCTCTCACAAATCTACATTTTTTGATAATTCATTATTGAAGGAAAGAAATATTATCTGAAAATTATAATTTCTAATTTAATATCTAGTTCAAGAATTTGTAATGGCATAAAAAGCCTACCTCAGTATAAATCCAAGTCTTGAATATGACTTAAGTTTACAAAGTAAGCAAATTTCTTTCTATGACAATAAACTATCAAAAAATTTAATTCTGTAGATTTCTGACATCCCTTGAGAGACCAATGGTGAGAACAACCCGGGGCATGAATGGCCTGCCATAGTTCCAGTCCTACTTTATAATAAACCAATCTTAGTCGATTCACTCACCTTTGTATGTCCAGCTTTAGTGATGACCGGCATGTTGAAGAGCTGACCAGTATAATACTGCAGGGCGCCGAGCAAGATGACCGCTATACTATCCCCTTCCTTCTCAATCATACTCAACACGTCCTCAGTTCTTAAATCATACTCTCCCTAAGATACAAAAATAAATAAATAATAGTAGTTTAATAGTGCTTGTACATTGCCCAAATCTTTCATACTTGAAACTCGTAGAGATGCTCATATATTTTGAACTAGCTTCAGAATTACTGCTATTATGGCAATTTATAGCATTTTACAGAATGACTTCCTGCCAGGTATCTATTTTACCTCACCTAGATCGAGAGTGGCAAATGTAGATGCATGTCTTGGCATAGACCGAATTTTCCGTCTCTTTCGTTCGTTAGCCTCTTATTGGGGTAGGGTCGGCTCTCTCTTTAGAGACGGAAACCGCCTATACACATTCCCTTGATAACGCCACGGCCATTTCAGGTCGTATTGTTATGCCCCCAAAATCCCCCAAAATGTCATTTTACCTCGTACATATCCAATTGTAAATTAGGCCTAGGCTATAATACATTGGTTCCACTTACTAACTTGACTGAAATAATCCGTTTAATGGTACCTTTTAAGGAAATTATGGGTCAAAATCGACATCCATGTTAAAAATCTTGCAAGCCGTGTTAAACTCTCGCTGCGCATGGAGTCATCTAAATTAATCTCATCCCTTCTAGTCTACGCCGAAGGCAAAATGATAATGAAGGAAAAACTGTGATAACGCCATTACGAACGTGTAGATGAGCTCACAGAAATACCTAACATTTTATAGATCTAGATATTTTGCTGTCTCCATCAGCTCAAGATTGCCAAATAGCCCACTTTTTCTGATTAGGGAAATAATCCAGAAGTTACAAATCGCGTCTTCATCAGCTTGAGAATTGACCTTGAAACTTGAAACTCGAGCTCAAGATATTTTGCTCAGCGTTAGCGCATAGTGCGAGTCTTCGGGTTGGTCAAAATAGCGGGATATTTTGCAAACTAGCCCAAGAAATCTTGGGATGATTATCTCGACCAAATATCCCACTAATTACAACTTCGGGCTGATGAAAACGCAAATTAACTGGATAATTTGCGATCGGGACAGTTCAAATAGCGGGATATTTGGCAATCTCGAGCTGATGAAGACAGGCCTAAAGACAAAAAACATCTGAGACCACATTTGGAACAACAGTCGGAAGTATACAGTTTCAAAGAGGGTAGTTGATGCTCTTCATTCAATTCAATTTCTAAAGCTATACCAACACTTACTTTTCTTGGTTCCACGCAAATAAGACTCGTTGCTGGATCATACCCGTTGAGACGTATGTGAGACTCCACCGCATACTGGGTTGGCAAAAAAAACAACACAAAATGCTCCAATTTCAGAAGATTTGTGCCAGTGGATTTCTCTTTTCTCATCTTGTTTAAGAATCATGAATAAATTACTCCATGTCATTAAAGGGATCCGGTAACTTTGTCTCAGATTCTGAAACAAAATTCTGGATTTAGCTCATGCTGCAAATATAATTATAAACCTTTAGGTCAGTCAGAAACCCCATGACTTTTACAAGCCGATCGCCGGTCTGATTATCAAGATATTTATGATTGGAACTACAAATTTTGAAAACCGTTCGCCTGACGGTTTTCATAACACTACAGTCTATTGGGGAAAACGAGTATAGTAAAACCGTTCACTCAAAGATTTTTACTTTTTTGAGGCACTTCTTGATCATTTTGAAGCGCCAATTTTTTTAGGGCTTCAATATTACACCATATCACAGACACTGATAACACGTAGGGCCGTGTATCTCAGATTTAACATTGTTATACGATCCCTTTAAATGGCTTTTCTTCATACCATCCCTCCTTTTTACTCTGAGGCCGGTAATCATAAAAACTGACTAACTTTAGGCCGGGTCAAAGTATAAAAGCAGAACTTCAGTCCACTATGGCAAAAAATCATCCAACGACGATGGAAAATGCTATATAACCCAACCACAACAACTGATTTGCATTTTGTATGGACTATTGAATATCATATGTCAACCTCCTCATCCCTTTAAAAAAAAAGCCTTGTTATAGTGTAAATAAGAAATCAGTCACTAGAATTCTTTTTACTCTTTTGTATTTTTCTTCATGGTTTTAGTCTGTGGTTGTATGGCGCATTTCAGTATTTTGGTAAAGATAAGAACTGAATTGAGTTGATTTTTAATATTCAATAAGTAAGATTCTGCTCAGTAATTGTTTAACAATCCCAAACAGTAACTTACATGATCACTTGGAAAGGCTTTTGATTCAATGAGAATTTTATGTCTTTTCTTCGTGGGCTGATAAAATGACATCTGCAAGATAATTAAACAAAGAACAAACAAATGAACAAAGCATCAAAAGGTAGAAAATGAACAAAGCATCAAAAGGTATAAATTGAACTGTTCTTATAAGATGTACTGTACAATGGCCGTTTGCCTGCAAAACTAAGAACTAGACTAGATGTCTTTACACAGCATTCAGCCTTGCAAAAACATATAAACTTAATTTGAAGGTGACAAGTCTGTGAATGCTTCTGATGCTGAATTTTACTTTGATCTGAACTGACATAAAAAATGCATGTTAATTATGTACCTAGTATAAGCCTACAGTTGAATTGTGAAAGATAAGCAAAAAACAGATCAATCGTTTTCTGTTATCTTTACATGATCATGCAAGGTTTTTCTAGCAAGAGGGGGCTATATTGATGCAACGAATACTACACAAAAAGTGTTCATAGCTATACAGTGTGAGTCAAAAAACGTTTACACCTAGAAAATTGCTCATTATTTTAAAAATCATCTATGAACAGTAAATTATTGTATACCTTATGAAAGAGTCTTTTATCCCGAATCATTTAATATAATTTTATGTGGTATGTGGTCACGCTTGGATGAACAGGAGGCATTGTTTGCAAAAGTGCAAAAAATTGACTTGCGCCAAAGTTGCTTATGTGATATTTGAATAAAACATTTGGGATTTGGGTATTAATTCAGTCTTTGCAGATCCAAATAACATTCCTAACAAATATAGATCATGCCACACATATCAAATATCGAATACAAAATATCAACGAACATTTGTGAGTGCGTGTGTATGTGTATGTGTGTGACTTTGCTTCTGCAAAAAGCATATGCAATGCATTTCATTTGATAAATTCAATTCATTCTCTCACTCTGCTAATCCCAACATAATACTGTAGGCATCACTTTGGCGCAAGTCGATTTTTGCACTCTCGCAAACAATGCCTCCTGTTCATTCAAGCGGAAACAAAGACCACACAAAAATGATACCAAATGATTTAGGATAAAACACTCTTTAATAGGATGTATAATAATTTACTATTCATGGATGATTTTTAAAATAATTGGCAATTTTCTAGGTGTAAACTTTTTTTTGACTCACACGGTATACACGTATGAGTTTCAGTAACAGAACCATTTATCAATTTCTACTCCTTTTCTAAATTATTCTATGTGGGCACAAAGGGGAATTATACATTTCATTTGAATTTAATGGAATCTTGTTTTTGGTGCCACAAAAAATTTGTACCTCCAACTCACAGAGAAGATCACAACCTTTCAATAACATCGCTGACTGGATTGTTTGTAATTCAGATGAAAGGATTTCTTTAAAACTAAAGCAGAGGATACACTGATTCTCTGACTAATAAACTCTGTTACCTTCAGTCTTATCATAGATTAGTACACCCCCACGTGAACAAAGTTGTATTCATTTCTTGTTATTTATTCATTTAACAAAAATTGCCATTCAATGGGGGGGGGGGGCATGTACCCCTCTTACCCCTGTAGCTCTGCCATTGCTTACACCTACTAATACTGAAAATATTCATGAAATCACTGATAAACATAGGCGCATTCTTAACAAGCGTTACAAGGGTTAAACATTACTCACCAATAATAGATGTAAGTTGACAGTAAGACCATTCATGATTGCTAATTCATCTTCCTTACAACCTAAAAGAGAGAAACAATTCACTCACTAGTACCAAAATAATTTTCATTAATTCATTAATTTAGTAGCTGCAGGATTGACGAGGCAATCCAACATTTGTCATGAGTTTATTCATATAAGCACACAATCAAGGAAATTAAAACATTGAACGTTTTAAATAAATCAGACTAATTGAAAAAGTTCTGAATGTTTGAAAAATGAAATCATTACATCTGTGCAAATCTCAAATTGGCGATTTAATCAGTGGATTGTGATATCTATGTGACAGCACGGACGACTATGCTGTTTGTCGTATACAAAAATATAATTTACTTCTGTTTCTTCTCTAAGTGCCTTCTCCCTTGAAGAGTGGAAGTACCACTCAAATTTATGGATAACATATTATTACAGGTCCTCTACAAATGAAAACATACTCCTGAAACATAAGTTTTGAAAAAATTGACATTGAATAATTTGAGTGTCGGAACATATGGAAGGGTTGTTTGCCACGACATCAAAGTGAATTTACAGATTCCACCAACTTGAAATTATTCCCTATGTATATGTACACCTATATTCTGTATTGATTAGAACTTTAAAACTGCATAAATTTCTTATTATTTGTCAGATTTCTTTCAAATATTGAAGATGATAATGATGATGTATACATGTAGTTGAAAGCAATTGTGATTATTATATTAACAAGATGATGATTATGAAGTTGAAATTGATGATGGTGAATTGGTGATGAAGAAGAAGAAGAAGATTACAAGGTTGATGATTAAAAGGATGATGAAGATATTTTATGATGATGATAATAACAATGATAATCATGATGATAATGACAAAGATAATCATGATGATAATGAAGATGATGTTGATAACGATTATTATAATGGCTCAACGGACAAGTGCTGAAGAAAAAAAATCTCAATGTACCTGAAGCTAAAAGACTGATCTTACCTATAATATTAGACATGTCAGCAGCAAGAACTTCATCACAGAAAGCCCAAGGTATCTGACCGGTGAAATGACCATGCACTCCCCTGAAACAACATAACAACAATATTAACAACAAAAATAATAAGGAAAATCATTTTTTCTTTTTAAACAAACAAGTTTATATAAGCCCAGGGCCCCATTTCACAAAACTTGTCATCAGTGACAAATGACAGTTTTTGTTATAGGCTACTGAAATCCTTGCTTCCGATTGATTATCAGCAGATTTGTCACTGATTTTTTTGTCATTTGTCATTGAAAAAAAGGCTTTGTGAAACAGGTCCCCAGATATCTAATCAGTGAAATGTTTATATTTCAATTTCAATCTCAATTTCATATCTGTTTCCAAAATATCATTACAAATCGATTACCGGTATAATAAATTAAGGACTACATGTACATATTGGAAACAGAGGGGTCCACTAAACAGCAATGCTTGTACAATTGTGGAACCCTCAAAATATGGTAAGGAATAATGAGTAATTAAATTAACAAATTTGTAACTACAAAAAGGAAAACGGGACAAGAGAGTGCTTGACATGACAAAGATAGGAGTAGGAGAACACGTTCACAATACAAAAAGTAGACAATGCCCCCAAAAGAATTGAAAGATCGACAGTACAGAAAATAATACAAAAGGATGAGCTGCATGTGGGGTTGAAACAAAGGTGAGGAAGGAGATCTGCGCATTAGAAAGGAGATATGTATCCCTTTCATATCCCTTTTTGAATGGTGTAAAATTCCATCACATTTATAAACACATTTATAATTTGAGAAATAATAGCATTGCAATTATGTTCATTCTTTATGGGATGTTGTCTGCTTGGGCAGGATTGGTTCATAATGTGGCGTCATTAAAACATTGTTGTTTTTCTGGCGAATCTCTCACATATCCCAGATGCTATGGAGGTTGTTTTATTTGTATTTTTATAAACCACCCGATAAGTTGACCTACATGTAAAACTTGCAAGATGGCCATCTGTTAGCTTACCAGTTTCTAGTAATATGCTATTTGCCATATTTGTGATTTTCTATGGACCTGCACTTTAAACTGAACTTATTGCAATTCATCAAAATAAATGGTCCGTGAATGGAGATTTCTTTTGGATGTTTAATAAAAGAAATAACCTTGTCAAAACGACTCAGGGTAAGAATTATAATGGTCTCAAAGTATTTTAAGGATTAGGGCGAGTGCGAAACCAGGTTGATCTGTGAGAGAGGAAGTGAAACAGTGTATAGAATGAAGACAAAATATAGGTCATTATAGAACACGCAAAGTAATAGAGGCATCACAACTCTTTGTCGCCACGGAAAGCTGGGCCCAGACAATGTCAGGCAAGCCAAAACGTGTGATTGATCGCTTGCCAAGACGGCACTCAGCCATTCCATGCTATTAAACAAAAGGGCTCTATTAAAGCAAAAGCAGGTTATTTAAAATCGTTATCAAGGCATAACAAGAGAGTGTGACGCCATATACCCTACGAAACTGTACGGTTTTATCCATTACTACAAACAAGTTGAGTGGCTCTGAGTTGAAGGTCATTCTGCAAGTTATGTGCTCAAAGGTACTTTTCACCATTTACAACGGGAATTAATATAAATATTAAGATAATATTGTCCAATCAAAGTCGCACCTTCTGTATGTACTGCACGCCGATCCTATTCCTAGGATCTTTAAGAAATTGATCTGGATTGATGACACGCACAAAATCTTCCTTTAAAAACTACATTAATTTAAATGTTTAATAAATATTGATAGTGTCTGCCAGATAGTATAACAAATTAATAGCTTCTCTCTCTATTACAATTTAAGTGGGCACGGTTCACTTTTAACATGCTAAATGAAAAAGATGGTTTTTTTCTTCAACAGTTCAACCCTTTTTAAGCTTACATGTATTTTCTCAAAATGTTAGAATACAATTAATGCATAATATATGCACCTTTGTTAATCCGTTAGACATGATGGTATTTCCTTTATTGAAGATCAATTGTTAAATTTTCTATTTCCCTTTTAAACTAAGTTATCTCAAAAGATAAAAAGGTTTCAACAAATTTAATTGATTTTAAGGCACATTTTCATTTGTAGGGCAAAAGACCGATATTAAAATGTATACCATTACAAGTACACTACTCAAAACACCTTTTCTAGTTGTAATACAGCTTAATAGTGCATTTTATTAATCTTTCCCCAAAAAATAACATGAATAAAATAAAAAATACACAGAGAACATAACTACCAAAAGACTTTATCTTCACTGATTGGAAAATGTTATAACTAAAATCTAAATATATACATGTAAACCCTCAATTTTTTTTTAGAAGGGGCAATTATCATTTATTGGTCTAATATTAAAAAAAAAAAGGTAGACCCACAAGTGGTTCACAATAAACATACGTTTTGATTGTAGTATAAAATTCAGAACACAATGGAATTGTGTAGAAGAAATAGACCTGTACTTTCTACCAGTTATCTGCATTCTCAGGCAGACCCATTTATACACTATAATGCAATTAAAGCAAGTAAAGCAATTCTCGCTACCCTAAATAGGTACGAAAATCTCGAAATTCGCGAGACGAGGTAATTTTCACTCTCTCGGGTCGTCACTACAACTTCCGGTATAGAGTCCCATCCCGCTGGCGCTAGCGCCTGTGTTCGCTGTGCAGAGTTTTCACGCACCCTAAAATCGATGCCAATCAGTGTAATTTGTACAGATTATAATATGCAATGGAAAGCTTCGGGCAGAATTAGTGACTTTAGCACAAAAGGCCGTTAAACTCTACCGTGAAAGAGAGGGTTGTGATCACGAACGCCTGCACAGGAAGCTGTAATGTCGAAAAGCTATCCCATAATGCAATGCGCGTTTTCAGGATTTTCCCCGGATCTCGGCAGAATCGCTATTTGGGGTAGCGAGAATTAATAAGGAGTATGTGTACCATACAAAGGAGAAACACTCGATGTGCATCCCTGCATTGTAGTAATTCTTTACAATATACATGTATTTACACAAGAAAGCTTGTTCACATGAGGTATGAAGATTGAAGAAAGATGAAGACAGCAAAAGTGAAATCGAACATAATTTTGTTGCTACATGTACATGTACATGTAGGCTTAACAAAATCCTTTTTTTTTCTTTCTTGTTTTAACTTTGTAAATAGTGTAAATAGTTCACTACAAAACTTTAAGAATTTTATTTGTCATATATTATATATTTGAAAGGTGTTGTAATGATTCAAGCTCTATTTGCTTATGTTTCATCACCTTCGTGTGTTCATTCTTCAAACTGTATATTAGTTGTAACTTATCTTTGATAAAACATTGTTACAGTGTATATTCTTTTTCATGTGAAGTCAATTCAAATGGATTGTAAAATTGAAAATGATTTGTTATATTATATTCATTTTTCATGTGATGTTAACTTCAATGAATTGTGAAATTGTAAACATGCATAAATAAATAAATAAATTTAAAAAAATTAAAAAAGAACAAGCATCAATTGATGCCTTTCCAGCCTCCACTGACATAATTTTGATATAAATTACAAGTGTAAACAACTACACAATAGTCTGCATGTACAGTACATGTACATGTTATGAAAAGTATGTGTTACAAAACACCATCCACTTTAGAATTGGATGTCAATTGGAATGAAGACAATCAAGAGTTCAAGATGCATGCCCCGCATCCTTCGAGTGGTTGGTTGCTTAGCAACAGGCTAAGAATCAAAGCAGTGTTTCTCGCACACCGAGATGGCTAGATCTAATGCCTAGAGAATTGGCGAAGCAATAGAATTATAGAACGCTCTAAATAAATCAACTGAAATCTAATTTTGTAACCCCTCTACAAACCCAAGGCGCTGTGAGATTTCCAGAACAAAGCCTGGACATACAATTTTCCGCATGAAATGTCAACAAATAAATTGACAGCGGGTAGATTACTCAAATTCTACCTCAGTGAGAAAAACATGTTGATAAAAATAATACCCTTTATTTTCATATGATATACATTTCATAACTTATTTGCCGACAAAAAAGGGATGTAAGGAAAAGAAAAATCATATGTTTATAATTCAACATTTTAATGATTTTAGTAAAGTCATTATTTACATAATTTACAAAAATGGACATAAACACATTTGTCTGATCAAAATAAAGGAAAATGCAAACTAAAGCCTAGGCGATATGATTCCCTAGAATTTCAAAAATAATTGCAGAGAAAATAACCATGGCTTCTATTTTTAAAGAGTAAACTACCAGTATTATACGGTAATGACAAATGGAAAAAAAGATGTGTGCACATTAAAATACAAAATGGCGGCTCGCATGTTTTACCTCTTCTCTTAGACTCGTATTATTAATTTAAAAGTTATGAAAAGACACTTACATATAATATCAACAAACATGGTCTTCAACAACTCCAAATGACAAAATAAATCATAGCCATGCACTTTTTTGTGTGTATTTGATTGCCCGAAATTTGAAAATTTTCAGCTATTTTTTTTCTTCTTTTTTTCCTACCGATTATTTTCGATTATTTCTATTGATCAGGAATCAGGATTTATTATCCTATTTCACCTGATCAGCCTACAATCGACCCCCAACCAATCATCGGTTATAGGGTTAGTCACATCCTTGAGGTTTTGCTGTAAAAAGAACAATCCATGGATTCTAAACTTTTAAGAGGAGGCGCGATAGCTCAGTCGGTAGAGCAGTGGTCTCGAAATCCAGTGACCCGGGTTCGAAACCAAGTCGATGCGCTAGTGCCCTTTGGTAAGGCATTAATCCTTATTACCAGGTCCCTCGAGGAGGACCTAAAGCCGCCGGCTGTCTGATTGCTTACTTACAAGCATTTATGCTTTCTTAGCAGTCAGGTAAAATAACCACTATCAACCACCACCATCAACCACTTACTTGTACGGCACCGAAAAGTAGACTGATGTTCCTAACATATCCATGCAAATGATGCTTCAAAATATTTTCACTCATATGATTGCAGGATAAGATCTCTGGCAGTAATCACTTGGAGATCATTTACTAATACTTATTGAATTCCAACTTCATCACTGGACCCAGCACGAGACACGTATTCAAAATGTCAGCTACCGGGTACTTTTTTATAGGGTAAAGCACAACCAGACCGGATTATGGTATCAAAAGAGCGTGTCACATCTCGACAAATTGAGAATGATTAGGTAACAATAAATTCAGAATATTCTTTTGAATGATTAATGCTCATGAGTATTCAGGACAAGTTTCTCAGATCCAATACATTTCCTTAACAGACCAATTCTATGGTTGACAAATTATCGTTATTTGTCATATGTGACTAGCCCTTAGGCCTTAAACCTTAGAACCCTCAATATTTGATGAAATATACATGTAACCCTGACTAAATGTCAATAGAGTGAATCCTCTGCTAAGATTCACAAGGCCATAAACAAATAAACAGGTGATACCTATATAGTAGGATCATTACTCATACACAACAACTTAACATACACTTTGCCCCATTTTTGCAGTTTCATTTAAAGTGACTCAGTAACATTGTAGAAGGTTGATGAAAAAACTGTGTAATTTTTGTATGAAATGTTACTTTTCATATTCCTTCAACAGTACTTACCCTCTAACAGGCAAAAAAAATCTGAGCAAATTATCATGAAGGCGTCATTGTGCAACACCCTCTGACAGTGATTAACATTAAATTCTCCCAACCATTTTTGAATTTTCCCCATTGTTTTTCCTTGAAAATAAGACATAAGACAGGCTTTTAAAAATCTTTCAACACTGAAATGTCTGATTTACATTTACCCAAAGTGTAATTAAATTGTAATAATATAGTTGGGAGAATTAAGCAATCGGTCAGATCTGTTTTTCCCAAATGTTATCATTAATAATGGTCTGTTTCACATCACTCAAACTTTCAGATTGTCTTTAAATATACATCTAGCATTGAAGTAACTACCTTAGAACCATTTTCTCTCATCTGAACAATGTTACCAAATCCATTTATACACAGAGTTAAAGGTAAAGACCAGTATTGGAAACGCCCCAATTTCAAAAAATGAAATGGAAGCTCTCATTACCAATCATGTGAAAGAATATGTTTTGACTAATACATGATGATAAAAAATTTGCCGGGAAACTGCCTACTAATTCATATATTTGGTAAATTTGTTTCTCTCATGGCTTGTGAGAGATATAGGGTAGTCCCATATACATCTTTCTGTGTATAGTGCTTGTAACTTAAATTTGTTTCTCTCATGGCTTGTGAGAGATATAGGGTAGTCCCATATACATCTTTCTGTGTATAGTGCTTGTAACTTTACGAAGAATGGGCCAAATTTCTTATCATTTTGATGATTCCAGAACCTTGCAGATGCTAGATGCTAGATGATCAACCTTTTCTGATCGATTCCACAACGTTTCTTTCACAATGCAATCGCTTGACCAAAACTGGTCTTTACCTTTAACACCCTTCTGGCTCTCAACAGATGATACACTCATGCACAACAACTTACACTTTGCCCCATTTTTCCAGCTCAGCATCGAGATAGAGCTTGAGTCCTTTGGGCTGCAGGCCAAGCGAGTTCCCACAGAAATAGATGCACTCGTCGTCTTTATCAACCAGAGATAGATCAACTATAACAGGAAGAAGGGAGAGGAGAGCTTAAGTATGGGAAGGTCCAAATTTGATCGATGCAGTTAAGCAGTGATATCAATTATCAAAGGGGATCTATCACTTTATATTGTTTTGATTTGATATGATTTCTTTATCACATTATCAAGGATACATGTACATATTCATGCACATTATTGTGATATTGATGGATTTTTTTTAAATTTCAGAACATGAATATGGAAAAAGGTAAGAAAGTAAGTTACATGTTCATGCTGAATGCATAATCTAAATGAACAAGATATGGGGGGGGGGGGGGGGAGACGAGCTAAAAAGTTTTACCAATATGCATGCATGGCTCAGATCAAGGGGTACACTTAGATTGAACACTGGGAAATTGTTCAATTATCCAAAACCATGAGACCCAGACACAAATTAGCATTTTTATATTAGAAAGTACCATTGGGGGAAGCTCCAAACAAGTTTTCAGCTTCATTGAGTTCAAATTAAAGATTTTAGAGCAATTTTATGATGAAAAAAGGCCTATTTTCAGCACTTCTAATGTTACATTCAAAACATGCACTAATTGGTTACCGTATTTTTGCTAATGGGATGCAAAACTTGTGATTTTTTTTATCTGGATGTAGAATCTATGTTATAATTAATATTTCTGTCGAGTTAATTTCTATTATTTTAGTTTCTTATTCCATTTACAAGTGATACAATAATTGTGATATGTACATAACTTTGGTGTCCTGCAAATTTCAAATCTTACTAACTGAAGAATGGTGTATAAATAATAAATTTATCTACAAGCTTGCAATGTTATAATGTTTAGTTTCACTTTGATCTCCAATCAGATCATTTCATTCTGGGTCATGATTTAAAAAATATTTAGATTTCTGTAAATGGAAAATGTTTGGTGTCCTGCAGTTATGTACACACCATGCAACAGAATCTATACAAAAGTCAAAAACATATTGTATTCTTTCAAAATGATAATGCAATGGTGTACACTGATAACATTGGATTCCCCATTTTAACTTGTATGTGTGATTGGTCAATAAACTCCTGATATTGAACTTATGATTGTTGGATTACGCCCATTTTATCTTCCGCGAGAGTTTAATCAGTTGTTTGTGATGGTGGTTTACATCCAACCGGGGGCTGATGTGGCTGTTAATAAAGAGTGTCCTGCTTTTCAATATTATATGTTCATTTGGCAATCTCTCAAAACAGGCCAAGAAGAAATTGGAAAGGCCACGTAAAATAGCATAATTGGGGTAGAATTAGCTTCTGTCGAGTCTCATTGTACTGAGCAAATTGTTGATAAGGTCTGTGCAATCATGAAAGACAATACCCATCCACTTCATTTATTTTATTCATTTAATCGTTCTGGTATCCGACTTCACCCCACCCCAACCCGGCTTTCACGATTCAGATATTCATTTGTACCCGACTCTGTTCATAAATTCAACTCACAGGTTAAACGTTAAACTTCTGCGTCAGAAATTAATTGTATGATTTGAAATACCAATGACCAAGGCTTAATTCTGAAACTCATGATTTGAAGTACATGTACCAATGACCATTTTTGTCGCTTCATTATCTTTTGCATGTATTTGTTCCTTATTTCATCTATTTCATTCTATAAACGTGATGTATTTATTTCTTGTACTTTTGTTGAATATGACTGTAATGCCAGTGGAAAACAATTTTCTATGTAACTTGTTTGCAAAGACCAAATAAAATATCTTGTATCTTGTATCTTGTATTTAATCAACAATGAATGGAAACTGAGTTATGTACGTGACGAGTTATGTACGTACACCATGGTTTTTTTCTTCAATAAGACCACCTATATTTAGTTATTTGTTATGGTAAGGTAGTAAACAATGTATAAGACATACACACGTCTGATTTGGTGAGAAAAATATTACAAAATATTGCAGTTTGAGCTTTTTCATGTCATGTACATAACTAAGACACCGTTATGAAAAGACACCGAGTTATGTACGTTACTACCAATCAAAATTTGAAATAAATTATCATAAATGAATCAATTTATTTCTTTAGCATGAATTGCACCCTTCTCCATATTCATTTAAACAAACATTTATTGAATTAAAGGAACAAGAAGGTATAATTTGAATGTAAAACTACTTGCTTTTGGTGTCCACAGTTATGTATGATTAAGTACAGAAATCTTACATTTCAGTCCTGAAATTGAAGTCGTTATAAGACTAATGCAAAACCATATCTGACAATAAGGCAAAGAGAAAGCATCTAGAGAATAAGATGAACTGTACATAACTCGGTGTCCACATTTGTTTTGGCCATATTCTAATAACTAAATTGAAAAAAGTTGATATGGCAATGGTTTTAAGTTTTGTTTACAGTATGTTTTAACATCTAAAGTACATTGTCAGAAAAAAATGAAATTATAAGAGAAATATCAGCATGAAGTGGACACCGAGTTATGTACGTAACATTTTCGATGATGTGATATTTGGCTACTGATTGCCGTTTAACGGCAATTTGTTAAGGTCTGATTTTTGAGCTATGTGTTGCACAATGTTTGCAGATTACAAAAATAATGTTGCCACAGTCTATGATTGACTTTTAAAATTCACCTCATGTGTAACACTTTTGTGCCCTTGATCAGAGCCATGCATGCCCTTGCTAAGGACATAAACACATACCGGTACGCATTTTTGCCTAATATATTATACACATGTATTCTCAATTTAAGGGTCAATGTCATATGGCACACTTGATAGAAAACAAAATGCACATTAGTTGTACATAGTCAAAATAGCACATAACATACAACCAACTCTTAGCCAATCATTTGCTTAAAGCCCCACTGCACTACTTATAGCTACTTGCGCCCTCTATATAGTAAACAATGCTTAAGCTGTACCCGTTGGTCCCCCATGATCCCCTTTTTCTTATTTTAGTTGAGAGCTGATTTGGTGAGATAACCACCTGTCAGTGACCTTGCAGGGAGGTCTAATCCCTCCTGGCCAACTTGCTGCAGATGGGCTTTAAGATTCACAATGGCAGTAATACATTTGAAAGTACTATTTACCATCAGGCAGTTCATTCATCTTCGGCAGGATAAATTCCTTTCTCAGCGGGGCTAAATGATCAAGCTCATCCATCTTCTTGGCAAAGCTGTCGCCGATAAGGTCCAGTCCGAACCTATCGGCCTTTTCCTTCAATTCTTCCATGGGTGTAAGCCCAGCCTGGCGGTCAGTCTTCATCAGCTTCTTGCGCGGTGGTGCTGCGCCATTCTCAGCATTCTTAGAACTAAACGACTCCGCAACTCGCTTGTCTGCCATTGTTGGAGATGGTTCTGACTGCTGTGCCTGAGTTAGTGAGAAAAAAAGTATCTTCAGTTTTAAAAATACAGTTGATTTATGGTCATGTTAATTTACACTGTGAAAGAAACCGTCTAATATGCTATTGGAATAATCAAAATGATATGAAATTATCTTAGTCTTACGGAAAGTCACATGCACTGTATATAGATGTGTGTATATGGGTCTACACAAACATGTCGCATGAAAGTTTGGTCCAAATATGAGGACATTTGAAATGTAATCCTTTTCAGGGACATTTTTCATGTTATAAAAACATTAAAAAAGCCCACAACTTATTAATCATCTTTCCCAAAACTTAAATTTCTCTTTAAAGGCTACACTGTAAGTCCACTCCAAAAATAACTTACTTTCACTAAATGCAGAAAACAAAGCAAAAAAAAAGATTGAGGAAAATCAGATCACTAATAAGGAATTTATGATTTTTACATGCAAAACTATGGAACAATGAAAATCACCACACAAATTGCCGAATTGGTTATTAGTTTGTGACGTCATTGCCTAACTATATATCAATCGATTTACATATCTTCTTATCACATTAATTTCCCTTTTCATCCCCTAGAATTTGATTTCCCCATGCCTTTGCCCAGGTTATATGATACGTATCATATTACGTGCATGACATAATTTCACAATCTTTTAAGAACTTCGAAAAATTGATACTATTTTTCGGAGTACGGTATTGTGTAATCGTAATAATTCATTTTGATATAATATAAATAGTTTATCAAAATTCACATTTTTCATGATTTAACAGAATTACAGAAATTACTCTATATTAGTGCATCCACGAAAAAACATCACTAGATCTATCAATAACCAATATAACTTGGATGCTGGTGTGAGGAAATAAGATTTTTAGGGGGAAAATTGGAAATGTATTTTATCAATAAAAAGCGGAAACAATTATAGTGAGGCAGTGACGTCACAGACTCATGAGAGAGTTGCCAATTTGTATTGTGATTTTCAGAATTTTTCATGTCATTTAAAAATTCATAACTCTTTTATAATATAGTTATCCGATTTTGCACAAACCTTTTTTGATTGATTTGATTGGTTTGTCTGATTTTTCTGCTTCTATTGAAAGTGAATTATTTTTGGAGTGGACTTGCCCTTTAAGTAGACGTTTTCATAAAAAGTTTTCAGATGCATGAGCGAGGTATATATTTAAAAATTACTATATGCTTTACATAGTAGGGTAAAAAGTTGATTCATTCAGCAAGGAAATAAATATCTAAATGTTATTCTACAGACCTAGAATCTATAGACCTCCTGCATGGAGTTTAATTTTCTGTAAAATGCAATTTGTTCTATCAAGCTTTCAAAGTTCAGGGGTTGAACATATGACAACTATATTTGTAGAAAACGGAAATTAAGTTGATATACCTCATTTTATCGCATTAATTACCTTGCAAAAAATTACAATGTGATTGCACTTATAAGAATGTATTTAAAGGGTATTTCAGTTCAATTTCATCATTATGCTTGTATGTATTGTATACATGAATGAGCATTAGATGTGAACCTGAATTGAAACCCCCCTTTTGCAACGTAAATTCATGCAGAGTATTTGAACTGAGAGTTGATCCAGGTTATTTTCTCGATTTCTAAATCCAGTACTTGCAAATACAGCTAATTGCTAGTCATAAATGGTGAGTTGCAAGGTCTGAGTGTTTGCGACTCGCGGTTAAATTTAATTTAACTCAGATGCTGTAATAAGATACTTGGTACAAGCTCTGTACTCATGAAGTAATCTCACGATACAATTTGAACTGTAAATCTTGAATAAAGATTTGTTTTCCTGCATGCGCAATTGATCATGTACGTTTCAAGATAAGTAGAAATTGAAATTTTGAGATGTAGATCTATATGTATACATATATTGATATATTTTGAACTATTAATGTTGATAAGGAACAAATAATCCAAGTCATTTCTATGAAGCTAAAAAGGGGTAAATTAATTATTAATTTAAAGGAGCAAGTGTGATGGAATTAGTTGACATAGAATAAATTAGCAAGTCAACCCTACTACGACTTTTCATTGACTGTTTCTTCTGTCAAAGTGTAGTGGCGTAGGATGACGCTTGTTGCACTCTCTGCATGTGCTTCTCACTCGACATTTTTTGGTCAGATGACCTCTCTTGAGACACCCGTAACTGGCAAAGAAAACGTACAAGACAGGCAAATGATGACTCAACAAGTCATCGTAGGTAATCAGAGAATCTACGCAGTCCTCTGGAATCCTTGGTAGTATAGTGGTAAGTATCTCCGCCTGTCACGCGGAAGACCGGGGTTCGATTCCCCGCCACGGAGCCATGTTAATGTGATCGTTTATGAGAGTTAGTTTATCTGACAAAAAGGAGTATTCTGACTTACGTCATGGGCTGAAATAGCGCCATCTACGCTTTCCTAATTCCGACATAGCAGTAGCAACGAATTGTGTTTGATTGCAGTGCAGAATTTGGAAAGGAATCTCTCAACAAGCAGCTTCTTTCTGGACCAGATCTGACTAACACACTAGTGGGAGTACTTTGCAGGTTCAGACTGGAACCAATCGCATTTTGTTGCGATATACGTGAGATGTTCTACCAATTCAAGGTGAAGGAAGATCATAGGAAATACCTACGGTATTTGTGGTGGAAGGATGGAGACTTTCTGCAACAGCCCCATGAGCTAAGAATGACTGTCCATTTGTTTGGGGCGACGTCGTCTCCAGGATGCTCAAACTTTTGTTTGAAACAGATTGCCAGCGACCATGCTATTGAATTTGGAGAGGATGTAAAGAACTTTGTACATCATAACTTCTACGTGGACGATGGGCTAATATCTGTTCCTACCAAAGAAGAGGCCAAGAATCTGATCTCGAGAACCAGAGAGATGTGCAAGAAAGGAGGCCTCCACTTGCACAAATTCATCTCAAACACCCAAGAAGTGCTGGAAACAGTTCCGGAAGAGGATAGAGCAAAGGGCACTACCAAGACTAATCTCCTACAGGATAAGCTTCCTTTGCAGAAGGCACTTGGGGTGCAATGGTGTGTGGAATCTGACACGTTCCAATTCAGAGTCACACTCGATGACAGACCTCTAACCAGGCGCGGAATACTGTCAACCGTGATGTCGATCTATGACCCTATGGGATTACTAGCCCCGATTGTCTTACCTGGTAAGCAGATTCTGCAAGAGCTGTGTAAGATGTCTGCTGATTGGGACGACCCCCTGCCAGATCATCTCAGAGAAAGATGGGAGAAATGGACAACTGATCTGCATAATCTTGACTCCCTATCAATACAGAGATGCTACAAACCTGCAGACTTCGGTGAGGTTACGACCATGCAGATGCACCACTTCTCCGATGCTAGTTCCGAGGGATACGGCCAATGCTCATACATGAGAATTAAGAATGGAGAGGGAAGAGTCCACTGTATCCTGGTGATGGCAAAGTCCAGGATTGCCCCGCTCAAGGCAGTAACAATACCCCGTTTGGAACTATCAGCTGCCGTTGTTTCCATTAGGGTGAGCACATTTCTTCAGCGAGAGTTAGCCTTGGAGGACATTGAGCATATCTACTGGACAGACAGCAATGTGGTACTTGGATACATAAACAATGAATCGAAGCGGTTCCATGTGTTCGTAGCAAATAGGATCTGTGAGATCAGACAACACTCAGAATCATCGCAGTGGAAGCACGTTCGAACACAGGACAATCCAGCAGATGGAGCTTCCAGAGGGTTTACCGTTGACCAACTCATCACTTCGAACTGGTTCACTGGCCCAGATTTTCTATGGGAAGAGACGGTTCCTCGTGCTGATGATCAGGAGGAATTCGAGGTTTCACCAGGTGACCCCGAGGTGAAGAAGTCTATGGTGAACGCGACTGTAATGGGTGACTCCAAGTTTGATCTGAGTCGCCTAGACCGATTCCCGACATGGTATAGAGCAAAGAGGGCGATGGCTTATTGTCTGCTGTTCATCACAAGACTGAAACAACGTTGTCAAAGAAAACGTACAAGACAGGCAAATGATGACTCAACTTCCCAAGGCAAAGTCTCGGTGCAGAATCTACAACAGGCAGAAACTGAGATACTGAGACACGTCCAGAGTGAAGCCTTTGGGGAAGAAATAGAAATCCTGAAGTCAATCCAGAGGAAACAGGATCTGAATGACAGGCAGAGAAGACGTCAAATAAAGAAAGAAAGTCGTCTCCATGGACTTGACACTTTCCTGGATAAAAAGGGAATTCTAAGAGTTGGAGGAAGAATTCGAAGGGGAGACGACTCATATGACAGAAAGCATCCCCTGATTCTCCCACAAAGAAGCCACGTAACGGACCTTGTGATACGTCACTGTCATGAGTTGACTGCTCATCAAGGAAGAGGCATGACATTGAACCAGATAAGAGAGAATGGATTTTGGGTTCTTGGAAGCAGTAATCGAGTGGCCAATTTCATACGAAAATGTGTCATATGCAATAGGCTACGTAGTCCCGCACAATTACAGAAGATGTCTGATCTACCGTCTGACCGTGTGTTACCTGCAGCACCTTTCACTTACTGTGGCATCGACTGCTTTGGCCCATGGGTGATAAAGGAAGGTAGAAAGGAGATGAAGCGATATGGACTTCTCTTCACATGCATGCCTTCGAGAGCCGTGCATATTGAGACACTCAATAGTCTGACTACAGACTCATTCATTCAGGGATATCGTCGCTTTGCTGCTCTGAGGGGTCCAATACGTCAACTGAGATGCGACAGGGGAACGAACTTCGTTGGCGCAGAAGCAGAGTTAAGGAAAGCGTGGTCAGAAATGAATCACGAACATGTCAAAGGCACTCTAATGAAAGAAGGATGTGACTACGTACAGTTCACTTTCAACGTCCCCGCGGCAAGCCATATGGGTGGAGTATGGGAGCGCCAAATAAGATCTGCCAGGAGAGTGCTTGAAACTTTGCTGTATCAATCGAGTAGACAACTCAATGATGAATCACTGAGAACACTGATGTATGAAGCGGCTGCAATTGTCAATAGCAGGCCGCTGACTGTGACTGACCTGAACGACCCAACATATTTGGCTCCTCTTACGCCAAATCATCTCATAACCATGAAGTCGAAAGTCTTACTTCCTCCACCAGGCAATTTTCAGGACGCTGATTTGTACTCCAGAAAGCGTTGGAGGAGGGTACAACATCTGATCAACGAGTTCTGGGATCGTTGGAGAAAGGAGTTTCTCCAGAACTTACAGACACGCCAGAAATGGACTCGGCCCCGACGGGATGCTAAGATTGGGGATATCGTCATCATGAAAGACGAGAACTTGCCACGAAATCAATGGTCCCTAGCAAGGATAAGCGAGGTCTTTCCTTCTACCGATGGACTCATTCGTAAAGTGAAGCTCGTAAAGGGTGACTCCGAACTTGACGACAGCGGTAAGCGTAAAGGACCTGTGAAAGAACTAGAGCGTCCGATACACAAACTGGTTTTGCTGCTTCCGCGTGAAGACCAGGACGGATTCCCGACCAAGGAGCCTTGAATACTGTAAGGTAATTAATATCCCTCACAAATAGGTTTTGATAGATTTAAGTAAATATAGAAGTCTGAACATAAGACTATCCAAAATTCGAATTACCCGCAAAATCTGAAAGTCTAGAATAAGACTAGTCAAATAATCTAATTGAAGTTTTAGAACCAAGAATATCTGTAATTGGTCTGTAATTAAGACTATGCTGGAACTGTAACTACAGACGCACATCAGCTGAAATGAAGTCTAATTGAACTGAGTAAACTCTTGAACTAATTGATCTGATTGAACAACAACAAGAACTCTTTTTGTGGATTGACGACATTTCCGAATGAGCTGTAATGACCTTTATTGCTGTTTGTTTTTTGTTCTCTGTTTGAAAAAATGTAATCTTATCAAATTGGAAGATCGAGCATATGACAACTATATTTGTAGAAAACGGAAATTAAGTTGATATACCTCATTTTATCGCATTAATTACCTTGCAAAAAATTACAATGTGATTGCACTTATAAGAATGTATTTAAAGGGTATTTCAGTTCAATTTCATCATTATGCTTGTATGTATTGTATACATGAATGAGCATTAGATGTGAACCTGAATTGAAACCCCCCCTTTTGCAACGTAAATTCATGCAGAGTATTTGAACTGAGAGTTGATCCAGGTTATTTTCTCGATTTCTAAATCCAGTACTTGCAAATACAGCTAATTGCTAGTTATAAATGGTGAGTTGCAAGGTCTGAGTGTTTGAGACTCGCGGTTAAATTTAATTTAACTCAGATGCTGTAATAAGATACTTGGTACAAGCTCTGTACTAGAGATGAAGTAATCTCACGATACAATTTGAACTGTAAATCTTGAATAAAGATTTGTTTTCCTGCATGCGCAATTGATCATGTACGTTTCAAGATAAGTAGAAATTGAAATTTTGAGATGTAGATCTATATGTATACATATATTGATATATTTTGAACTATTAATGTTGATAAGGAACAAATAATCCAAGTCATTTCTATGAAGCTAAAAAGGGGTAAATTAATTATTAATTTAAAGGAGCCATGTTAATGTGATCGTTTATGAGAGTTAGTTTATCTGACAAAAAGGAGTATTCTGACTTACGTCATGGGCTGAAATAGCGCCATCTACGCTTTCCTAATTCCGACATAGCAGTAGCAACGAATTGGATGTTCGCACCGAAATCTTGTCCTAAATTACACCTGTTATTGATACGAAGCCAACCCGTTTGCAACAATAAGGAGGCAAGAAGGTTCGTTAATTCGATATATTAATGTATAACGAGTATAAATAGTATAAATAATGAGAAATGATGATATGAATGTAATCTAATATGCTTAAGTGATAATGAATGGTGTGTGTAGTATTAGTGTATGCACGGACACGTATGATACCGTATACGGCTGTAGTGGACGTTATATATATGCAAATTAGATGCACGTAAAACAGGTATACGATATATACGATATAGAGTGTAAGCTAGGGTGCTACGTAAGGCAATGTTAATCGTATGCACGTAAATAGGTATACGATATTAACGATACGAATGACGTGTCCGCTATAAGAAGGACGCAGTCATTGATATGCGTTATGCTAATAAGTCTTTGTGATTCAAACTATCTTCCACGAATATTGGTCACGTGACTTGAGCGAAGGTATTGTTTATAGATAATTGCATATACACAAATGATAAGAGACAAAGAGAAGAAATTCATTTGTTATTAATCACTGCATTTAATAGGCGAACTGATGATATTATTTATACACATGTATTCGAAAATGCCTGTATGAACAATTACTTATAATCTGTTCTTTTTCTTTATCATGTTTTGTTCATACAGTTTTCACGGAGCAAGTGTGATGGAATTAGTTGACATAGAATAAATTAGCAAGTCAACCCTACTACGACTTTTCATTGACTGTTTCTTCAGTGAAAACTTCACTTCACTACGACTTGCAACCTGCGATGACGTCGTGATTCAGATTACGTGATTTGGTACAAGATGTCGGAAGTGGACATGATGGGGGACAAGGAGAAGGAAAACCCTGTTGCTGAAGCTGTGGACACAAGGTCAAAGCGAGAAGTCAAACTCACTGAGAAAGGTCTGCAGTATCAAGCTGAAACAAAAGGGAAGGAATTTAAGAGATCCATTAGTGCTTGGCGTAGAGCGTCGAATAAGTTAAGAGCTACCTTGAGCGACATCAGTGATGTCAAAGTTATTCGACAAGGTAGGGACGCTCTGCAGCAGGTGATGGACAACGCCATATCCGCTCAAGAAGACCTTCAGATTCTATTGGAGTTGGCAGGAATCGACGATGACAGCCATGAAAGGCTCGACAACATCGAACAAGAACACTCAGAGCTGATGAAAGGAGTACAAGAACACCTCCTCGAACAAGAATCGTCAAGAAAATCTAAAGTTTCATCGAAAAGACTATCATCCTGTCAAAAATGGGTGAATGAATGCTCGTTTGAAAGCCAGGATGATGTGCCGACTAAAGATGTGCCGACCAAAGATGTGCCAACTGAAGATGTTCCGACTACAGAATTGCCGACTAAAGAACCCTTGTTAAATTTGCTGACTCAGCTACAGATTAGTCGCTTGCCACTGCCAGAACCAGATATCTTTTCTGGGGATCCACTGCAATACCCTAGTTGGAAACAGGCCTACGACATCTTAATGGAACATCAAGGTATTCCTGCAAGGGATCGATTCTTCTACTTAAAGAAGTATCTACGTGGCCCACCTCTCGAACTCGTGCAAGGATTTTCTCTGATACACAATGATATGGCATACAATCGAGCTACGAGTGAACTAGAACAGAGATATGGTGATCCATTCATCATTTCGAATGCATTTCGTGACCGACTGGATAACTGGCCAAAGATACCTACAAAAGGATTCCAGAGGACTGCGTAGATTCTCTGATTACCTACGACAATGCCAAACAGCAATAGAAAAGATCGGCAACCTCCGACAGTTAGATGACGAACGTGAGAATAGGAAACTCCTATCCAAACTTCCCGATTGGCTTGTTACTAAATGGAGCCGACGAGTCTATGAGCATAGGAGGTCACATGGTACATTTCCTTCATTCGGTACCTTTTCATCATTCATTGAGGAAGAGAGTAACATTGCATGTGACCCAATCACGTCCATTGGTAGCCTGAAGGAGGACAAACCGAAACAGGACAGAGGAAAATCCATGAGAGCGTTAACTATGAGAACCAGCTCCATCCAAGATGAGACAAAGAGGCCAGAACGGAAATCATTCTGTATATTCTGTAGAAATCATCATCACCTTGAGGATTGTCAAGCCTTTGTCAATCAGCCTATGTCCGAGAGGAAGAAGTTCATAAGAGAAAAGGGCTTGTGTTACGGGTGTCTCAAGAGAGGTCATCTGACCAAAAAATGTCGAGTGAGAAGCACATGCAGAGAGTGCAACAAGCGTCATCCTACGCCACTACACTTTGACAGAAGACCTTCAGAAGAAAGGGAAAGGACATCGAACCAGGAAGAAATACAATCTTCAAATTCACATACACTTGTTAATTCTAACGCCACAAGTTATGTGAAAAGCGCGGCAATCGTGCCAGTCTGGCTGTCTCATGAGAATATGAAGGAAGAGAGGCTCGTATACGCACTATTAGATACTCAATCGGATACCACCTTCATATTGAATTCTACAAAGGATGCCTTAGGACTTCATGGACTGAGGGTCAACCTTCTTCTGTCTACAATGTCGACCAAGAACGAAAGGATTCCAAGTGAGAAGATTAAAGGACTCACAGCTCGAGCCTTTAACAGTGAAAAGGTGATACACCTTCCAGCTGCATACACTAGAGACATAATGCCAGCCAACAGAGAACACATCCCCACTCCTGAAGTAGCTCGCTCTTTCCCACATTTGGTTCCAATTGCTGACCAACTTCTGCCTCTGAAGCACTGTGAAATAGGATTGTTGATCGGCTATGATTGTGGAAGAGCTCTGACTCCTCGAGATGTGATTCCCTCCCAAGAAGATGACGGTCCATTTGGAATGAAAACTGACTTGGGATGGAGCATAGTGGGTGTTACAAGTCAAGATGAACAGCACTACAACCCCGATGATCACGTTGGCCACAGTCATCGCTTGACAGCACGTGAAATACCCGCTGAACTAGCTGAAAGAGACATGTCCATCAAGAAGAGAGTAACGTTCACTCACAACGTTACAATCAAAGAAGAGATCAGCCCTTCGTCTGTGCTGAAGCTGATGGAAAGAGATTTCTCAGAGAGCAGAAGTGAGGTACCATTTTCGCAACATGATACAAGATTTATGAGAATCATGTCGGAGAATGTCCATATCACAGATGATGGTCATTACGAGACTCCTCTTCCCTTTAAAGAAGATGTCGTCAACCTTCCCAACAACAGATTCATGGCGGAAAGGAGATTGAGTCATCTAAAGAGAAAGTTTCAAAGAGACTCTGAGTATCATCAGAAATACTCGGAAAAGATGGATGCTCTCTTGGAGAAAGGATATGCTGAAAGTGTACCAGAATATGACAAGCAGAACGGCCAAGCATGGTACATTCCCCATCATGGGGTAGTACAACCCAACAAGTTACGAGTTGTGTTTGATTGCAGTGCAGAATTTGGAAAGGAATCTCTCAACAAGCAGCTTCTTTCTGGACCAGATCTGACTAACACACTAGTGGGAGTACTTTGCAGGTTCAGACTGGAACCAATCGCATTTTGTTGCGATATACGTGAGATGTTCTACCAATTCAAGGTGAAGGAAGATCATAGGAAATACCTACGGTATTTGTGGTGGAAGGATGGAGACTTTCTGCAACAGCCCCATGAGCTAAGAATGACTGTCCATTTGTTTGGGGCGACGTCGTCTCCAGGATGCTCAAACTTTTGTTTGAAACAGATTGCCAGCGACCATGCTATTGAATTTGGAGAGGATGTAAAGAACTTTGTACATCATAACTTCTACGTGGACGATGGGCTAATATCTGTTCCTACCAAAGAAGAGGCCAAGAATCTGATCTCGAGAACCAGAGAGATGTGCAAGAAAGGAGGCCTCCACTTGCACAAATTCATCTCAAACACCCAAGAAGTGCTGGAAACAGTTCCGGAAGAGGATAGAGCAAAGGGCACTACCAAGACTAATCTCCTACAGGATAAGCTTCCTTTGCAGAAGGCACTTGGGGTGCAATGGTGTGTGGAATCTGACACGTTCCAATTCAGAGTCACACTCGATGACAGACCTCTAACCAGGCGCGGAATACTGTCAACCGTGATGTCGATCTATGACCCTATGGGATTACTAGCCCCGATTGTCTTACCTGGTAAGCAGATTCTGCAAGAGCTGTGTAAGATGTCTGCTGATTGGGACGACCCCCTGCCAGATCATCTCAGAGAAAGATGGGAGAAATGGACAACTGATCTGCATAATCTTGGCTCCCTATCAATACAGAGATGCTACAAACCTGCAGACTTCGGTGAGGTTACGACCATGCAGATGCACCACTTCTCCGATGCTAGTTCCGAGGGATACGGCCAATGCTCATACATGAGAATTAAGAATGGAGAGGGAAGAGTCCACTGTATCCTGGTGATGGCAAAGTCCAGGATTGCCCCGCTCAAGGCAGTAACAATACCCCGTTTGGAACTATCAGCTGCCGTTGTTTCCATTAGGGTGAGCACATTTCTTCAGCGAGAGTTAGCCTTGGAGGACATTGAGCATATCTACTGGACAGACAGCAATGTGGTACTTGGATACATAAACAATGAATCGAAGCGGTTCCATGTGTTCGTAGCAAATAGGATCTGTGAGATCAGACAACACTCAGAATCATCGCAGTGGAAGCACGTTCGAACACAGGACAATCCAGCAGATGGAGCTTCCAGAGGGTTTACCGTTGACCAACTCATCACTTCGAACTGGTTCACTGGCCCAGATTTTCTATGGGAAGAGACGGTTCCTCGCGCTGATGATCAGGAGGAATTCGAGGTTTCACCAGGTGACCCCGAGGTGAAGAAGTCTATGGTGAACGCGACTGTAATGGGTGACTCCAAGTTTGATCTGAGTCGCCTAGACCGATTCCCGACATGGTATAGAGCAAAGAGGGCGATGGCTTATTGTCTGCTGTTCATCACAAGACTGAAACAACGTTGTCAAAGAAAACGTACAAGACAGGCAAATGATGACTCAACTTCCCAAGGCAAAGTCTCGGTGCAGAATCTACAACAGGCAGAAACTGAGATACTGAGACACGTCCAGAGTGAAGCCTTTGGGGAAGAAATAGAAATCCTGAAGTCAATCCAGAGGAAACAGGATCTGAATGACAGGCAGAGAAGACGTCAAATAAAGAAAGAAAGTCGTCTCCATGGACTTGACACTTTCCTGGATAAAAAGGGAATTCTAAGAGTTGGAGGAAGAATTCGAAGGGGAGACGACTCATATGACAGAAAGCATCCCCTGATTCTCCCACAAAGAAGCCACGTAACGGACCTTGTGATACGTCACTGTCATGAGTTGACTGCTCATCAAGGAAGAGGCATGACATTGAACCAGATAAGAGAGAATGGATTTTGGGTTCTTGGAAGCAGTAATCGAGTGGCCAATTTCATACGAAAATGTGTCATATGCAATAGGCTACGTAGTCCCGCACAATTACAGAAGATGTCTGATCTACCGTCTGACCGTGTGTTACCTGCAGCACCTTTCACTTACTGTGGCATCGACTGCTTTGGCCCATGGGTGATAAAGGAAGGTAGAAAGGAGATGAAGCGATATGGACTTCTCTTCACATGCATGCCTTCGAGAGCCGTGCATATTGAGACACTCAATAGTCTGACTACAGACTCATTCATTCAGGGATATCGTCGCTTTGCTGCTCTGAGGGGTCCAATACGTCAACTGAGATGCGACAGGGGAACGAACTTCGTTGGCGCAGAAGCAGAGTTAAGGAAAGCGTGGTCAGAAATGAATCACGAACATGTCAAAGGCACTCTAATGAAAGAAGGATGTGACTACGTACAGTTCACTTTCAACGTCCCCGCGGCAAGCCATATGGGTGGAGTATGGGAGCGCCAAATAAGATCTGCCAGGAGAGTGCTTGAAACTTTGCTGTATCAATCGAGTAGACAACTCAATGATGAATCACTGAGAACACTGATGTATGAAGCGGCTGCAATTGTCAATAGCAGGCCGCTGACTGTGACTGACCTGAACGACCCAACATATTTGGCTCCTCTTACGCCAAATCATCTCATAACCATGAAGTCGAAAGTCTTACTTCCTCCACCAGGCAATTTTCAGGACGCTGATTTGTACTCCAGAAAGCGTTGGAGGAGGGTACAACATCTGATCAACGAGTTCTGGGATCGTTGGAGAAAGGAGTTTCTCCAGAACTTACAGACACGCCAGAAATGGACTCGGCCCCGACGGGATGCTAAGATTGGGGATATCGTCATCATGAAAGACGAGAACTTGCCACGAAATCAATGGTCCCTAGCAAGGATAAGCGAGGTCTTTCCTTCTACCGATGGACTCATTCGTAAAGTGAAGCTCGTAAAGGGTGACTCCGAACTTGACGACAGCGGTAAGCGTAAAGGACCTGTGAAAGAACTAGAGCGTCCGATACACAAACTGGTTTTGCTGCTTCCGCGTGAAGACCAGGACGGATTCCCGACCAAGGAGCCTTGAATACTGTAAGGTAATTAATATCCCTCACAAATAGGTTTTGATAGATTTAAGTAAATATAGAAGTCTGAACATAAGACTATCCAAAATTCGAATTACCCGCAAAATCTGAAAGTCTAGAATAAGACTAGTCAAATAATCTAATTGAAGTTTTAGAACCAAGAATATCTGTAATTGGTCTGTAATTAAGACTATGCTGGAACTGTAACTACAGACGCACATCAGCTGAAATGAAGTCTAATTGAACTGAGTAAACTCTTGAACTAATTGATCTGATTGAACAACAACAAGAACTCTTTTTGTGGATTGACGACATTTCCGAATGAGCTGTAATGACCTTTATTGCTGTTTGTTTTTTGTTCTCTGTTTGAAAAAATGTAATCTTATCAAATTGGAAGATCGAGCATATGACAACTATATTTGTAGAAAACGGAAATTAAGTTGATATACCTCATTTTATCGCATTAATTACCTTGCAAAAAATTACAATGTGATTGCACTTATAAGAATGTATTTAAAGGGTATTTCAGTTCAATTTCATCATTATGCTTGTATGTATTGTATACATGAATGAGCATTAGATGTGAACCTGAATTGAAACCCCCCTTTTGCAACGTAAATTCATGCAGAGTATTTGAACTGAGAGTTGATCCAGGTTATTTTCTCGATTTCTAAATCCAGTACTTGCAAATACAGCTAATTGCTAGTTATAAATGGTGAGTTGCAAGGTCTGAGTGTTTGAGACTCGCGGTTAAATTTAATTTAACTCAGATGCTGTAATAAGATACTTGGTACAAGCTCTGTACTAGAGATGAAGTAATCTCACGATACAATTTGAACTGTAAATCTTGAATAAAGATTTGTTTTCCTGCATGCGCAATTGATCATGTACGTTTCAAGATAAGTAGAAATTGAAATTTTGAGATGTAGATCTATATGTATACATATATTGATATATTTTGAACTATTAATGTTGATAAGGAACAAATAATCCAAGTCATTTCTATGAAGCTAAAAAGGGGTAAATTAATTATTAATTTAAAGGAGCCATGTTAATGTGATCGTTTATGAGAGTTAGTTTATCTGACAAAAAGGAGTATTCTGACTTACGTCATGGGCTGAAATAGCGCCATCTACGCTTTCCTAATTCCGACATAGCAGTAGCAACGAATTGGATGTTCGCACCGAAATCTTGTCCTAAATTACACCTGTTATTGATACGAAGCCAACCCGTTTGCAACAATAAGGAGGCAAGAAGGTTCGTTAATTCGATATATTAATGTATAACGAGTATAAATAGTATAAATAATGAGAAATGATGATATGAATGTAATCTAATATGCTTAAGTGATAATGAATGGTGTGTGTAGTATTAGTGTATGCACGGACACGTATGATACCGTATACGGCTGTAGTGGACGTTATATATATGCAAATTAGATGCACGTAAAACAGGTATACGATATATACGATATAGAGTGTAAGCTAGGGTGCTACGTAAGGCAATGTTAATTGTATGCACGTAAATAGGTATACGATATTAACGATACGAATGACGTGTCCGCTATAAGAAGGACGCAGTCATTGATATGCGTTATGCTAATAAGTCTTTGTGATTCAAACTATCTTCCACGAATATTGGTCACGTGACTTGAGCGAAGGTATTGTTTATAGATAATTGCATATACACAAATGATAAGAGACAAAGAGAAGAAATTCATTTGTTATTAATCACTGCATTTAATAGGCGAACTGATGATATTATTTATACACATGTATTCGAAAATGCCTGTATGAACAATTACTTATAATCTGTTCTTTTTCTTTATCATGTTTTGTTCATACAGTTTTCACGGAGCAAGTGTGATGGAATTAGTTGACATAGAATAAATTAGCAAGTCAACCCTACTACGACTTTTCATTGACTGTTTCTTCACATGACATTGCTTGCAATAATGCAGTTACACTGTACATGTACCCTGCATGGCATGTAGATTTTTATGAATCTTTAAAATAGAGTTTAGTATTTTGTGAAGTTCAAAAAACGTTTCGCCCAAATGGCAAGAAAGAAGAAAGAGATGAAATATAGATCTACATGTACTGAATACTATAGTATTAGTTACTACATGTACTAGGCCTACTCTATGCCCGGTCTTGCCTCAGCTCTGTGATCTTCCATTAGGAGTTAGGACATAACAAATTTAGAAAAATCACAATCACTAAATTCTTATTAATTATGGCCCTTGTGGCTTGGTCCACTCCAGCAAAGCATTATGTATAGAGGCGGTCAGGGGAGCCAGGTGCAATCTCAGCGGAACAACCGTCGATATCAGAGAGTGAAGCTTTTGGTCTAAGACTAAGACTAGTAGGAGAGTCAATGCTAATGCATATTGACCTCTAGCGCTGCACTACGTGCTAATAGACAGCAATTGCACATACAAATAGTCAATAACACACAAATGCACACAATGAAGATGATGTGGATGTCAGCAAGTTTGACAGTAGGCCTAGATCTAGATCTATTCTAGATCGAATTTTCCGTCTCTTTCGTTCGTTAGCCTCTTATTGGGGTAGGGTCGGCTCTCTCTTTAGAGACGGAAACCGTCTATACACATTCCCTTGATAACGCCACGGCCATTTCAGGTCGTAGCGTTTTGCCCCCAAAATCCCCCAAAATGTCATTTTACCTCGTGCATATCCACATGTAAATTAGGCCTAGGCTATAATACATCGGTTCCACTTAACAACTTGACTGAAATAATCAGTTTAATAGTCCCTTTTTAGGAAATTATGGGTCAAAATCGAAATCCATTTTGAAAATCTTTTTCAACACGGATTTCGATTTTGACCCATAAATTCCTAAAAAGGGACTATTAAACTGATTATTTCAGTCAAGTTGGTAAGTGGAACTGATTTATTATAGCCTAGGCCTAATTTACAATATAACATGCACGAGGTAAAATGACATTTTGGGGGATTTTGGGGGCAAAACGCTACGACCTGAAATGGCCGTGGCGTTATCAAGGGAATGTGTATAGACGGTTTCCGTCTCTAAAGAGAGAGCCGGCCGACCCTACCCCAATAAGAATTTGTATTAAGAGGCCTGCTAACGAACGAAAGAGACGGAAAATTCGGTCTAACGTTAGATCTATTCTAGACTAAAAATTTGAATTTTCAAATTATTCTTTAGGTCTAGTCTACAGTAACATAACAAGTAACATCAGTGTAGTTTACTGCTATAGTACTAAAGTACTGATTTTTTAGTGAGATCAGTTGAGTTTTGTATAATGGTGTTGAAAAGTTGAGAATCAATAGCACAGCTTTTAATACACAGCCAGGCCATGTGTGGCCTGGTCCACTCCAACTGCGTGGATCAACACCCTGCCGCTCCGAGTTAGGGCACGGGGCCGCAGCGGCAGCATGACGACTACCGGTATCGCTGAAAAATCTGTAATAATTCGTGTAACTTTGAGGTCTAAATCATACGGTTCTTTCACTTACTTTTACTATTCAAGCCTCTGATATGAATCCAGTGACGTAAATTTCGGAATAAATCAGAGTATTCCGTCTGACCTTAAGAAAGTTGCCTTCTTTTGAATGATTTATTGCCCAGTTCAGAGAGGTGTCGCAGCGAATGATGTAACTGAAAAGAGGATGGTGTTGTTGACGTTGATCGCCTGGCTGGATATCGATACTATGCAAGCATGCGGTGAGAAAAAAAGGGGAGGGGGAGTAATCCTCGTTTTCTGGGGCTGGGCGTGGGCGGGGCGCTAGCGGGGATCACTGACAACCAATAAGCATGCATGAAAGTTTCATTGAAAATCTTCAACTGACACTCCCACATACCCACGTGGTCACTCCAGTTAGGAATAGAAGAGAGCTGAACTATAGCAAGACTACAAGAGCCAAGACATACAAAATATATTAGGGCGATTCTATAAAAAAAAATTAAAAAATTAAGAAAGGTCTTGAACCCTAGCTACATCTTCAAACTTGTTTGATTTAGAATCTAGGTCTATATAAAATTTGGTATCAAATTAAACATAGGCCTAAATATGTAATTTTCCCAGCCTGAAAAAGTTATACAGTTGTATACTGCTAATTATTCAAATTGTACGATCAATTAACAAAAGATCTTGAAATTGACAACTGTTTATACCAATTACCAATAACCATAATTAGAAGTTTGGACAAATTAAAGTGTAACGGTTTAAAACTTTTATGCTTACGAGTTATATAAAAGGTTAAATATTAAAATATTAAATTAGAGAAGTTTATTATTACTTACCATTTTGACAATTTAAAAGTTTAATAATTATGTTGGTTTAAAGCCACACTGTCCTACTGGTGGTAGCTACTTGCTCCCTCTAAATAGAAAACAATGCCTAATCGGGGACCATTGGTCCCCCATGATCCTCTTTTTCTTATGTTAATTGAGATCAGAGTTGCTGAGATAACCACCTGTCCAGTGACCTTGCAGTGTGGTCTAATCCCTCCTGTAGTACAGATAAGCTTTAAAAGTTTGAAAGATAAAAGATTCACTAAAGTTAAGAAGACTTTATGTTCTAATTTATCTTTGTAAGGTTATTATATGTAGTTTTGAATAATTGAAATGAGCATAGAGAATTAAATTGTAATTATCTTTGTTTGCTATAGTGGAAAGGACAGCATCGAATGTGAGCGATGTGAAAAATGGTTCTGCTTGAAATGCAGTGCCTTGTCGTTGGAAGAGTTTGGATTATTCACCAAGGTGAATGCAGCTCACTGGTTCTGTCCTCCATGTGAATTTAAGGCCTTGGAAGCTGTCAAAATGGACCAGATTGTTGAGGAACGGTGCAAGAAATTTCTCGGAGAAACACAGAAAAGACTTGAAAAACTTGAACAAATGAGCAACGGTTGGTCTAAGGTGGAAGAGTTATGCAAGCGGCTTGAATCTGACGTCAAAGAAATCAAGAGCTCCCTTACAGATAAGCAGAGAATGGAACCAAGTGACATAGCTCAAGATGTCCTGGCATCATCTGTCCAGTCAATCTTCCAAGATTGTGTTAAGGAAGAAAGTGAAAAAGATAAAAGAAAACATAACATAGTTGTCTATGGACTGGCAGAAAATGATTCTGAGGACGGCAAAGAGAGGCAGTACTATGATACAGCCTCTACCCGAGGGATGCTCGATTACCTGGAAATCGAAGGAGAGGTGAAACGTGTGATTAGATTGGGAAGAAGGCAACTGGATGCAAGCGAAACTAGCTCGAGACCAAGACCGGTGCTTGTGGAATTCTCAAATGCAGACTCCAGTGCGGAAGCAAAGAGGAAAGCTAGTAAGCTTCGCTTTGGACCAAAAGACTTTAAAGAGTTATATATCCAAGCAGATCTCACAAAAACAGAACGTGCAGCAAGGAACGAACTCGTCAAGGAAATGAAAAGGAGGAAGAGTGAGGGTGACAACAACTGGATGATTCGGGGTGAAAAACTTGTGAAGAGAAAGGATCCCTCATCTCAGCCAAGCAACAAAGGTAAACAAAAAGGCCCACAGCCTTTTCAGGATGCCTAACACAGCAGTCAACCCAGGAAACTTTTCAGATGTAAATAGTATTATTAATAATAGACATTTAACTTGTATGTACAGCAATGTAGATTCTTTACTCAACAAGAAATCAGAACTAGAAGCAAGAATCTCTGTGAGGAACCCAGACATCATAGCCTTAGTTGAAATATTTCCAAAGAACTTTTTTCATCCAGTTGAGGATTGTGAACTTCAGATTGGTGGATACAATATGTTTTTGCCAGCAGAAAGTCAGAGAGGAGTTATAATTTACTGCAAAAAGAACTTACAATCAAAGCAAGTAGTTTTCAAAGACAGTGACTTCATGGAAAGTGTATGGTGTGCAATTTCATCAGGATCAGAGTATTTTCTCTTTGGATGTGTCTACAGAAGCCCAAATAGTTCGGACCCAAATAATGAGGCTCTCTTGAAACTCTTTTATGAGATAGAAAATTCTCCTTACACAAATATATTCATTGTTGGAGACTTTAACTTACCAAAGATAGATTGGGATATTCTGTCTGTATCGGAAACTGGAAATAAATTTGCCAGAGACTTTGTGGAAGTTCTACAAAATCTGTATCTTTCACAACTTGTGGAAGAGCCCACTAGGATGAGAGACGGGCAGAAGTCCAACGTTCTAGACCTCGTCATTACAAACCAAGTAGACATGGTCGACTGTTTAGGGATATCACCACCGATTGGTAAAAGTGACCACATGGTGCTAGATTTCAGACTTTTTCTGCCTGGTGGGGTTACAAGTGTACCTGTAACAGAACGCTTTGCATTCTTCAAAGGAGATTATGAGAGTATGAGGAAGCATGGGAAAGTAAAAGATATGTTTGTTTCAGCAATGGTGCAGGACAGCGATGTTAATACGGATAATGACATTCTTGTACATTGCTTGGAAGAGTTAACAGCCAAGTTTATACCAAAGGTCAAAGCCAGGAATAATCAGCAGCCACTATGGATGAACAACGATGTACGTCAAGCAATCAAATGTAAACATAAAGCTTGGAACCGTTTCCAAAAATCTAGAAGTGAGTCCGACAGAGTATCCTACAATATAGCAAGAAATGAGGCAACCGATAAAGTAAACATAGCAAAGAAGTCATTTGAACGTAAGCTGACCTTAGAAATAAAATCCAATCCTAAAAGTTTTTGGAGATATGTACAAAGTAAAAACAAATTTAAACAGGGTATTGGTGACTTGGAAAAGCCTGATGGAACCATTGCAAGCGATGATGCAGATAAAGCAGAAACACTGAACTTATTCTTTGCATCAGTCTTTACTAAGGAGGATTTATCTCTTGTACCAGCCCTTGATCTGAGAATTCGTGACAAGCAACTGGATACGGTCTGTTTTAATTATGAAAATGTCAAAAAAGCTATCATGAGATTGGACCAATCAAAATCTCCTGGACCAGATAACATTCACAATCGCATCCTGAAGGAATTAGTGGACGACATTTCCCGGCCACTTGCCCATCTTTTTAACAAATCTATGTCGAGTGGCGTGGTATGTGACTCATGGAAAGAAGCCAATGTGACTCCTATTTTTAAGAAAGGAGATAAAAAGAAAACAGGAAATTATCGTCCAGTCAGTCTAACCAGTTCTCTTTCCAAACTAATGGAGACCATTGTACGTGATGAAATTGTCAAATATATGAATGAAAACTCTCTGTTCACGGAGGAACAGTACGGATTTAGAAGAAGTAGATCTTGTGCTACACAGTTGCTAAATGTTTCTGAAACCTGGACAAAGGAATTAGACAACAAGGGAAGTATTGACTGTATCTACTTGGATTACAGCAAGGCCTTTGACAGTGTCCCACATGCTAGACTTCTGAAAAAAGTAGAGGCCTACGGTATAACAGGTAATCTGCATAGATGGATCAAGTCTTTCCTGACTGGAAGAACTCAGCGGGTAGTTATAAACGGTACCCCATCGAGTGCATCAAAAGTTGTCAGCGGCGTAGCTCAAGGAAGCGTGCTGGGGCCGACACTGTTCTTGTTGTATGTTAATGACATTCCAGATATTATATGTAACACTGAATCAGAAGTCAAACTATTTGCAGATGACACCAAAATCTTCTCACCAATTCACTCTTCATTGGATGGCAAAAATCTACAAGCAGATCTAACAAAGCTCACAAAATGGTCCCATCAGTGGCAACTACCATTTAATCAAGAGAAGTGCAAGGTAATCCACTATGGTCGAAGAAATCCTTGTTATGATTATTTCATGTCAGACGAAGATATACCTATTCCTGCCGTTGAAGTAGAAACAGACCTTGGGGTAACCTTTGACCAGCAATTGAGGTTTTCACGTCATGTGGATGGAGTATGTGCTGCTGCAAATCGCAAGCTAGGGATTATCAAGAGGACATTTTCTAATTTGGACAAAAATGGCTTTATACATCTATACAAATCAATTATTAGACCAAGACTCGAGTATTGCTCAACGGTGTGGCATCCTGTATTGAAAAAAGACAGCACGAAAATAGAAAAGGTACAGCGTAGAGCAACACGCCAAATACACATGCTACGACACTTGAGCTACGAGAAGAGACTAAAACATCTCAACTTACCATCTCTTGCCTACAGACGCCATAGAGCAGACATGATACAGATATACAAAATAATGCATGGCCTAGATGAACTAGATCTAGCACACTTCTTTGACCATCCAACTGATAATAGAACCCGTGGCCATCGATACAAGATCGTTAAGAAGAAAGTCTACTCGAAGCTTAGACATGGATCATTTTCACAGAGAAGTATCAATGAATGGAACAACCTCTCCTCTGTAGTTGTGGAGAGCAAGTCACTAAACAGATTTAAATCCAATTTGTTGAAGTTTTGGTCAACAAGAAAAGATCAATTTGACCCAGAGGAGTCCTTTGCTTGTCCATGTTCGTCAATTGCTGTATAGCGCCACTAAACATGTGCCAAAATATGGATTCTTCATCTGAATGTCAACGAGAGGCAAATAAGTTTTTAACTTTAAATGCCTACTTCCAAGGTATATTTCCAAGGTATATATACAAATTGAACGCTATTATTAAATCATTATTAAGGAAATTAGAAATGATGAAGTTTCGAAGATAGAATTAAGATTTTAAGATTAGAAATTTAGAAGATTAGATCAGAAGGCTAGAAGTATAATTTTTAACATTAGAAGTTTAGATTTTTAAAAGTTTTGATGATTTGTCATTAAAAGTTTAGACAAATCAAAAGTTTAGAAAATCAGACGTTTAGAAAATTAGTAGTGAAGAGCTTTTGAAGATTTAACTTTTAAAGGTTTATAGTTTTAATGGTGTAAAAGTACAAAAGATAAACGGATTAAAAGTTAAAAAGCTTAGAAATTAAGATTAGAGGGTTATAAATTTAAATGTAAATGTGGTTGACAGCCCCGCCCAAGTTGGCCATCTGGTTGGAAATATTCCAACGCCTGATAAACCATCTTACGGAAAAATAGGCTCTGCCAGAAAAAGTCACTGGTGTTGGCGATGTTATTTGAAATAAAGCACATGACTGTCATTGTATCGTTTATGACCATGTCACACCAAAATATGGGAGGGGTGGGCAGTGGCGGATCCGGGGGGGGGGGGCCGAGGGGCCCGCCCTCCCCCTGGTAAAAAAACGTGATTTTTCCTTTTCCCATCTGATAAGTGCATTTTTTCCTTTCTTACATGTGCTCCTTCTGCTCCTTATAAATACCCCTTTTCACCTCTGATATTTCAAATGTGACAAGTGCCCCATTTTCCTTTGTAATTATTGCCCTTTGATAAATGTAAATCCCCTTGTTTTGTTTTTGTTTTACCTTAAAACGTTTCCCTTTGAATTACCATGACACTCTACATTCTAATCAACTAACTTTTAAAAGATGCCGGGGGGGGGGGGGGGTCAGCTCATCATTTTTTGACCCTTCCTACTCCTGAAAGCTGGGTTGCGTTTCACGGAGACGCTATGAGTACAACTTCGCAGCCAACCCATTCAAAATGAAATGTCTGAAGTAAATTTAGCACGTGATATCGGCGAGTGACGTGCAGTGATGGTTTTGTGAAACAGACCCTTTGCCCTGGATTTGTTTTCGCATGAATGGTGAGCGACAAACGTATTTTTGTAAGTCATTTAAAAATTATATTGCTCATCAAAATATAGTAATTTTTCTTTTTTTTTACCAGATAATAAACAGATTGTAATCGAAATGCCATTCAACCTGTTTGGAATGTTATGTGACGAGAATTTACCGCTATAAACTTAAATATGTCGCAGTAGGCCTACTCGCACTCGCATGTAGCGCGCTAGGGCTAGGCACACAGCTAGCAGCGACGTGTGGCTGAAGCCTGAAGTGCCGTTGCGCTGGGCGTCGCGTCGGCACTGTATTGGGTTATGGGCTCCCTGGCCTGAGCTGACCTGCTAGCTGGGCTGAGCTCTGGAGATTGAGCGATTGAGCGATTGATTTATAATGATATGAAGTTAATGAAATAAGGCATTAAGTTTTGATCATATAATAAACGGTGCTAGTGTACTTTCATATCCATTTTTACCCCTAACATAACTCCAGGGAGCTCTGACGGTGAAGGCGTCGGAGCTCCAGAGCCTGTTTATGAAAACGATTCAAACAGCGAGTTGGGTCACATTTTTTTCGCAATGTAAAGAGGCAGTAGATCTAGAGTCTAATTACAATTTTGACTTACAACGTTTTTCAACTCCTCTGGGCATCTCTCCAACTACTATATAGGCTCCGCCGCTACCGCGCTTGCATACTTTCTCTTCGCCATGTTGAATCGACGAGTCAACATGGATGAATCTTCGGGTTGGAAGGAAGAAGCACCCTTTTTCCCATTCGAAGACTTCTTCAAATTATAATTTCAAGTAGTTCTTGTCCTTAAAATCTTGACTGATTTTGGGGTAATAACGTTTACAGTCCATATCATTTGATGAAGTAATTCATCTCTCTATTCTTTGTTTATTTCCACAGAAAAGCTGAATTTCGGTCGTGAACTCCATGTGCGTGTAGAGAGCATCCTTTCAAATAATTATTCTTCCTTGTGGTATTAGGAAAAAGAAATCAACACTCTACTGGAAAGGTAATTTACCTGTGAAGAGCTCTTGTGCACTACACACACACAAAATCGTCAAAGTACCCTAGTGAAAAATAACAAAATTTACATGTACATGGGAATGGAGAATTTGTTGGCTGTCCACAAGAAGGCCGTCAGAGGCATGTATTGTCCATGGGAGTAACAGCCTTTTTGCGGGCAGCTAATGAATCATGGAAACAAGCAGATGGTTCCAAGGAACATTCATTGAGCTTAAATGTGATGTAGTGTTAAACTGAAAATTAATTAATTTCATACATCATTGAAAGCCCCATCGCACTACTTGCGCCCTCTATAGCAAACAATGCCTAATTGGTGCATGTTGGTCCTCCATGGTCCTCTTTCCCTTATGTTAATTGAGAGCTGATTTGATAAAATAACCACCTGTCAATGGCCTTGCGGGGAGGTCTAATCCCCCTGGTCAAACTAGTAAAGGCGGGCTTTAAGGTCACTGCCTTCATCTCTTGTGTGCTCAATAATCCTGTGAATTCATGATTCTTTTATTTTCTACAAACACCTGTTTTTGATTACCCAGTCCACCATCATGATGTCATCAGTGGCCACAAGATGGCGGTGTCTACTCACGACGCAGCGAACCATAGCGCAGATGACAAGGTGTTTATCTACGCAGGGACTTGTCAACTGCCGCAAGACTAAACTTACTCACCCTGCAAAACAGATGCCATGCCTTGCGCGAGGTTTCAGAAGCACAAGTTATTGTCTTAATGAAGACCCTAATACCGGGTAAGCCTAGTCATTTGAATTTAAATCAATGTACAAGGAGAGATTTTTATGTAAGTGTATTTTTTCTTGCCCTCTTGTTATTTTCATGGGAGATGTTTTGGGTCTTCTAAGGATGAAGGTTGTATAGGCTACAATGTACAGTATATGAGATTTTACTTTAAAATCTGGCATGAATTCCTTCCTATGTAGCTCTACTTTTTAGGGTGTCTTTCTAAAAATGTATGGTTGCAAGATCACTGTTGTGATATATATAATATATAATGGATTTTCCTCTCCTTTTTTATTAAATATATTCAGAGTACATACCAAATTTGTTATTTCAGTAAAATTTTGTATGGTTATCGACTTTAACCTCTACATGTATAAAAGAGGAATTCACAAGAACCGTAATATACCTAGGGATAAAAGGGATTTCTTGTCCATCAACATACATGTACAGTATGATAAATATGATTGACCAACTGAAGCTAGTATGGCTAATGTAAGTATGTTACTTTAATTTGTGTCATATTATCTCAATTTCCTGCTGTACTTTACTGCGATGTACTTTGTTCATGTGTATACAGGTCGTCACCTGCTCGTGCCAGGTAGGTCTTACTGCACAGGGAGTTGAGCGTTTAAATTCCATCCCTAAATGACAATTTTCTTTGAGGTGTAGCATTAGAAAAGAGAAATCTGAAGACAGAACACTATTATGTAGTGGAATTCTTAAAAAAAGAGTAAATCTTCAGCTGACTTGAAAATGAGTTACGAGTTGTAACTTTTGTTCTAAATGTTTGGTGAACTCAAGATAATGTCACCAATACAGCTAATCTCTTATATGGCTGATGGTGATGTTATTTTTTTTTTTAGGGGATAAAACTGTAGATTGCTTCAGATTTCCCTGTCTGCAATAAAACTTGTTACTTATGTAACCAACTTTTTAATTTGTTTTAATACAGATTTTGACAGACATTAAAGTGTCCTCTTTAGACAGGAATCAAGGAGGTTTATAACATTCAGCTATCTAACTCTTATGTCTTTGATTGAATATTTTGCTAAAAAACAAATTTTCAGAGAAAATTGCCATAAAACCTTGACAAAGCTTAACCATTTATTATCTTCACAGGCTTTGAATATGAACAGTGTCTTAACAATCTTCCACTTGTACTGCTAAGTGCTAATGCATGTGGAAGGCTATATTTTTAGGGCTTTGAATCAAATTATCATTGAACCAAGCCTTAAAAAGTTAAACATTTAGGAAGTTGTTACACAATGTATGAGTGATTCAATTATACTCTCCAAAGAGGGCCATGAATTTCACTTTAGTAGCTGCAAATGTGTGCTACTGTATGATTCATTTGGGCTTTCTGTCGGTCTAAGTGCGCAGGCCAAAGTGGTCCACCCTCTAAAACTGATGAAATTCAAGGCCTGTGTGTGTGCATTTCTCATGAACAAGTTTTGTGACTTCATCGCTGCTTTCCTACATGTTTCCTTCATGTAGTTTTATATTTTGTATTATTTAGTTTCATATAACAACATTGCTTACTTCAACCAGTGTTGTGAGCTATGTATTCTTTGTGTAGACCTCGAGAATGATGACACATGCAGTAGCCAGTATGAGACAAAAAATATTGTTTTTCATTATTTCATTCATAATCATGGCTACAATATGCTACAAGTCTGCAGTCAAACTAAGACTTAGACATTAGATCACATATCAAAATTTCACATAGATTTCATACATTATTAGCAATTAGCAATGCTAGATGAGATCTCATTTTCAGCATAGCCAGATCTACGCATGTTTTTTTAAAGTGAGGTTTGAATCTTTCATCAATCTTGAAAGTGAAGGTGTTTTATTGAATTTATGCTTCAAGATTGCACTCCCTAAAAGCCCGATCCATACATGCTTACATAAAATAAGGCCCGCATGGATCGGACTTGGGTTCCATCCATTCTTCATTTTCTTCATACCCCTCAACATCCGTAATAGTCCTGGGTAAAGTTTTTAAGGTTGATTTTATACATTTAAAGGTACTATGTCCCATTTGCAGGCCAAAAAAATGAAAAAGTTAAATTCCAACTGCATTTGAAAGATAATACTAATTTAGAACTTCCCTAAAAAAGGTAGGGCTTGAAAATGTCTTCAAGTGGGAAAATAATGACTATTAGTTGTCAAATCGACTTTAGGGCTATAGAGCCCAAAAGTAATAGTCTTGATTTTTAGACAATGGTACTGAATGGTCATACGTTTTATGCTGCGCAAAGATTCAATCAGTTTAATCTTGGCCATCACAAGAAGTGGGTTATTGATGTAGACAAATGCTCATGTACCCTTTACAACTCTTTTCATGTATGTTATTACCAAAGAAGAAAAAAGGCCAGTCAGTCACTCAATAGTGTCTGACAGTGAAGTCTAGCAAGTAAACGGGTTTCCTTGCATAATTTGAATATGAGGACACTGCTAACGTTTAAATTTCACAGATAGGACATACATGACATATTCATAATTCCTGCAAAGTTCTACAGAATTGGAGGTTGGCTGCAAAAGGGACATAGTACATTTAAGCTGTACACAAGTTAACTTCTTAGGTGAATTGGTGATTACGTGTATGTACACTTTAAAGTTTAGAAACATTTTTAATTTAAAAAAAAGAGGGAAATTCAGTACCCTATATTCTGCCATGCATCACCAGGCCTTGAGAAGAGTGGGAATTGGCTTGTGTTCCTGTCATGTGTGTCTATCATGCTTGTAGTAGTCCTCATGCACTACAGGAAATATTATGTCAATCATTCTTGAGGAAAAAGAATGTAACGGTATATATGTTTTAAATTGACTTCATAAGTCTTCTGTAGTCTGTGCTGTACAGTATGTATCTGGAGTGTACTGTATTCATATTCATATTCATGTTTACTGTAGGTTGCTTTGAAGTGGTCGTGGATTTAAAAAAAAAAGGAAAACTCCCTGATTAGTTTGTGTGTTTGTAGTCCCAAGTGTTTTTATACTTTTTTTATCTTGAAAAATTGCTTCCATTAATTAATTACAAATATGCCTGCAGACAACCGTCACACAAGATTTGTACTTCTTTAGAATTGGAATGTTATATAATACTAAGTTAAAACCATTTTCCAACTGCTGTCCCACTGTCTTTCCCATTTGGCTCATGTTTTGTTCATTTTCCATTTCATTGTTTTTGAAAGCGAGTGGTCCTTCCTTTAAACAATCATTTTTCCGAAGTGGCGATGTTTTAACTCTTGAGCATGTTGTTGGTTGAACAGTTCTTTACTCTATAGAGGGCGCTCTAATTTTGCCTTTCCGTGTCTTTTTTAGATCAATCAAAATAGACGATTACGAGAACGGGTCCCGTAAAACAGGAAAACCTGTACCTGAGAATCAAGTGTATGTACAGGCATGTTTGCAAAGAGCAAGTCAGTCATTTGCTGTTGTTTTCATGACGTGTTTCTCTTGTGAAGAAGCTGGTTTCATTGCATTTCATGTCTTTCATGGTCATTAAAGGTACTATGTCCCATTTGCAGGCCAAAAAAATGAAAAAGTTAAATTCCAACTGCATTTGAAAGATAATAATAATTTTGAACTTCCCTAAAAAAGGTGGGACTTGAAAATGTCTTCAAGTGGGAAAATAACGACCATTAGTTGTCAAATCGACTTTAGGGCTATAGAGCCCAAAAGTAATAGTCTTGATTTTCAGACAAATGTACCGAATGGTCATACGTTTTATGCTGCGCAAAGATTCAATCAGTTTAATCTTGGCCATCATAAGAAGTGGGTTATTGATGTAGACAAATGCTCATGTACCCTTTACAACGCTTTTCATGTATGTTATTACCAAAGAAGAAAAAAAAACAGTCAGTCACTCAATAGTGTCTGAAAGTGAAGTCTAGCAAGTAAACAGGTTTCCTTGCATAATTTGAATATGAGGACACTGCTCACGTTTAAATTTCACAGATAGGACATACATGACAATTATTCATAATTCCTGAAAAGTTCTACAGAATTTGAGGTTGGCTGCAAAAGGGACATAGTACCTTTAAATGAGGCTGCCGTTGTAGTGGTGTTTTACCCTTAAGCCTGGCCCTGTTCACTTGAGATAATGTACCCCCCCCCCCCTTACCCCCCTTTCTTTCTCTCTCTCTCCCCCCAAAAACTGCACATGGAAAAATTACTTGAAATTGTAATAAATGGCGAGTGCCCAGGATATAAAGAAGTGATAAAAAGGCAAGCCAACCCTTGTAATTATTTCATTTGTAAAATTTTGTATGAAAGCAGAAAAAGAAGATCAACAGAATGACAGAACTTTGAAATAAATTGGACCAATAACAATGATAATAATAATAGTGTAAAATTATAGAGCGCACACACCGTCCAGGGACGCTCATGGCGCTAGCTCAGCAACAGTTCTCTTTAATTCAAGTAAAGTAAACAATTTTGCAATTTACATTTATATCGCCCATTTCAATAAGAAAGTTATGAATGTTTAAAATTTGAGATCACTTTGCAAATCTCGAATTGGCAGTTTGGTCAGTGTATTGTGATGAAGTCGCTGATAAATCTCCTGTTCGTCATATACAAACAAATATCATTGATTTCTCTTTTTCTACTAATTGCCTTCTCTTTTGGGGCACTACTCAAAATATATTATGGATAACATACCCGGTATTATTATACATGTAGGTCCTCTTATGAGAATACAGAACCTCCCAAGTCATCATTTTTCGACAATTGAAAATGTTGTCATTTTGTGTGTTGGTTTTGTGGAGACATGAAATGAAGTGAATGGGAAGCTATTTGTTTTCAAACCTTTTTGCAGCATGATTTTATGAAGTAAAATTGTTAATATGGCAGTTTGAATTTTTGATTGGCTCATTTTTTAAATCAGTGTGACTTCATTATCCATGACTCCATTTCAATCTTATCATACAAGTACACATCAATTGTTGCTGCCTATGTGTATTTGTACATTGTACATACTGTATGTACATGTAGCAATATTGCAACCTTGTTATGTCGGCCAAAAGACACAAGAATGTCAGAAGTGGGACCAGCAAAATTTGCTTGTTGTAATCAGAGTTTGTTATAATTGTTCTTTATACATTATGTAAGAGGCTCCTCTACAGTGTGTTTGCATTGAATCATGAGTCCAAGTAATAATCGTTATTCCAGAAGGAAATGTTCATACATGAACACCTGTTAATAAGTTATGTAATAGCCATAATTGTAACATGTGAAATGAAAGAAAAAAAAGAATAGCAAATTCTAGTTTACGCTTCTGATCAGTCATATTGTGCATTATGTGCAATTTAGAAAAAAATAAAAAATAGTTGAAATAAAAAGAAATGCTATACTCACATAAATAAATAATAACTGTGCACTTCCTATTGATGCACTACAATGCAAATGATGCATCATAACCTTCTCTCACAGCAAAACAAGAATGTCGCAGGAATAAAACTATAATCTTTTTGGTAGACAGCTTATTATCACAGTTAACAATTAAATAATACATGTAGTACCACTGTTAACAAATGCAGAAGTGCTTTATGTAATTTGCGTGTCTGTTTCACCTGCTGCTAAGAAAGCATGTGTAAACTGTAAGTAAGCAAAAAGGGGACTGGCAGCTCTAAGTCCTCTCCGAGGGACTTGATAATGAGGATTAATGCCGAACCTGGGATCCATAGTTACGAGACCACTGCTCTACCACTGAGCCATCATGCCTCCGACAATGTAATTCTTTATGTATTTTCTGAAAAAAGCAAAATCTGAATATTTGTCTGTAACTTTAAGCATGTGCTGCGATTTTTGGGGTTGTCACATGATCAACAACAGGAAGGAAAATCCAGATGGCCCTTCACAAGATTCGAGATTACAATTTTTGAGGTCTGGATACTGAGTAAATTTCATTCAAAAATAAATTCACTTGGGCAATTCTTTTCATTATTTAAACTGTAATTGCTTTATGATTTGTAGCACTAGTACACGGATAAGCGTTGGGTTTTTACTTGTTTGGCAAGTGTTTAACACATTGGCATATAGAGTGTATTCAACAAACTCTGCAATAAATAAGAGAACATTTGGTAATATCTTTTGATTTGTCTATGCTCTGTAGTGACGAAGTGACTACGATAAGGAAAAGGTGAGAAATCTAAAATTTTGTTTTTATTTAAAAAATTTTAATTCATTTTCATTTATTGTTAATGAAATCATCAAATTTTGCCCCCATCTTCTCTTTTTTGCTTTTGAATTTTCAATCATAAAAGTGTCTTTTACTAAACAGAAAGCTGAGTGTTTGGCACTAGAAATTATTTCCAGTTTCACTTCTATGAATTTATAAGGGAAAAAAAAGAGGAACAGTTATTGAAAAATATAAGCTTTGAATGATTTGTAAAAAAAAAAGATTATTTGGTTTAATCACATGCTCAAAATTCAGCTTTCTGATTCATTTTCTGTAGAATTTTGAATTTTTTTATGTTGTTAATTATTAATGCAAACATGCATTTTCACATGTATATTTTCATGGCAATGCCACTTTAAATTAGGAGAAAATCCATGATCATGCTTTCTAACATGTTAGATTCCCAATAGATATATAAAAGCCTGTTCGAACAACAAAAAACGTACATACCGTAGACAGAATGATGTTATTTTTAGTCTTTTTTTTTATATTCTAAAATCCTTCCCATTGTTAACCAAAGTACCAAACTAAACTTTGTTGTTGTTTTTATTGTTCTGTTTTATACATGATTCTCAAAACTGAAAATTGAATCGGTGTTTTTCTTGACTGATGATTTTATATTCCTGGTTTTCTTTAACGTTAATAAGTAATTTCATGAATTTATAACCAGTAACTTTAATCAAATTAGAAATCCTTTAAATAGGAATGTACATTTTCATGCAATCTCCATTCATTTGTCACTCAAGGCAGTGTCATTTTCCTATTAGCATAAATCTTCTTTTTTTCCCTTCTTTTCTTCTAGAATACAGATCCCAAAAATTCTTTTCATCAGCAAACAGTGTCTCTTAGGCCAAATAACAAAATGAAGTGTTTCTCACCCCCGCCAGCTGGACGAGAAACACATAATTTTTGTTATGTGGCCTTATGGAAATGCTTGTATGTGTATCTGAAATATAAAGAAAAAATGTATTAAATTGCATACATGACACATGTACATCTTCTATGAATTCATTCTGTAGCAGATAGGACCCTGAAACCCTGTGTTGCATGACCTTGCTAGGGGTCAAGAACCAACAAAATAAAAATCAAACTGAATTTATTTCAATTTGATATCATTTTTGGTTGGGAGAAATATGAAAACCCAACTGATTAAAAAAAATGTGGCCCACTGTGCATGGACCATACACAAGACTGTTCAGAGTGTTTGACCGCAATGAAAATGAAATCATTGTTTCATGCCCCATTGTTATTGGATGCGACTTGAGGGGATGGGGTAAAGGGGGGGGGGGTAGTTGCAGACACTCCCACCCCTCATCTCGAGTCTAATCATTACATCTTGAAACTCGCTATGTTGAATTCTTGTTAACATTTAAAAGAAAGGTGACATGAAAATTGTATTTCTTTTTAAGTCTCAAGAAGTGATCAAAAGTCCTTGATATGTACAGCATTTCTTGGGATGTACAATGTAGGCCGGCATGAACAGAACATATTTTATGATCCTAATAGTGTTTTGATTAAATTAATATTATATTGATGAATGAGTTATTCTAATGATTTCGTTGTTGTTTCACTTTTATACTAGTGTAACTGATAAATTATTCATTAGATTTTGTTGTTGCTGCAGTGACTGAAAAAAGGTCCCGATATCATGCATTATTGACTATGCTTCGTTATAGCATTGCTTTTATGCAGTTTTCAAAAATGTCATCTTTATACAGCACTTTATTGCTTTGTTTCACTTTTGCTTTAGTACATGTACATAATTCATGCATATTACCATTGTAGGTAGTTACATGTATGGTTAAAAAGTATTTCCCTTTGTATAATTGGCTCTTATTTTGTTCATTGTTCAGGGAGGGAGGGAGGGAGGGAGTACTTTAGATGTACACTGTAAGCTTTAATATGTCACATTCTAAAGAAATATAAATTAGAACAAATCAATTTTTTACATACTTGAACATTTACAAAAAATTTGGTAAGGGCATGAACTTTGTTTTAGCTGTAAAAGGGCAAATATGTAATATGTAAAAAAGTAATGAATACATTTTTTATTACCCTTGAAAATTAAATAATCTACATGTACACACATGTACACACATGTACACTGTATGCCAGCTATAAAAATATGAACAGTAGACTATAATACGTTAACATTGTGTTTTTTTGCTGCTCCCCCATACAGCTTTCCCAGCCTGGAGGAGCTTGTGTTTAACATGTTGAGTCAAGGTGATGGAACCATCTCAGTTAGCACGTTCTTTGATGTAAGTTTGAATTGAAGGCAAGATTAATTTCCTTCTAAATACAATTTTTGAACGGCTTTGCCGATGAACACATGCACATAAAAACATGATAATTATGATAAGCATGCTGATATGTAATAAAGTTGGATTTTAGTATGTAATCTTGATACCTGTCATTTTTTGGTTTGTGTGTGTACCGGTAAGCCTTTTCCCCCCAGAAGTATATACAGTGCGTCCCAGAACAAAAGAAACCAAGAATTATTGATGCTTTATCATTATTTCATAACTTAATCACAATTATAAATAATAAATGACACATACATTTGTAAAGCTTAGATCCTCTTCTTTCAATTGATGCAACTCATATGATGCACATTTCACGCAAGAGCGTTTACAAACAATTTGAAAAAAGGTTACCAAAAAGTCACTTGGCGGACAGAATCTGAAAATCACATTTCCAAAAAGTTAATTTTCTGCCCTTTCATATGACACCTTAATTGGGAAAAATGAGCCAGAAATAACAAAGTTCTGTTTGTTTAAAGTAATGCTTGCATTTCCATAATTTTATCAAACAAATTTGTTTTCACTGGCTTGTCAACAAAACATATGGTAGTTTGTTGTTTGTTGCTACGTCTTCTTTGTTGCAGACACTAAACGTAATTATGGTGAAAGCTGATGTCCTCAAAACTACTTTTAGTTTCTTTGTACTACTCTGTTTGATGTGGTGTTCTTATCCAATGCATACCTCATTCACTATGCAATATTTCTAAATATAATTTTTCTTGATTAAAATTTAGTATAAAGTCTTTGTGTAAATCAAGTATGTTGTGGATATCACAAGTTTATACTCTTTTCTTGGCCAGGCTCTGCAAGCAAAAGGTTTGACCCTGAACGACCCCAGACTGAAAGAGTCGATGGATAACTTCCGTTCAAAACATCTTCCTCAGTTTCCAGAGAGAATAGGAGATAAATATCTCACTGCTGATGAATTTAAAGAGTAAGTCTGCCTTGTTTGACATTTTTGTCCAGGAGTATAATGATAAAGATGAAAATGATGATCAGGATGATGATGAATGATTATGATGATGATGATGATTACAATAACAATAAGAACAACAACAACAATAATATTTGATATTTTTTATAGCACTTACATCCACCATGCAACTTGTTGAAGAAAAGCAATGATGACATAACCATACCATACACAGAGATACACATCATACATTTAAAATATTCAGAAAGTGTTGACAATTTTTGATAATCAACAGGAAAAAAACGATATCCTTTGCGTCTACATTGAAGTTGTATACCAAATATGCTAGGGCAAATATAAGGTATTTTACTCAACTTATCAAATGACCCATTCCAATTGCAGCTGATAGCTTGGATTACATGAATTCCATGGAAAATGATGTGGGATACATACAGATAAAAAATAAAAATAAATGCCATTGACTTGCCCAGTGTGGTTATCATTTAGTATATACGGTATACCGTGGTATATAAATCATCAGCTACATGTACATGGACCTTAAAGGTAAAGACCAGTTATGGTCATGCGATTGCATTGTGAAAGAAACGGTGTGGAATCGATCAGAAAAGGTTGATCATGTAGCACATAGCACAGCATGTAGCATGGTGTGTACTGCAAGGTTCTGGAGTCATCTTAATGATAAGAAATTTGGCCCATTTTGGGTAAAATTAGGCGCACTGTACACAGAAAGATGTACATGTATATGTGACTACACAAACAAGTGGCATAAAAATCGGGCCTCATTTTTAAGCTGTTATCATATCTAGAATATGAAGGCATTTGAACAGCCATGCTTTTCAGGGAAAATTTTTCCTCTGATGTTCTACAACACTTGCATAATAACAATGATAACGCTCACAAATTATTTTTCACCTCTCCCCTGAACTCAACCTTCTCTTTAAACATATCTTCAAAATGAAAAATCAATGTTTGTTGTGCCCTCCTACAATCATGACCATACTGTTGTATTAAATGAAACGTTCTCTTTCCGTTATCTGTAGCTGCGTACAAGACAACATTGTCCTGATTGGACGTGCCCTTCAGAACAAGCTTATCATCCCTGACTTCCCTGAGTTTGCTGCCACCATCCAAGAAACGTTTGAAGAAGCTAAGAACAATGAAACTGGAGAGGTAAGAAGGATTTTCGTTGTTGTTGTTGGGCTTTTTTTTGGGGGGGGGGTGGGGTGGTCGTGCCTAGTCACTTGCATCAAATTAATGATATGAAAAGTATTTATCAAAGTCAAAGTTAAATTTTGTCACGGCAACACAGGCCACTAGGCTTTTGAGAGTCCTGTATTTGCAAAACATACCTATAAAAAAAATCCATTTTAGCTCTTTGGGATTCTCAGGGACCCCCAATATTTGGATAGAGTATGAGTCGGAGATATGATTTCATGTGTCATTTGGCCATTAAGTACATCATGATGTCATCATAATGGCCTTGGAACTCAAAATATGAATTTGCATATTATGACGTCAGCATATTGACGGAAAATTGAGTGTATCTCTGTAAATATTGATTGTTTTTCTCCCGACTTTTGATATGTTGTAGCTGAGACAATTCTCTACACTAGAGGTGACATTTTTCTTTCATTTTAACAATGACATTATAGCCCATTTTTGTTATTAAAGGAGGCATGTCAATTTTGCCAATTTGCGTGTATTATCTATGGGAGGTGACTTTTTCTGAAATCTTCATTCTACATTCCAGTATTGTTTGAGCAATATCTTGTTTTTTGTTCGGTTGATTTTCTGCCAGCTTCGAATATGGTGTAGCTGAAAAAATTTCCTACGTGAAAGGGGATATTTATATTTTAATCAGATGTTGGGATCATGGTGTGATTTGAGAATCCCATTTTCCGTTTAAGTGTAATGTCTATGTGGATTTTTTTTGTATATCGGTCAAATCATTTATCTCCCATTCCAGCGACCCAGGTTTGATTTTGGTTGGTTCACATTTGTTGTTGATTTTTTAAATTTAAAAAAAAAGTTTTTTTATTTGATTTTATCACCTTCTTCGACTATTAACATAACATATACAATCACAAACAATGTAATAAAATGCCTAATTTTGTGTGTTACATGTATATCTATGGGAAAGGAATGTCAATAGTTTGCGTATACGACCCTATGGTAAATCTGATTCCTTTTCATGTATTAAGCCTATAGGGTTAATCTCCCAAGTCTGCTACAGTATCAAATCATCTATGATGCTAGTCGCCTTCCCAGACGTTTACATTTTTTTCTAGTTATTCAGCCCATGCAGGTACAGGTATATGCAATCTTTACGTCACTCCCAAGGACATAGAATTGTTTACATGTCTGTAACCTCTTTCTTTCGCTATATCTATCAACTCACATCTCTCCATTAACACCATAGACCCTTTAAGAACAGACCGCATCACTTGTGACAAATTCAAATCTCGTCTTATATTTCTCTTTATTTCTCTTGTAAAAAACATTTGCATGTTGGTACATTTGTCCTTCTTTGAATGATAGCTTGACTTGACACTCTTCAAACAATGGCTATTCTATTCTGAAGAAAGGATGCCACAAAATGAATTTTTAAGTTGGAATTAAAGAATTTAGTGGTGTACAAACAATATTGGGAAGGAGCTTCAAGGTTCAATAGGATAGGAGCAATCTTAAAACTTTAATAAAACTCATTATGTTTCTGATTGTAGTGTCCATGATAATCACAAACTAATCAAACCCTCCCACCTTCCTTTACATCCCACCTCCAGTTGGCGGACTACATCCCCCAGCTGGCCCGTCAGGACCCTAACGCCTGGGGGGTGAGCATCTGCACCATCGATGGCCAGCGATGTTCCTTTGGTAACACGTCGGACCACTTCTCCTTCCAGTCCAGCAGCAAGGCGCCTGCTTACGCCCTCGCCTCCACCCTCATGGGCTCCGACTTTGTCCACAGGCACATCGGTTTTGAACCGAGCGGCCAGTCTTTCAACGCCTTGTTCCTGAACAACAACAGTAAGTTGCTCCACAAACTTGTCCCTCTTTGTTCCAAAGTGGCCAGTCTTATAACATCTTTTTAACAGCACCAGAAAGTTCTATCATTGTCAGAAAAGTATTACCGTTTAAGTAATTATGATTATCCATTGCTCAAAGACATCCCCTAGATGATATTATTGTTATGGTCAAAATTTAATGAAAGGACTTCAAAACGATGTATGTTTCATTTCTTTCTCTGTTTTTCAGATACACCACATAACCCAATGTTGAACTCTGGAGCCATAGTGACTGCCGCCCTAATCAAGGTATTATAGTCATGATCAAGTTTATACCATTTCTTTTGTTGATATGTATTTGAGTAGAATAAAATCCCCTAAATGTTGGTTTTGGAATGCCTGCATTTCTTCCCTGACTTGACTTCATCATGTTCCCACTAAAATTGCGTTAATTTGACTCAAACTGAAATATAGCAAGCAATAGAGTACATTGTCCTTGATGTGGATATGTTAAAACCCCTCTGAAGTGTTGGGAGCCCCAAATTTCAATAAATTTTGATGGGAAAATTTTACTTAAATCGTATCATAATGTGAAAGAGGCTGTCATTTAAAGAACACTATTCTGCAAAGATTTCCCCTAAAAAAATATGTTTGGAGACAAGACAAATATTGATGAAAGAATACATAATCTGGGTTTTCTGTTGTACGCAGAAAACCTAAATTTTTGTATTCTTTCATCAATATTCGACTTAAAACATATTTGTTTTGAAAATACTTGCAGAAGTGTGTCTTAAATGACATCCTCTTTCACATTATGATACAATTTAAGTGAAATTTTGCCATCAAATTTTGGGGGCTCCCAACACTTTAGAGGGGCTTTAACACTTTTTTTAATTTTTTTCCTTCCTTTTCTATATTCCCATGTGTTTGTAGCCTGAACTGACTGCAGCTGATAGATTTGATTTCATCATGTCTAAGTTCAGAGAGGCAGCAGGGGGAGAGTATATAGGATTCAGCAATGCCACGTAAGTTTGACAAAGCCCTCTCTCATTCTCGTCCCTTATCTTTGGACCCACCTCCCCCCCCCCCCCTCACCCCCTTCCTCCATGTGGGATTTGAGCTTAACAGCCTTGAATGACTTCAGAGTTTCTATCAAAATGCATCCCTTTTTTCTAAACTATGCCCTTTGTGTATTGATAACAGTATTAAACATTTCCTGATAGGTTGTACAATATGTACTTTATTTTAAGATATTAACCCAATTAAACCCATCAACTAAATGAATTATTTCTTTCTCATGTGCTTTAGGCAATTGGTTAATTGTTTATTTTGTTATTTATTCATTAATCATCAATTTATTTACTTGTTGCTGCATGCTTCATCATAATACATGGTATGATCAACATGAGAGCAAACAATCAGTTAGTTTTAGGAATCGAGAATGATAATGACATGAAGAAATGTAGAGTGTCTTGAGCATCAGTAGATATGTCACTGGACTGGATCACAAGGTTATGGTTTGAGTCCCACCGCGGCACTAATGTACTTCGTCAAGTCACTGATCTACATTTGCCACACTCCACCCAGGTGATGTAAATGGGTACCTGGCATGAATTAATTTCTTGAAATGCCAGAGCGCCGTGATGGCAGCCATGCTAAAGCCAGTGTAATAATCGGGAGTGCCAGGAGTGTCATGTCTGACAGATATGAGCGCTATACAAGAACCCAATATTATCATTAAATATTAAATATTTTATCTTCAGATTCCTATCAGAGAAGAAGACAGGTTTCAGGAACTTTGCAATTACCTATCTGCTCCAGGACTACAACTGCTTCCCACCTGGAGCTGACCCTGTGGACACCCTTGAACTCTACTTCCAGGTCAGTCAGTCACCTCCAGATGACCCCTGGGTGACCCGTAGGTGGAGGGGTACCCTGTTCTGAGTGGGTGCATATTTAGATACAAATGATATTGTGAGACAGTTTAGCTGGAAGTATGACGCATGCTTCTGCGACAATATCCCACGCCACAACATGTAACTGATATAAAAGATAGACTATTTAGTTACCCTCCATTTAAGTTTGTAATAGCAAAAATTATGGCATTGTGGAGGGTTTATTAGGTTGTTAACAAGTTTTGTAATGGCTACATGTGTATTTATTGCAAGAGCTCATATTTAGTAGGTGAAAGGAAACTTGATCTTGAATAAGAAAAAGAATAGAAAAGTTTTACTCCTAAAGAAGTGGACTGAATATCAGTGATAGCAAAGGGGGAAAAAATAATGATTCTAATAACGCCTTCCTGAAATTCCGTCCATGGGTTTATGGACCCCAACACTTTCAATCTCTCCCATCATTTCCGTCCTCATCAGATCTGTTCGTTGGAGGTGAATTGTGAGTCAGCTTCTGTCATGGCAGCCACCCTGGCCAACGGTGGCATCTGTCCTCTGACCGGCAAGAAGGTCTTTGAGTCGGTGGCGGTCAGAGACACCCTGAGTCTCATGCTCTCCTGCGGGATGTACGACTTCTCAGGACAGTTTGCTTTCAAGGTAAGTGTGTTGGCCTGCCTGAAACAAAATGACCTGCTACTGATAGCCATCGTTTGAGTTAATATGCTGTTACCCTTTTGGTTCTGCACATGATATTTTATTGTTTAAATCTCCAATATAGAGATGTTTTTCCCTAATGGATATGATCATTAAATCTCCATTGTCATTTCACAAGCATTGGACACTTTATAGGGAAATGAAATAAATGTAATAAATGATAGAGATGCCTTCCCCCTAAAAATATTGATATTTAGACAATTTGGGGATTTATTTCACTTACTTGCTTCTGTCCCAAAGGCTAGTTTAAGGGAAGTTTAAGTTTAAGGGAGTTTAAGGGAAGTTTTTTTTACTATACTGGTAGGCCTACTGTCTGGTAGATGATATCAAGATAAGATTTTAGGGTGTTTTTTCTGGGATTGAAAGCAATTTGCAGACACTGTTTACAGTTATAGAGCTTCAAACAACAGGCCTGATCAAAACGCGATTTAAATCGGTTTCCTGATTTTTTTTGATTTTTTCCAGATTTTCCCCTTATTTTCTCTATTCTTCCCTATTTTTCCCTATTACTTCCCAATTTTTATTACTCAAAAGGGGGGAATGTTGTTAGATGCCATTTTCCCCCCGAATCCTCTTTCTTTTCTTTTTTTACTCAAGGGGGCGTGGTTGAGGGGAAACCCCCCCCCCTTTTTTTTTTTAGTGCTCACTATCACCCCTGAACAAATTCTGTATTGATTCCACTGCTCTGTACATTAGAAGGCTTTGAGCCAGTGACTATCAACTATTGACATCAAAGAGAAGACTGGATGATTATTTTCTTCTCTCTTTTCTGCAATCCAGGTGGGCATGCCAGCTAAATCGGGTGTGTCAGGCTGTGTCATGCTGGTGGTGCCAAACATCATGGGTATCATGATGTGGTCTCCACTCCTTGACAACTTTGGCAACAGCTGCAGAGGCATCCAGTTCTGTCAGGTAAGGGAACATTAAAGGGGAATTCCACTCTGATATTGAATTGTTTATAATTAATATAGCAACAGAAAGAATTTGTGAAATTTTGAGAAAAACAAAGTTCAGAAAACTTATTTTAGTCAATCACAACTATGTGATTTGCCTCTCAAGCATCTCTCCATTTATTTTGTACTGCAGTTTCCATGAATTTCCATTATCTTGGTTATTGATGATGAAGGAATAGATATTTATGTTTAGTGATTATTAGACTAGGTGTCTAAGGCATCATATTCACAAGATACCCTACATCGCCTAAAAGAGAGATGCCATTAGTGATGCCACAGCAAAAATCAAATCACATACATATGCGTAGTACACTTCAAATTTCTTTATCCAATGATACACATTTGAATTCATTTAGGGAGCTTTGTTGGACGCATCTACTGTTTTTGCACCCCAACTTGCCATTCCCATGTAAAATAGTGTTATTTCTTCCATAGGGGTGTTGTTGTTGGGGGGGGGGGGGATTCAACTTCAGATGAAACTCTACCTCTATTTTTCACCGATGCAGGATCTGGTAACACACTTCAACTTCCACAACTATGACAACCTGAGGCATCATTCAGCTAAGAAGATTGACCCGGTTACTCAGAGGACACATAGCCAGGTGAGAAACATAAAGCCAACTGGGTTATATACCTCTGTTACACTGTCATACCAACTCCACGCTGACTCTAAGCCAACTAATCTCAGGCAGTTCTGTGTTATCTCACTTTTGTTCGGTCTGCTGTAGGTGTCGTGTCTGTTTCATTGGTTGCACTGGAATATCAGACTAGATCCCTACAAAATGTCAGCACCGTTTGAGAAGAAGTTTAATTGAAACCACTGTTCTTATCAAAGGGTGATCCAACATTTACTCCAGGGCCATGTTTCATCAAACCTGTTAACAATAACAAGTTGCGATAATTGTTATAAACTACTGAAATTGTGGCATTTGATCGGCTGAGAGCAAATTTGTCATAGAAATTTAGCATTTGTTATTGATCACAAGTTTCATGAAGCAGGGCTCTGGTCTTAGTGATATCAAAGATATAAGACAGGGCTCGGGTTACCTCTGGGGTTTTTAACCTTAGGTTTAGGGATTAGTGTCAGGATCTGAGTTAGGGCTAGGAACAGTGTAGGATCCTGGTTTGAATTTTGGGAAGTGGTAAGTGTGAAAAATCGTCACCAAAGCATGTGCTGTACAATCTGTATTACAGCAGTATCATCTTTGAATAGAAATTGAACAGCATTATCTTGAATTGACTGTATTCAGTTTACAAAAATGATAAAGAGGGAAGACTTGCCTAACAGCAGCTTAACCCTCTCAATGCTGAAAGATCAGTCAATCAATGAAAGTGCATGTTGAAGTTAGTCCATGTTTTCTGAATTCCTACTACTACCACTCTCTGCTGGAGGTTTTGCTTTTTCAGGTATTCCTGCATATCAGGCCATGCATCCCTCCATCTATTCGCCCCAATCTTTGTTTCCTCTATACATTTTACAAGACTTTTGTTACAAGTTGTATGTATAATTCTTTTCAATACGCACCAAAGCAAGCCATAAGTCCCCACAGTTTGACATCTCTAATGTTCTCTGATTATCCATTCACCTACACCTACACTACTAATGTTCATCCTTTATGATGCACCCTGAAGGCCACGCGGACCATGAAGTTATTATTTGGTGCTTACAACGGAGATGCTAGTGCTCTCAGGCAGTACTTCTTACAGGGCATGGACATGGCTGAGAGTGATTACGATAGTAGGACAGCCCTTCATCTAGCTGCTGCAGAGGGTATGTGTTATATAACATCCTCCGTTTGATTTCTGGGCTCCGTCTTACAAAGACTTACGATTGATCAAACGCAAGTCCACCTATCAATCGCAATTTTGCAGTCTCCTATCTCTGATGTACATAGTTGCGATTGATATCAACGCTTTGTAGGACGGGGCCATGATGTGCAATTAGATATGAGACAGAGGGATATTTTATGTTAACATTTAAAAACCTGTTACCCTTTATAAATAGTTGCTGAAAATTGTTTTGTAGTTGTGATATTGTTCTTGGAAAGGAACATACATGTACATGTACATGTAAGTCAATTTCCATCTTGACCATTTTGAGAGTGTAATTATTTTAATTTTTCCACTTGAGGATTCATGATCATATTCAAGTTCATATTATCTCAGAAAACATCCTCATAGATCAATTTTTGCATGAAGGTTTAAACTACAGTGTTTTAAATTAAATTGCCAACAGCTTGGTGGGCATAAGTAAAAAAAAAAATGGCATGAACCATAATAGACAGTGCCATATACCTTCAAAATCTGGAGTATCTGAGTTTGTGATAGATTTTCACGTAAGGAGAGGGCTGTACTCATTTAATCACTCGGTCTAAATTATATTCATGTTTTTATGATATTTTTAGATTATATCTATTCACCTTCTTTTTTCGAATAAATCTATGTGATTTGTTTATCTTACAGGTCATACAGAATGTGTAGAGTTCTTACTTGAGAAATGCAATGTAAGCCCTGATGTACTAGACAGGTGAGTTTGGCTTGTTCCTTCTCTTTTAATATTTAATCTGCTCTTGTCTTTCTTGTTCTTTTTTTTTTTGACTGCTCTCTTTGGTTTATTGCTGTTTGGTCTACACCTAGCCTGTCTTCCATCCACATGGTCTCATAATCACTTCGTTTACTTATGATTAGGTCAAAATAGTCATTTAGTCCAATCTCCAATTTGTCTATCCATAAAGTCTAGTAATCATTTGATGATTATTATTGTCTGGTTGTAGACCATGGGAGAATAGACTAATGGGTTGTAGAATAGACTGTAATCCACCCTTTCTACTACATCGACATGAACGTGTTGTTTAACCCTTTCCTTACTGTACAAATTACTCTGTTCGATATTCTGTGCCTGGCAGCCTCTTTTGTCAACAGATCACAACAGAAAACTGTTTCTGTTGTGATTTTGAAACTAGTCATTTTTCACGATATACTCGTGAATAAAATTCAGTTAGCCTTCATTTGTGATTCATTCATTTTGCAGCGTGAAATGGTTGTCAATCTTAGCTACTTGCAAAATTTGCAAAGATTTCATGCATATGAAGTTCCTGTTTTTACAGTATGTAGCTCTGATATTTGACTTAGATATTGCCACATCAAATAGCTTGTATTTTAGCTTAAATTAACATGCTAAAATTAATACTCCAATGTGATAGAAATATGGGTTAAACCATTTTACTGAGCCAAGCAAGCTAAATCCAAAGGAAAATATTGACTTAAGACAAGCATTGAATATTCTGGCCCTGGTCTCCAAACCTGTCTACCTTCAAAACATATTGTTTGCTGCCCTCTTGCAGTCACATTGAAGCAGTGTTTGATAACTGTATGACTCATAATGTACACAAGTGTTTTTATCTGATATGAGGGGTATGTAGTGCCTTGTCAATGTGTCTAAAATCTTCTTGATAGAAGTCATGTCTGTGCAGCCAGGCAACCTAATGTCTTGATTGAGACAGTATCACTGATAGTGTTGACCAGTGAGTGATTGCGTATGCCTAGATGCAGACGAGAGAGAGAGAGAGAGAGAGAGAGAGAGAGAGAGGGGGGGGGGGGGGGTGGAGAGGGAGAGGAGGGGAGAGAGAGAGAGAGAGAGAGAGATAGAGAGGGGTGTGAGAGAGGGGGAGGAGAGAGAGAGAGAGAGGGGGGGAGAGAGAGAGAGAGAGAGATGGTATATTGCTGTTATGCAAATTTGATTTGTAATCAAGGTCTTTAGTTAATTACACACATTGGCCCAGGTCATTAGAAAACAGAAATTGAGAATTGCAAGGGTCCATCATAGCTACCAGTTTGTCATGTATCTGTAAACGAATCTGTGTGAAATATATTTATGTGAAGTTGTGAACTATGAAATTAAATCCAGTGATATCTTTCAATATTTATGGAAACTCCAGAGTAAAAAAAAATTCTTTCAGGTTTTGATTACTTTCATTTTTTTTTTTTTTTTTTTATAAATAAAGAATATTTTCATGCAACAAAAGTTCAAGTTAATGCTTTTACATAGTTTTAATGTTTACTATTTGATCAATCCACCTATTGCATCCATTTATCTGTCTACACTAAATTTATTAATTAAGTAATCTATCCATCAATTAATTGAATCGGTCATAATTCCTATTTAGTTCTCTGTCCCACAAAAATATTGTCTATTTGTACACGGTTAATTGTAAATTTTCTAATCAATCCAGCTGTCGACCAATCTGTCCACCCACCAATTTATTTTTCCATCCATCAGAAGTCACACTGACTACTTTTCCTCTACAATGAGTTTTCAAGCTACAATGACTTTGTCAAACTAATCCATATTTAAGTGTTTTATTGGTCATCTTTCAACCAATTCACCTTTCTACAAAATTATCCATTAATCAATCTATTCATTGACCAGTCCATCCATACCATCCATCAGTCAATTGATCATTAAAATGAGTTAGAAATTACACTGTCTTTAAACCAACTATTAGTTTGATTATCATCCCTCTCAGTTCACCTATCCTCCCATATATCTATATATCCATCCATCCATTAATCTATCCATCCATCATTCTATCTATCCATCAATCAAATCAATCAGAAGTCATCCAGTCCCCACAATGAGTTTATCAACTAACCAATGTTGTCTGTGTGGTTTACACCCGTCTTACCAGTCAGCAGTAGGCTAGCAGATTAAACCCTTTATCTGCTGGAGTTCATATCCTCGCATCCATCTATCTATCTATCTATCTATCTATCCATCTATCAATCCATCAATCTATCTATCAATCAATTAAATCACTCAGAAGTCGTTCAGTCCCCACGATAAGTTTATTAAACTAACCAATGTTGTCTATGTGGTTTACACCCGTCTCACCAGTCAGCAGTAGGCTAGCAGATTAAACCCTTTATCTGCAAGAGTTCATATTTGAGCTAGGTGGTCATAAAGTGATTAGGACTAATTAACCTGTTGTCTTTAGATAAAACAACACACTTAGCTTACCAGTGAGTCAGTGTAATCATTATTGATATCAGAACCAGAATGGCTTCCTTTATTCTCATTTTCTGCTCTTATTGTCCGTTCTTATCAGTTGCCTAGACTTACAATGAGTTTTTTTTTTGGAGTATTCTGGTATGTTGGTCAAGTCTCTTGACTCTCTCAGTCTTCCATGAAGTCACAGATTCAATCCTTGCTCGGTGCCCGTATCTCCGGACAAATTGTTTTCCCACATTTGTTTCTCTCGACCTAGGTCTATTCATGGATACCAGGCACTGCTAGTGTAATAATAAGTGCAGGGTCCTCTAGAAGAACAGTATCATTGATTAAGCTACCCTGGGTAAAATAAGGCCATGTTGTTATTGTTCCGTTAGTCTCAACCCCAAGAACTACATTAATGCTACCAATTATGTATTGAAATAATGGCATTTTCCTTTGCCATTGCTGTCATCAGGGCCCCAGGTCTTAACTACAATATATTAATATCCCCTTACGTGTTGTGGGATGCAAATTCTGCCCTAGGAACAAATTTTGAACTTTGTGTTAATAAAGAATGACTTCATTTTTGTCATGAAACAGAAACATATATCTTTATGTCAAAATTCATTATCATGGAACGTATTTATTACCCAGTTTAACAACAAAACATAATATTATGGGTCAGAATTGTACTTTACAAAATTTTCGTAGCACATAATAATCTGATACTTGAATAAAACCAAGTGGGCCAAACTAAAAGGACTTAACAAGATTTTGATCAATGACTCCCTCTTGAGTCTGAGATGGGACAGTTTGTGAATTACCTGTTATTATTCATTGGTTGGTTTATGAGGTGCCTGTCTGATGTTATCAGGTTATCTAATAAACCACTTGTTGGTTAATAGCTTGTGGTTGTACTGGTTGACAGACAGGTAGGTGACGTTAAACCACTGCCAATGCACATTTTGTGTGGGTGTGTGTTTGTGAGAGAGAAAGAGAGAAAGATAGAGAGAGAGAGACAGTGTAAAAAGAAAGGAAAGACAGAAGTGAGGTAAAGAATAAAATAAAACTAACTAACAGTTGTAAAAGAAAGATTATTATTAAAATATAAATGAAATAAATCTTATATTGCATATAAAAAGAAAAATAATGCAAATCATTGGGAGAGAAATAGAAGAAGGTAGTTCAATATAGGAAAATAAAAGGAAGAGTTTAAGAAAAGAGCTTGACAGGAAAAAAAAAATTAAGACCAGTTGGGGAAAGGACTAGAGGGTAAAAAATTAAATCTATGGTAATTAATTCCAGTTGTCCTTTGTGATTATGGGTTTATCATCATGAATTATCCATTCACAAGTGTTTTATGATTAAATGATATTAAATTATCACAATCATTTATAATCAGTATGTGTGGTATGTTCAGTATGGATGTGTAGAAAATGTGGTGGTGGGCCAGCAGTGCAAAGCACCCCCTCCCATTCTCATGGAAATTGAGATTCCACCCATCTTGTATTAGTCAGCATTTAAAAGATCTTGGTCTTCTCCAACCTTCTTTGATAACATGTACTTGAGTCAACTCCATAAGTGGCATGATTGCACCTCATCAAGAACCAATTAAAAGCTCTTTTAGATGTCAGGATTGCGTAGCCAGTATGGCTAGAATAGCCCAGTTAGGGCATGACTCAGTCCAGGGCTATGTCATGAGGAAACACCTCTTGCTGTTCCTTCTAACACTAGTCCTGGTCCTAAAGTGGGCTCTCCCAAAGTTCAAAAGTTAAAGTGACATTGAGTGTTTTTCCAACACATATATGTACAGCTCTGCGATATCAGTACATATGTACATATTACAGGAGTTATGGAGTACTACATGGATGAACAATAATTAAAAATTGTATTTAAGATTTAAAAATGGATTTAAAAAATGCGTGAAAGATGCAAATAAATGAATGAAAAGGTGAGTCAAGGGAAACGATAGAAGCGTAAAAAAGATCGATGAAAAAGGTACATCGAGGACCAATCGTTATGAAAATCTAAAAGAAAATCTAGGAAAATATGAAATGGTAGTAAAAGAAGAGAAGAAATGTGCATGAAAACTGAAAAATTAAAAGTGGGGATGGAGTAGAAACCTAAGGCAAAGCTTGGATGGAATCTTTAACACCAATCTCTCATCTCATCATTGCATTTAATGAAGACTAAGCTTTACATCATCTTGTGTTTGAGGTGGGGGGGGGGGGGGGGGGGCTTCTAGTTATTCACTGGTATGCATTCCTCAAAACAATCAACACCCATAACTTTGACTTTGAAGTGTCTCTTTTGGGAATCCCTTTTTCTTCCTCCATTATTTTGTTTATTCTTTGCTCTCCAAACAAAGTTAAGATGTGCATGTAACTGACTTTTAATTGCATCAGACGTGATTACCAACTTATTGATGGGTTGCCAATTTAGCGATGTGTCAACAGACGAACTGTGAATCAGCTCTAGGAGAATTTGCATCTTGTTTGACCACAAGGGGGATAAAAATCTTGACGTCAATTCAATTTGGGATGATTCTTCATATCAAATTTATTAATAGCCATTCAAGTATGTGGTTTATAGATAAAAATCTTGGATATCATGCAATTTGATTTTGATTGACTGTATTGGCTGGATAATTTAAGGCTGGTTCTGTTAGATATCATTATTCAATACTTAGGAAGATAAGCCTAGGTACAAAGTTATTAGAAGCAATATTGGTAGATGGCTAATAAGGAAAACAAAGGGGCAATATTGCTCCAAGAAGTGAACTACAGTATGTAGACAATTATGACAAGTTTTGTTTGGTGTATGTGTTCGCCGACCAGATATTAAGATAAATTAAAGGCAAAATTCACTCTTTTATTATATTATCATTATTAACTGATGAGTTTAACATCCAGTCATATTGAAGAGTACTTTTCACAGACTTAATAGTTTCTGAAACTAATTAAAAGATGCGATCTGCAAGAATCAACTTTTAAAGTTTAATGAGACATTTAGACACCAAGTATTAAAGAAACCAACCTTTGATATTTTACTTTTGATACATGCACAGACCCCCTGTGCCTTCCATTCATGAAAGGTTATACTGTTTGAAAAGAAAGAAAGAATGAAAGAAGAAGTTTACTTGTAAGATTTAATCCCTGACCTCACCCCCTCATCATCATCAAGTCATTAATCCAATCAAGATGTTGTTCTTGTCAATACAGTCCCATTCAGGGATTCTAATCCCCATCTTGTCTCCACTTCAGGTTTTTTTTTAAATCTTCAATCATGGTCCATCCTCTCTCTCTCTCCCCTCCTCCTTCTTTCTCTCTCCCTCTACCCTGTCTGTCTCTTTCTTTATCTCCCCTTCTTTTTCTCTCTCTCTCTCTCTCTCTCTCTCTCTCTCTCTCTCTCTTCCCATCTTTCTTCATCTCTCCTGCACCTATCCACCTCGTACAGTATATTTGCATTTTTAAAAAACACAAAAAAGCTTAAATCTCTCATTTTATTTCTCCATTGGGTAATTTTTCCAAATGATATGATTTCTAGCTGTTCATATGAACATGTTTACCTTGTAACCATATGCTAGTAATTACCTAATCTTGAATCTTTTAAAGGATGTTAAAAACATCTTTGAATTTCATTTTAGTTAGTTTCTTTATTCATCTATCTTTTTTCATTAAGTCTTGTTTTAAAATCTCTTTAGCTTCAGTGATTTTCCAGGTCACTGATTAAGTTTGGTCGCCCCCTCCCCATTCAGCCCCCCCCCCCCCTCCCCACCCAGCCCTGATGGATGAGTCACCCTAGGTGCCCTAATCTTATCCATCTCCCCTCTCTAACTTGTTTGATGTCCACTTTAACCTATTATGTGAGTCACCCAAAACAATACTCACCCAAAATTTGATCAAGGAACTCCAAAAGTGGCAACAAGATTTGGTACTTCAAAAAAGGTAGTGCTCTATTTATAAAGAAGGTTCATGGGTTCGTGAGCACTCTTTCATGCGCCGACTTTGGCCCGGGTTTTGTTGTTGTTGTTTTTTACATTCTATACTCTACTAACAGTTATTTGATCACCATAAAAACTATTTTTGTTGGCTGTATGAGTCATACAAGCCCAAAACTTTCTCAAAGACTTTGAACATGATAGTGCCATTTTGTTTGTTAAAGAGGATACCTCTTTAAAAGCTGACCTACTCTTTTATTCTTAAATTTATTATCTTTACTTTCCACAATAAACTTTTTATTGATTGCTAGTGGGCAATTCCACGGTAACGGAAGGACACTCAGACAAGATTTTTGAACTTCAGGTTCATACTAAAAGAACTGTTTTATTAGTATAAGATGTGAAACAGTACAGATATAATACCTATATAAGTGCCTTTAATTCTCCCCCAAAAAATTGTCATTATAGTTAAGTAGTTTAAGAATGTGCATATTAATTATCTCGGTAACGGAAGGACATAAAAATGGACATGGTTTTTCCAGTTAATTAGTGTTTATCCAAACTTTGTGAAGTTGATGAAGCTTTCCACTTGACTGAAACACATTTTGTTCCCCATAGTTTAATACATACTAATAAAACATTTCTTTTAGTATGAACCTGAAGTTCAAAAATCTTGTCTGAGTGTCCTTCCGTTACCGTGGAATTGCCCTAGTGATGGTTATATAAACAAAGTGCATTGTCCTTTCATGTGACAAAAACCTAGACCTTAAAATTCAGAAAAAGTTGGAAATGATCTGAAGAAGATCGAAATGCATTAAATTTTAACAAAAAGAGGCTGCTCCTTTTATCTGGAGAAGAGTGCTTTTATTTTGTACATACAAGTTTTTTCCATTACAAGATGTAGAGTCCAGCAAGTATCCTATTATCCCATAATCCCATAACAAAAATGATATCCTCAATTTTCTTTCTTCATTTATCATCCCAGAATGTGACATATATACTAACATGCTTTATACCCATTTTCTAATTGTATGCATACTTCTTGAAAAAGGGTTTCACTTGACAAATCAAATGCTTGCCAGAGGCTTTCCAGACATAGCAACATCAATTTCATAGAGTTGTCGATTCCTATACAGATGCCATTATGTATATCAGGTGAATTAAATAATTGTGTTTGCAACCCTCAGTTCGGGAGAGAAGCATGCATACATCGAAATGCATTAATAAACAGGTCTATTTGTAACTTGTTGCCACGGTGTAACCGATCTTTCTTTTTCTCTTTCCTTCATCCTGTACAGATGGGGCCACACCCCTCTTGATGATGCAAGGCTCTTTGGTCACACAGGGGTTGTCGACATACTAGAAAACTTCAAAGCCAGAAGGCAGGAAGAGACATGAGAGGGATTCTGGCATTGTAAGTACTCTTCTGATTGAACCTTCCATTCGTTAAACCGTAGTCACACCTTCTATTAAACTAAACTGCAGGCACAGACTCTAACTTTTTTTGTTCGGTCTGTTGTCAGTCTCCGTGATTAGGTCTATGGTTAGATCTTGAAGATGACTCAGGTATAACTGGGATCAAATTGCGATGCACTGCTTTTCAGTGTTTAGTTGTAAGGAAGCTTTATAGCAAAATGTAGGGTCACGAAAAGATGCGTCCGGAATGCAAAAGGCATAATACTTCATGATCTTTTTAAATGTTTGTCTTTTGACATATCTGAATAAAACTTAAGTATTAACATTAAGCTTATTCAAGATAGCACATCAGCTCAATATCCTAACAATCTGGTTCTACCTCTGTGTGATGAAGCTATGATTTTCAATATTTCTGCTTTTTGCGTTCCAGACACGTCTTTTGGTGCCACAACAATTTTGCTAACTTACTTTATTCCTTGACCCTGGTTGGTTAAGAGCAATGATCATATGATTTAACTAAAACTTCATTAAGTTACAATCCTTACACATCAAATCCCAGGTCAGCCAATTGACGTGATAGTTATTGCTCCTACTCAGTTACCAAGAATGTAATATATGTTTGTTCTACGGGCCCTGCCCACTGGTGTGCTTTTAATTAATAGTGATTCATGCACTGGTTTTCTTAAAGTGCTATTTGAAGGTTATTTGCTTCCTCGTTCTGCTTCCATCACATTTTTTTCTCTATTCTCATTTTATTAATTCCACACCATTTTGGGGTTAATTTTGCTTCTTTAGATATTTTATTCTCTCTCTTGCTATAAGTGGTATATGAACAGGATGGCACATGCCTCCTCATTGAAAGAGAGAATAATGGCATCATAAACAGAAGAACACCCTCTATCTCCCGATGGCCTTTCAAAATTTTGTTATCTCTCTCCATTCTCTCTCTCTCTCTCATTTTTATCCATACCAGATTAACAGTGCTGCTGCAGCAAATCCTAAAATTCTTGAAAATAGAACCTAGAGAAAATAATGGCTTATACATTACTTGCTCAGAAGATTTCTTATAAACAATTGCAGCCTTTAATTTTTGTATTTGTGTTATTCATTCTGTTTAATTCTCTTTAATTTGTACATATTTTTTAATTTCTTTCAGCTAAATAGAATTTATAAAGAGCAGCTCTTCCTATTGTATTGACGACTCACCAATGTTGGACAAGAGATGGTACCACCTTCAATTCTGTTCTTCCGTGCTGGCTGCATAGACAGTGCTTGGCTCGGGACACTTTCTCCGTCGGTAATGGTCTGGAATTCATTGGGTTATGTGGGTATGTGTAATATGAAATAGGATGAAGGGGTAGAGAACGTCTCTACTATGCTGGAACCATGTTCATGAATCAGTGCACAAATTGAATGAACATTATAAAGTATATCATGTACAACTTCAGTCTGTATACTGTTGTACCAAACCCAAAAGAAAAACTTCACAATCATGCTAGCACAATCAGAGTTGTGCTTAAACAAATTATGACTTGTGAATTTTTAAAAGTTTTTTTGCCCTATGTTTTCCAATTTCCCACTTTTCTTGTTTGTATTGTATACAATGATGGATAAATCATATATAAAGAGAAGAGGGATGAATTCATGCATTTTTTCTGAGCACTGTATACCATTGCTCAATTGTTTTGCAGTCTAAGACAGTTTTGAAAGGCACAACATTTTAAACATGGGGTTAAAGCTGCAATGTGTTCCAATGACAATATAATGGCAATGGATATCGTCTCTTTGAGGCGGGAAAATGAAATTTTGAGATATATATATTTGTTTTCTATTCCTCTATTGTTTACTCCTTCTTGCCTTCTCTCTTTCTAACTATTTTCTATCCATTATCTGTGTTAACTACAATGTCTCAGGTTGAACTGATTTGATATAGGGGTCACGAGGTCAAAGGTCACAGGGTCATACATGTATATGAAAAAATGGCTTGTAATCACGATATTCTGAGAACTTGTTAATGGATTACAACCAAACTTGAATTTGTTTTAATTGCTTGTTCTGGTTTGTAAAATCGCTCTATAGCGGAGGCATCATTTTCGACTTTGCGCAGTGAAAGATCCATCTAGTTCTTTATGAAAAGATATAGATTATCTCTACATATGTCATGAATAGGCTGTTCTTTTGCATCATACATATGCTGTACTTTTGCTAGATTTTTTGACAGCCATCCAAATTTCAGGTTTTTAAAATGATTATTTCAAGTAGAGGCTTTAGATATGAAATCACGTCACTGCCCTGTCATACATAGATGATTGATTATAAAGAATGATATGCAAGAAATTTGCTGTAATATAACATGTTGAGTGTCCAGGGATAGAGCAATGATACTTTAAGTCTACAAAACAAAATATATTGCTTGAGGATTTTGTCTTTTGTGATTTTGGAGTTTTGCTTTTCTAATAAAGAAATATCTTATTAATCTTTACAGAATTTTAATGATTTTTCTATTTGCTTTGGGGTGTTTTTTATGCCTTTTGTTTAGTGCTATTTTCCAGATACATAGTACAAACGACATTGTAGCCACATTTTTCCATATTAAATTTGTATGTAGATTACGTTCCCATTAACAACCATAGTATCAAAAATAATATCGCTAGTGATATTCGTTAGTCTCGCAATGTATGGTCAACAAGGGATCAAAAGATCACAACCATAGTGTTTTTAAATTGAGCTTACAATAGTCATATTAAAGTAGGTTCATAACAACATTTTAAGTTTTGTACATAATATATAAGTAAATGCCATCATTAATTAACATTTTTATATCAGACTTCCATGTTTTTCTGTTGCCAAAATATCATTTTTTTAATAAATTTGCTCAAAGAAATCTTTTTTTCTGATATGAAATATATTTAGTTGGTGAAATGCTGCGTATAATCTCTTTGAATGTTAATTGTAAATCGAAATTGGAATTGGAATTTATTGTTTTTTGTAGGTGGATGGGTGGTTTGATGATGGGCATACTAAAATGAATGTATTGGACAATATAAACACAGGGCTATAATAGTCTTGTAATAGTATGATAGTATCCTTGTTACCTATGATATTAAGATTTTTAAAGTAATTTTTATTGCATTTTTTCATTTTTTACTACCGGTATTTGATTTTCAAATTTGTTGTATAACAATTTATCCTCTCATGACCCTCGCTGAAAAGACACATTATGAATTACAGCCAATACTACAGTAAAATTACTATGTAGCGATTTTCTTGCAATGGTGTATTAATGATGGACGATTTCAGAGAAAGATTTACAGTTTTTCCTGTTCAGTGAATCATGCATCAAATTTACTATTTGGACCCCAATAACCAGTTTGAATTTACGAACAATCATTTTTTATAAAAGTACTGAAGTGCTCGGGTGATAGCACATGTTGCTGAGTGCTCTGGACTTTGTACATTAAAGTAGTCACCCGAAGAATCAAAAGTGTTTTGAATCGATGCAAAATTCATATCATTGCAAAGGGGAAGCCTTACTGATCAAATATAACAACTTCCTTCTTCAAAATATGTTTGGGGCTCGCAGTAATCATTTTCTCAAAAATGTTAATTTTGAGATCCAGATTTTCTGCCTTAAGCAGTCCTCCAAAGAGCTTCAAGATTTGTGACGTCACATGCGAGACACAGCTAGCCATAAAGCTTTTTATGCCTTTCCATGATATCTATATGATTTTTCAGCAAATTATTCATGTTTTTTCAAGAGAAAATGTTTCCATCCATTCAGTTGTCATGAATTTTCTTCAGGTGACTACTTTAATGCCGTGCATGGTATATCTGATTTTTTTTTAAATATAATTGTATGGATGACAATATTTTCCTTCTCAAAATTCATGAGAATGAAATTGTCGTCATTATCATGTCTTGATTAAAGAGTGTTTATGCTGTTTTTGCTTTTCTAATTAATTTGTATGCAAATTTTTGGGCATTAATGAGAAATGAATGTTCTTGCCACTGCTAACATCAGTGGTACTGGCAATAAAAATTGTGCTGAAGTCTCATTCACCATGTGTATAAAGACAAATTGCACAATGATTTCATGGGAATGTGTAAATTGTGATATTTTATTTGCTCTCTTATATAGCAATGATAACAAAATATAAATCTACATTTGCCCTGTTAAAACTGAGCAAGGAATATATTAGGCTTTCAACAAGTCTCAGTTGTATGTTCTATGGAAATAACAGTGTGCAATGCCGAGGGGGGGGGGGGGGGTGGTGGATAAGAAGTTAAACAGAGACAGGTCTTGGCCAACAAAATCTAAGGGAAATGAAGAGATGAAAGGAGACAGTGAGATGAGAGATGGAGATGAAAGGATGAGGAAGAGAGAGAGTGAAATGAGAGAGTGAGAGAGGGGGAGAGAAGACTCAGAGAGAGAGAGAGATAGAGGGAGGCCGAGAGAAAGATATGTATATATAGTGAGAGAGAGATAAGAGAGAGAGAGGGAGGGGAGGGAGAGATAAGAGAGAGAGGGGAGGGAGTGGAGGGAGGCTGAGAGGGAAAGAGAAATAGAGAGGGGAATTGAGGGGAGGGAGGCTGAGAGAGAGGGGGAGATATAGAGGAAGAGAAGAGACACTTTTGATATAATGTTTGTTTGTTCTCTCTTCAGAGCTAGAAGGGTGTTACTGGATACATGTGAATGCCCTCTTGGCTCTCAAATGACCCTTGATGATCCTTTGTCGTTGCTTTTTTTAAAGAGAGAAAGGAAAAGGGCTGAAGAAATGTGAGACAGAAAAGTGATTAAGAACAGAAATAAAGGGATATTCTTCCAAACAGCAGATTTTGAAGATGGCTTGATCGCAACCCTCTCTCCCTCCCTTACCCCCTCTCTTTTAAAGGTAATACAAAGTTTTGGTATGGGGTCATGAATTTGGTTCAAATGAACATATTGGAAGCATATGCGATCCTACAATATTCAGTGATTGTTGTCGCGGTTGAAACCGAGTCTTAAGTTATGAAATTGTAAATAATAAACTCTGTATGATGTATAGCTCCCTCTCAAGGTCACGATATTAATTAAGCTATAAAACAACGTTTCTTGACTAAAATCGACCGGTTGGCTATTCCCGTTTGGAAATTATATATCACAACTACAATTTCTGAGATTTTCATGGTCGCAGCTACCATTGTTTGGCCGTATGCGCTATTTGAAATTTATCACAATTTACCGGGAGCACCGGTAAATTTTTATATTCAATTTTTCTCAAAAACACAAGTGTTTGAGGGGCTAAATTTTTTGGTGCTTATAATACATCCACAGGGGCATCCAAATATATCAAAATTGTAAAGAATCACTATCCACTCAATTTCCAAAATTTCCCAAAACTTTGTATTACCTTTAATCTCCATCCCTCTCTTCCCTTCACAACGTTTTCTTTCTCTTTCGCTATCTCATCTCTCTCTATCCTCTCCCTCTCTCTCTCTTATATCTCTTCCTCTATCTCATCTCTCTCTCTCTCTCTCTCTCTCTCTTTCTCTCTCTCCCTCTATCTTTCAGCCTCCCTCCTTTTCTGTTTCTCTCTCTCTCTCCCTCTATCTCTCTCAGTCTCTCTCTCTCTCTCTTTCTCCCTCCCTTTCTCTCTCTCTCTCTCTTCTCCCTCTCTCTCTCTTCTCTCTCTCTCTCTGTCTCTCTCCCTCCCTCCCCTCTCTCTCTCTGTCTCTCTCCCTCCCTCCCCTCTCTTTCTCTCTCTCTGTCACCATTTTCTTTCAAGTTTCTCTCAAGTTCCTCTCTCAACATTCGGGCAAATCTTCAAGCTAACAATTCAGTATGCCAACACACATAATATACTGATTAGCAGAAACTTGCACTGGTTTATTCTGTATCAATCCTCATATAATATAAAAAAAAAACATTGTTTTCTTATTGAAAACTCAAATTCTAATTTGCATTCAACCTAGCAAATAATATAAATTCTCTAATTAGAAAATAATGCAAAAAAAACTCACTGAAAATAATCAGAAAATCCACTACAGTGAGTTGTTAAGTTTGAATGTTACGGTGAAAATGAAATAAATAATGGCAATTTTACATACCTATTTACATTAAAAGGTGTACAGCATGTTCATATAGACCTTCAGTTTTATTTCCTACAACACATTGATAAGACTTGTCAATTATTTGTCAAACATGCTATGCAAAGACATTTGCATAATTTTACTACCTGTTGGAAAATGTTTGTCACTTCCCAAAGAACTGATACTCTAAACATTTCCCTGAAAGTGCCCCAATATGAAACTAAGCTGTCTTGACTATTGAAATGTAATCGCTGGCAAATTTAACATTTCAAATAGCGAAACACTGACATGCATAGTTCTTTTCATTTGTATGCTCCCCCTCTCTCTGCTTTATATGAAATCTACACACATTGTAGTTTTCAAACACACAATTCAGGAATGCTAGATAGCTTCTATTGGAATGATTTTGTTGAACATATATATTTATGTTCAAAATGAAGATTAAAAATCACTAGAAATTCAATTTAATTATTTCAATGCTGATTCCATATAAACATCTACAAAAGTTATTATCTGTAGTTTTTAGTGGTTTAATATGATACATTCTTTAATATGATACATTTATGTTATACTTTAACAGCACAAATGCATGCTCACAACAAAATAGGTTATAGAAACTGACAAAGCAATTCAGTGTGAAAATCTACTATGATTAACAAATTATTCAAATAACTGCCTCTTCGATAAATGTCTCTTTTAAATGACTATAATATTTTGGCCTAGTTTACAGCGTATTTACCAGTTATACTATTATCTTGCACCATACAACTTAATGCATAGGCCATTCCTGAAAGTTTTAAAGCACCAAAATATGATGAACACAAAATCAATTTACATCGGTAGAACTTGCCTGCCTGCCGAAGCCTTCAAAACAACTTCAATATCGTATGTACAATAACTACATCAGCTGATAATTTATGTACATCTCTACATCTATGTACAGTCGGGAATCACACAGCCCAGCTGTGGCTTGCTTGCAAACAAAAACAAAACTAAGTATTGCATCAAATGCATAATTAACCACTATTCAAATGAACTTCCTAATAAATAACATGCACTGTACATTCGAGCAAATTCCAAACAACAATCTACATACGATGTTTAGTATTTACACTTCTTGCTTGGCAACTAGAATTTCAAATTCTAACTGTACATTTTGCAAGAAAGCAGAAAAGGTGATACGTTGGTTACAAAATACAAAAAGTGATTCACATGAAGTACTATATTTGGAAATTGGAAATTGGCCTCTTGGCATTTGGCATAAGGACAACAAGACTTTGTGATTTGTTTTGATCAATAAGACCCACACCCCTTTAAATTAAAAAATGGCAAATTCAAGACATTGCCTTTGGTACAACAGGTGATTTGACCTAGTAACTGTTCATATGATAAAACGATGAGAATCAGTCCAGGGAGATTTTTAAACAGAGAAAATTGAAAATTGAAAAAGATAACATATGGAAAGAAAAATATAAAGGAAAGTGTAAAGAATAATAGAAAGTGATAGGTGATTCAGAGAAAAAGGTTGACAGAGATATGTAATAGTATCCTGTTAAAATTGGAGCATTAAATCTACAGAACTATGATTGATAAGGTAGAAAGAAAAACAAAACTTTCTTTGTTGTTGAAAGGGCAATCTCAAGATAATTTGTTTGCTGCGAAAACAATTTCTCTCCTTTTCTTATTACAAATTTTTTTGGTAAGCGATTTCAAAGTACTTTTTTTGCCTTTCACGATTGATTCAAGTGCTATTTTTTTTTCTATATCAAAAGGCATGTATCAAATTGACTTTGGGTAAAAATTGGTACTACCGTCAACAGTACTGAGCGGTTCAAACAGAGTATCCACATCGTGCACGAGAGTCATTAATACAAATCGTCTTCTGATACAGCAAACCTGTCTATTAAGGTCACCCAAGGGAAACAAAGTGACCACTGTAGGGAGGTGGCCTTCCTAGACAGGTTCTACAACACACATTTCTCTCTCTCAAGGGAGACAAAATGCTTGACCACTATACACAGGTGGCCTATATAGAGAGGTGGCTACTACCACAGGTTCGACTGTACATTTTATGTTGATTTTAAAAATTAAATTAAGGAGTTGATATAAGGCATCAGACATAAAACAAAACATGAAGTTGATTTCAAAACTTCACAAATTTAAACTTGACTAAAGTAATACTAAATAATTTTACTTTGTCTGAAAGTTTGCAATAAAATGTCTGGATATTTCCATCATTTTATAAGAACATGGTTCAAATAATATAGATGACCAAAGTCAATGCTAGCACCTGTAGTTATACATACACAATATTAGATTTCAGTAAGTAATCTTAACTATTTCTTGGCTAGAAAACCCAAAACAAAAGGACTGCAAGTGGCTATATTTATACTGAAAACAAATTACAAGTTCAAAGTTCTGTGCCCTTTTTATCGCCGAGTCGGTGCATCAGTATCGCCCTTGAATACAAAAAAGTATTTACAAACTGCCACTTTAGCAAATTATATTCTAATATTTTTTGCAAAAGTAGTCTTGTCAATGTGTACAGAAAAGGGAACAATTACATTTTTCCAAGTTGTACTGGTTACATTTGCTGATTTGTTCTTTATTAAGTATTTAATCATTCTTCCCTGTTCACAGTGTCTCAAAAGATGGAAAGTCCAACAACGAAAGATTGATCATCACAGCCTATAGTATGATACATAGTGATGCATTTGAAGAAATGTCAATAATATCCTCGACTAAATTTCAACCTCTGCTGTGCCAGACAGTCAAGCAAGTGTAGGAAGTTCATCAGCTTGGATACAAGACTTCTCAAAGGGTCAAGGATACTCAAAGTACTCTTAGTCTCATCCATTCACCAATGATGACCCTATGAAGCACTTCATCAGTCTTCGTTGGACACCTTGAAGAGAGTCATAGGACAATTTAAGTCTTTCATCAGTTGGCAACCTCTACAAGTGTGGCGCAACCGGAGTGCATGGGCTCGTTCGTCATCGACCCCGTCGTGCCGGCGGCCGCGGCAGCCGCAGCAGCAGCAGCGGCTGCAGCCTGGATGGCCCCGACACACTCGTTGTGGGTGAAGCTGTGCCGCCTCAGGTCGCAGTTCCGCCTGAACACCTTGCCGCAGTTTGGACAGTTGAAAGGTTTGATGTCGGTGTGCGTCAGGAGATGGGTCTTGAGGTTACTCCGCTGGTTGAAGGTTCGGCCGCAGGTGGCGCACTTGTGGGGCGACTGCTGCATGTGGAGGGTCTTGTGGACGGCCAGGGTCCTCGCTTGGCAGAAGCCTTTCCCGCACTCTCCGCATTTGAAGGGTTTCTCCTTGGAATGGATGTACCTGGGATAGTGAGAACAATTAATGAAAAACAAAATTCATAAGAAAAAGGTCTTTGTTCAAGTCATAGACACCAGGGGTTAATTTCTTTTTCAAGACCATCATAAGTCTAAGTTAATGGACATCCCAATGAAATATGTATTGTTAAACGACAGTTTCGAGTTACTGGCCAAAGGAATATTTTATAACATATTGAAATATTTGGTTTGCATAATGTTCAAAAGATTCTCTAGACAACCTCAACAGCTTTGTCTACCAATGACTACAATGCATGCAAAATAACCATCCCCTAAAAAAAATAGTAGAATAAAAAGATATGATACAATACTAAAAATTTGCAACAATGACAATTGATTTTATTCATTTAAATTTTTTTCTTCATACTAATGAATAAACAAAAAAATGTATTTTAACATGGTTCTTCCCTTTTTATATGAGGAACTAGATTGCAGCAAAAAATGCTACTTCAAGAGAAAACACAAGAAAGTCCTTCCTGTGTCATCGGCATAAACATGGTAGTCCAGCTTCCTAAAAGTACATTATTTCAGAAGCATGTTCCCAATCTAGAATAGTTCACATGAACTTTTTGTGTTTTCAAAACATATTTGTTTCCTTCTTTAACCACACGTTCGGCTGGAAGTCAGGTTGGCTTGGATTTCACTTCACAATAGGTATAAATCTGACTATTTTCAAGATCAGTTATCAATAAGGTTAAAAGGGAACTCACAGAAGGGCAAGGAGCTCTTTGTTTGAAAAAATAATATTTATGTGGTGGCAAGACCACTGCACTTTACCGTTTACAAGTCAGGAATGAAATCAGATAATTCTGAGCATGAACTAAATCGAGTAGCACAAGTCTGCATGGGGAAGTGCAAGAGGGAACTTTGAAGGAGGGTTTGGAAAGTTTAGATGGAAAAGAGCAAATAGCTGAGAGGTTACCAAGAGAGTCGAAGTTCAAATACTCTTCATGGGTAAAAGTAAAATCTTACTGCATAGAGCAGGGATGAAAAAACAAGGTACTAAATGTGATCTAATTGAAGCTACAAAGAAAAGGTATTTGTCTAGGAAGGGTGGGAATGAACTTATGAATGAATGAATTATATGAACAAAACATAGCACCACAGGTTCTGAATATAAGTGAAACATTTTAATGAAAGCTTTTACCCCCAAAAAATGTATATATTCCTTTCTTGATTTATTCTAGAGTGTTCCACAAGAACAAGGGAAAAGCCTTAGCTTAATTTACTGTTCTCAAAAACTTCATTTTTAAAGGAGAAATCTGTCATCTCCGTCTCGCTCTCTCTCAGACCTCATCCGTTTTTCACATCTTCTCTTCCTCCTCCTCCAAACTGGGAATTAGGGTAGCGAAGGTTACCCCTCTTTCCCAGGTGTGAGGCTCTTTCAGCCATCTCTTGCCGCTAACGAGGGTACCAGGCCGACCCAGCCATCCGCAAGATAGGCGGGGTCATACCATCCAAAGATGCCTTGCTAGCTGGCCGCTGCCGCCAAAACCAAAACCGCTACTTGCTGCTCGCTCAAGAGCAGAAGTTTTGGGCATCTGCTGGGTGATCCAGCGAGATTAAGCGCTCCTTGTCCCCTTGATCAGGGCATGACAGACAAGGCAACCTGCTAAACTCATTCTGGATAATCTCCGGCTTCCCTCCTCAAGTGCTCTTGGCGGTCAAAGCATTATCTCATCATCTCCACCAGCAACAAGATGATCTACCCAGGTATCGAGGTGAGGTGAGTATAGGGGTCGAGGGGGGAGGAAGTCCAGGGTTATCATAGAGTTTACTCTGGTATGAACGTGGGTTATAATTGGATATTACCGTCTTTAATTGTTCCCATCTTGTTCCGGGATATTACCCCCAAATTGTGCTGTATCCTTTGGTTACACCACAAAGAAATCTCAGGTATGATTGATGGGCTTACACTCCTAGAGCTCCCAGCTTGCCCCCATTCCCACCAAAATACATCTTGGAGTTTTGTTAGGTTTTTAACTCTGTGATAGACTTTTTTTTAATGATCCTTCTCTTTCAAAACTTTAATTCTTGTTTCAAAGAAGAGATCATTGATTTTGATATGTTAAAGGATTAATGTAAGGTAATTTAAGGGAATATAAGGGAATAAGGATGACAGCTGAGGACAGACTCAGGAAACACTCTAAGATTGAAGTTGCGAATTCATTTAAGCAACTGCAGGTACAAAGAAAGACATAAACCTAGCTAGCATCAGCAAGTTTTCAGCATACTGCCCTCTTTTGGCAAACCAAATGTAATATACTTATCTTGGTGATAGGATCTAATCTAGGTATTTATGATAATGATAATTGAGAATACTTGTTGATTTTAAATTCGGAATTGAATATGTTTTTAGTCTTTGCAATCAAATTTCTGTTTCATTATACAGAAGTTTTCGATATTTATTATTTTTATCATCATTATTATATTATCACTATTTTTTATATTAAACAGTATGATCGTAATGCTATATTTTTTGTTGTTTTTTGGTTTTGTCCTGGGCTTTTATATGTTTCCTTTGTTGGACAAGTGATTTCAAAGAAAACAATAGATGCAGGTATATATGGACAAAGCTTTGGAAGGTGAAGAGAAAACAAATCTCCAAATCCCCAACTACCTAAAGTCTGGCGACCAGGTGTGCTTGTCTGGCGCCCTCGTCTGTGCCGATTCTGTCGATTCTGCTTGCTTGAGGTGACACGAGCAACCTTATCTGCGCTCTGGGATTAAAGGTAAAGACCAGTATTGGTAACGCCCCAATTTCAAAAAATGAAATGGAAGCTCTCATTACCAATCATGTGAAAGAATATGTTTTGACTAATACATGATGATAACAAATTTGCCGGGAAACCGCCTACTTATTCATATATTTGGTAAATTTATTTCTCTCATGGTCGTGTGAGAGAGATAGGGTAGTCCCATATACATCTTTCTGTGTATAGTGCTTGTAACTTTACGAAGAATGGGCCAAATTTCTTATCATTTTGATGATTCCAGAACCTTGCAGAAGCTAGATGCTAGATGATCAACCTTTTCTGATCGATTCCACAACGTTTCTTTCACAATGCAATCGCATGACCATTACTGGTCTTTACCTTTAACTCTTTTACGACTTGTAGTTTAACACCGAGTTTGGCATGGCCAGATAACGCTTGGTGCTAAATACTCAATTTGCCAATCGGTTTGTATGCTTAGACCGGAAGCTCGTGAGATAATGGTATTTACCGACAGATAAAACCACCTTGATGAAGGAGGATGGAAGCTAAAAAACATAAATAACCTCTGAAAGACCTCTGAAAAAGTACATCCTTTAGAATTGTTCAAAAGGATATCTCTTTGAGGAAAAGGTGGCACTACAGTTACTTCCGAAATATAAACATCAACTATTTGCGATTAACGCTTCTTAGTGGTACCAAAATACATTTTTTTAGGGCAGAAGATTGAAGTTGTGCTTCTTTTCAGCATTTAAAATTGTTAACTTAATCTTTGAATGCAAAAAGTATATATATATTGTAACATATAGTATCTTATATGTGATATAATTTTTTCAGAATCATTCCCTTGTGAAATGTAATTTATTTATATTTCTAAATGAGCATATTTCAGTAATAAATAATAGACACTTTTTTCACCTGAAGAGAAATGTACTTCAAACAGTCAAAATACACCACTAAATAGGTAAGGGTAAACAAAAAAACAGTGAAAAGAATAGCTTACCACTTTGGCAAAAGCTACAAAGAGAGAATGAATTTTTGTGAATTTGATTATATACTTGTAATCTACTAATTTAAGCATTTCCTCACACTTAATTTTTGCAAGTGTTTTAGACTCCCTCATCACTGCTTCTAATTTGTCATCTTAATTCTCTTTTGACAAACACCTTGCTTCTCAAGCTGTCACTCAAGATCCCTGGTCCAGATAAGACCAGGTCTAACAACAGAACCGGAAGGCGATGTCAGAGATAAGTGTGCCCAGATCGTGTAGGTACTGGACCCGATCATTGTTTACTGCGGAGGCGTACAGTAAGGTGCAAGCGAGATGTTTACTATCGTTACTAACCAAACTTCCTGACGTTAAAACAGTTTGTAAAGCAACCCACGCATATAGAAAGAGGTTACTGAAGAGTCATTTTATATAATAAATGATAAATCATTAACAATAAATATCAATAAATATAAAAAACATGCCCTTCAAAATTGTATCACGAATACAGTCATCTGATAAACAATTTTTTGTTTCCTTTCTGAATTTTAATAAATGATCTTTGTTAAAACATGGGACTGGCAAGTCCATTTAACCTTCAAACTTATGGTGGCTCAAGAAAATGGTGGGTAGTTTCTTAATACACTTCACAATATCATTTAAGGCTGTGTAGGTATCAAATCAAAAATCTACAGTTCCTTTGTTCAAGAGAAAACAAGAAGATGGTCGAAATAGAATGCAGAAAAGCATGATTATAACAAAATTTACTTTTAAATGCCACAAAGATCCTCCACATGTAAACTAATTGGTACAAAGTAATGCGTCCATTAAATTTTATACAGATCCTGCATTTTACTTCTTGTATTACACTAAATATAAACCAAATGGAACATTATAACATCTTCAATCATTGTAAAACTATCAATTGGTCAGATAAATGAGACATTTACAATATCTGAGAATATCACTACCGTTTCTTTTTATCAGCTGATTGTCTTCTCTCTGAATCTATTCCAATTTATCATTCAAATAGTTTCAGAAGCTCAGTAACCTTTCTGTGTTAAAGAAAGGAGAAGCATGATACACACAATCGAGTTTGGTTCCTTTTAAAGTTCTTGAATCATTCCCTATTCCATTGAGGATGGTCTGTAAATACATCTTCCAATATCATTGCCAAATTTACAAAAAACACTAGAATAGATACAGAAAAACTGTATAAATTTGTTAGCATTGTATGAATAGACTCGTCTATTTCAAACCTCTTTAACTTCTCTGATACCACTA